TTGCATTATGCACAGAACTGACAGACTGACTCTGTGAGAGCATGGACAAGAGCATGCAATGAAAATGAAAACATGCGGGTAATTAGCATGAAAAATACATGATAGGTTTACCACACCAGAATAGTCTACGATATGTAGAAGGCTGCATGTCGTGAGCTAAAACTCTCGAAGTTCAAACGTTCCTTCAAAAATGGGTACGAGTTCTGCCAATCCCCACGACGTCAAGGTCTATTTTTGTCCCTCAGCAAAATTAGAAATAGCAGCGAAAAAACATAAACAATAAAGGGGAAAAATATTGAAGTATAAGTGAAGTATAAGTGAAGTATATAGTCATAAAGACTGGAAACAAGGGCGATCTAAGATTCTTGGAAAGAAGTTTATGTAGTACCTGCAGATGGGAAGAGAAATAGTTTATGTGAGGTTGATGTTGTCCAAAAACATCTGATGTTGAAAAAATGTGAAACATTGTTCCCCCAGGACAGGAATTTGTTGTCCACTCGGTTTTTAGGCCCTGTAAATAAAAACGGTTTCTCTCCGGGCTTTTGAAAAATGCAAGAGGCGGCCTCCCTTTTTTTCCCAAGTTGACAGATGGCGGATTCCGTTTCTCGACCCTTTTGCTGATACAAAATTATGTCCCGGGGAGCTGTCACTCTTCTACATAGCTACAAGTTGTTGAAAACAAATGAACACACAGTTATTGACAACTTTTGCAAAATATATTGCAAATGTCTTAAAGGGAATATACAACATTTGCAAATATTGAAAAACAATACTACCATTTTTTTTAAAAGAAATACCTTACTAGGATGTTGGTAAATGACAGTCTAAAGCATCCTGTAAAATTATGGCACTATGTGTGAAGTCCTTTTCAAGAAAAGTGGTATTTTGTATAAATTTCCAACGGTGGTCAGCCGTCCACCGTTGGAAAAACCTAACTATTTTCAACTACTGCTCCAAATTTCCCCTTTTTTCAGTCCAAATTGTGTTTGCTATTGGTTACATGTTCTTGAAGGGGTGCAGGCCAGTTAGACTGATTCCATTACCTTACAATTTCCCGGCATCTATAAATTGATCCATTTCATCTTTAGTGGAGTCAGGGAACCAGACTACTTGAACATTTTTGGTTTTCTTGGTTTTTTAAAGTATTTTTAAACACAAATCTTCAAACATGTCAGTGTAACAATATTTGATCTGTTATACTAACCCCTCAAAATAGCTCATTTCTGAAAATCACAGCAAAAGCCAATGATGTACATTCCCTTTAATTTCAAACAAATTACTCATTTAAAAATAAAAAGGAGGCGGGCGGAAAGAGGAAGCATGCGGTTACGAGAAACGTGTTTATTTTTATTATTTTTTTACTTCGCCTTACATACGGGTGGTCTGTTCTTTCCTTGAAGTTGATTTCTGAGAGTTCGATCCAAATTATAGATATTTAATTTAGCTCGCAGTCTGTGGCTTAACGTGTGTGATCGTGCGGAACATTCGAGCAACGTCAATATTTAATATTTGGTTGCTGGGACAACGGCTACCGAGCCCACATCTATTTCCTTCATTGTCATTATAAGCTGCAAGGCATAAAGGATCGATGTAGTGTGTAGTCAGTTGCTCCAAATTGATTTAGCCTGGATTAGCGAACACATATAATTTCAATAAAAAGGGAGGGGGTGGGGCATCGCCCCCAGATGCACCGTCCCCAAGAGCCCCCCCCCCCCCCCCCCCCCAAATTTGCACGTCCCCGGAAATTTGCTTTTTCACGAACGGCTTTTTTTCACGAGTGCCCATTTGTTAAGAGCGCCACCTTTGTCCGCTCGTGTCCGCTATGAAAAAACGCCCCCGTTGGAAATATTGTGTGCAGCCCCCCCCCCCTCCCCCTTTGATTTTACGGAGGCCAGGTGACAGGTGAACACATGTTCATTTTGCGACGGATAATCTCAACCCAAAATGCTTCTACAACTTTTCCAAAGAGGGGAAACCTTGTACAAGCGTTACATTCACTGTGTGGACTCCCGACCAAAAGAGGTCCACATAAACCAGGTAGCAGTGACGCGACGTTGTGTGGACTTGCCCACGTCCACACAATGTTTCCCCCTCTCTGGAAAACAGGTTTAGAGGCATTTTGGGGTTAGGTTTATCCAAGGCAAAATGAAGAGAAACACTAGAAAAATCATCATGGAAAAAAAATGGTGGAAAGTGTTTTCACAGTGTGAGTAAAATGATTTTTTTGCAGAGGTTTTTTTTTATTTACACGAAAACAAAGGAATGTCCACACTAGGTATGTAACGTAAAAATGCGTGCGTTTGTTTGCGGTCGGTGACTCGGAACTCGAGGACAGGAACCAAATCGAGGACGACATCGATTAGAAAACGTGTACAAAACCAATGAGAGCTGTTGCGGAAAAGTTAGTACAAGCAAAGGAAACGGGAAGAGGAACAAAAGAAAATCCTCGATTTACACCCATAAACAAACGTGCTAGCGTGGACGTGTTCACATCCATAAAAGCGTTCACACTTCCTGCACCCTCTTCTTTTGTTCACAGGACCAAAAAGAGTCTATGCAAGGTAAGAGCACACTCATCCTCCTAGGGTGAGAACGCTGGCTCCACGCCTATTCCAAACTATAAAAGACGTGTTAATTTGCCTCACAGCCAGTGGCTTGCGTAAGACCGTATGGAACATTCGAGCAACGTCAATGTTAAAATACTAACACATTTTCAACGAGCAGTGACTGATGAAATCGATGAGGGGAGGCCCCATAATACCCAAATGACAAATGCCGGATGGTTGCTGAGACAACGACTACCGAGCCACGTCTTTTTCCTTCATTGTCGTTATAAGCTGTGAAGGATGCAGTGTGCTGTTAGTTGCTCCAGATTGATGTGGCTTGGATGAGCGAACACAAAGATGTAGGTGTATAATGCATGAGAGCAATGGAGATCGCAACTTTGAAGTTCAAGTTCGCAGTTTTATTTTGAAACGGTGGTTTGTAGGATACATTTAACAATGTCGGTATTAGTCTTCAATGATTAAGATTGAATGAGTCATTTGGGTATAACCTTTATTTAAATACGAACTGCAGAATTTCAATTTTGTGAACAACGTTTGTGTTGACTTGAGTTACAACCGAAGTCTCAGTTTACTGATGTGGTATAAACTGGTATAAGCCTTGCAGAATTCACCTATGGATTTTTAAAACATATTTTCTCAGGGCATCCCGACGCATTTTGGCCACGCCTGCTGCCTACTTGGAGGAGAAGAATATTCGTAACTTTCTAGGCGTGCTCGCTTACAGGCAACAAAACGACCGTCAGGGCGCCTTGGATTACTTCATTCACATCCTCTCTCCGGGAGAGACCCAGACAACCTGAACGCCACAAGGGCGGATCCAGAACACAATTTTGGGGGGGGCCAAAAAAATTTTGGTCCCCCCAAAAAGTGGGTCAAAAAATTACGGCGTGGGGTTCGGGGCCCGCTTAAGGGCCCCGAAAAATTTTTGGATTCTAGATGCTCTGTGTTGCGATCTGAGGCAATTTCTGACCACTTTAACCAATGTTTTTTTTTTTGAGGAAAAGATGGTGGTGTACTCATTGCCTGCCTTTATTGCGATGTCAAAAAGTGGGTCAAAAAAATTACGGCGTGGGGTTCGGGGCCCGCTTAAGGGCCCCGAAAATTTTTTGGATTCTAGATGCTCTATGGTGCGATCTGAGGCAATTTCTGACCACTTTAACCAAGGTTTTTTTTTTGAGGAAAAGATGGTGGTGTACTCATTGCCTGCCTTTATTGCGATGTCAAAAAGTGGGTCAAAAAAATTACGGCGTGGGGTTCGGGGCCCGCTTAAGGGCCCCGAAAAAATTTTGGATTCTAGATGCTCTTTAGTGCGATCTGAGGCAATTTCTGACCACTTTAACCAATGTTTTTTTTTGAGGAAAAGATGGTGGTGTACTCATTGCCTGCCGTTATTGCGATGTCACATAAAAAAAAAAAAAATGATTTCGTTTTGGGGGGGGCCATGGCCCCCTTTGGCCCCCCCCTGGATCCGCCCTTGGAACGCCATGGCCAACCGTCATTTTGTGATGTCTGCGTCCAGAGGTGGAATTCCCGCGGCTGCTCCTGAGCCTGATTTATCTACAGAAGAAGGGAAGAGGGCACAAGCCAGGAGATACGCCGAACAAGCCTTTGCCCTCATTGAAGAAAAGAACAACGATGCTATCGATTACGAGGTATGCAGCAGATCGGTCGAGCTTTGCAATCAGGCGATAGAGCTGGCGGGTCACCTCGTCGATCTAGACGAGAGCAATGATTGGAAGTACCTGGCTGGAGAAGCCATGCAGCTACGAGATTTTAAACAAAACCATAAAATTAGCGAGACGCACGACGAGGCCCATCAAGCTTTGGAGGATGCTGTCTGGAGCTTTTGGATCATAGCGGAAAACGTCAAGCCGATTGCGAAGATCAGCATCGTCAGAGAGACGAAGTGGATGGCTGGAGACCCACCATCAGGAGCATGTCCAAGTACTGAAGGGGAGGGGGAGGGGGTTTCACCAGGAACAATATTTTGAAATCTTGTCTCAAAAGTCCATGCATACAGTCAACAACGGAAACACATAAAACCTAACTATAAACTGCACAGTAACTGTTAACGATTAGCCACCAAAATTCAAATTCGAAAAGAAGCAAGAGCAAATGTCACGGGAGAAAGGAAGGGGGTAATTCCCCTGCCATCCTCAACCAGTGTGCGGTGTAGTTATTTACAACTGTACTTTTCAGGGAATAAAGGTGTGCTTGGGAGGTTTTAAACACGCTGTTTAAGACCGGTTTGAGTCTGGATGCTGATGGCTCGGTCCATTAACAGCGGTCATCCCCCAACACGGTTATTACCACGCAGTGAAGACTGGGTCCTCGCACTGTTATTCCCTAAATATCATCATTATTGCCATGCACGTCAGTTACCATGCACCATTTGCAACGATGGGTTATTTCATAGCTCTGTGGTCCACCCACCTTGATATACTGCGGTCTGGAGTTCTTCTGTGGCTGTCGTGTGATAGGCTCTGGTCTCCTGAGATGGTACTGTTGGCATGCTGAGACGGAAGAGGAAATTAGGTGGGAGAAAAATAAGGTTGCATTTCAAATTAGTCGTGTCTGCTACCACTTGCTACAGTCTGTTGATGTCTACAGAGAGAAGTTCAAGGATATAGCAGATGATCATTTGTCATTGGAGTATTTTTTTTCGTTTGAAGCAATAAGTGCTCAAAATCTAAAGACGGGTGTATAACAACTAACCCGATGAAGCGTTAGCTCTGCGAATGTTGTTTATTTCGGAAACACACAATATTCTGGATATCGAGTTCAATTCAAAAGTTAAAATCAGCATTAGGGACATGATTCTCATTCAACCGATTAATCAATCGTGATGTCACACGCTGAACCGACGATGATTCGATCTCGCTAATAGCAAAAGCGCGCGCGTGTGCGTCGTGTCAACGCGCTTGTACCCATTCACGGATTCGCCCGATTTCAAACCAAATCAACTGCCAACAGAATTTTCCAAAAATGTGTCACTTGACGCATCTTTGGGAATGACCTCAAGCATGCCAAATATTATATCTTTAAACCAAGTAAGCTTTTTACAATTATTTGGTCGGTTACTTTTTGGATAGCTGCAAATGATCTACTCTACCTTTAAGCATTGTAAACAAAAACTTTTGAATGACTAAAAGCTAAGTATTGAAAACTGCAGATACCCGGTCACTCTCTTTCAGCAACACAGCAGATTGGGCTAACCGTTTATAGACCAATGGCGACAAGCATTGTTATGTCTTTTGTTCAGATAATCCAACGTGTGGTATACTACTAGTAGTTTGCTCAATAGCTGGCTCAATGCTTTTGCCATAAAAGGCGGCCTCACGTGTGTACAGCGATCACGTGCCCGCATTCGTCTACAATGTACTTTACTTCAATTCAATTTTAATTTAAAACACTTTATTTATCATTAAAAAGACAATTATATATGGTTAGACAGCTCACTATTAAAAACAATGAAGGTAAATTACATAGCAAATACATAAATCAAACAGTAAACTACTTATCGAGATTTAAAATTGATGTAAAACTACTTGAAAAGTATTATTTAAACTTTAAATACGATGATGAATGCACACGTCGTGGTGACAAATACACACGTGATGGGCATACTGGTAGCTTTTAAACACGAGTATCTAGGTTGGCACTCATTCCCTCATCCAATCCTATTTTACGCGGTCTTTTTAGGGGAACCAAACCACGCTTGGTGTGTGATACAAAAAGCACTACTAACGGCCTTTATAATGGCGTACATGTACATGAGTTTCAGTAAGTGATCGTATAAGCTGCTGGTGTAAAGTGCTACAAGTAAAAGAAAGAGGAAGAACTTTTGGACATTTCAATAAACTGTCTTGTGTCTCTTACCGTAATGGTTGATGCGAAATGTCCTGACCCGCCCTAGTGCCATCATGGCGGTCATCGTACACACCCTGTAGCGGCCGTAAGTGGCCCCACAATAAAAACTACTAAACAAAAAAAATTGGCAAGTCAAATTGTTGACCTTTTCCGTCAGTTTTTTTGTCAGCTAGCTCCCGATTAAGGAAATCAATGTAGCTTTACCGCTACAGTCTCTGCTAACGGAAAGTTGTCATCGTGACTAAGACGTGTGGATGATTCATCAAATTGGTTGGGGCCAAATTCAAGAATGCGGTGAGGGGGTGTCACGGGCGAAGAGATTGTAAATCCAGAGGCTTCAACAACAATTAGAGCTCTGACGAGTACTCAATGTTGTTCAACATTTCGTCACTTTCACTGGTCCAACCCTCAACCACGCCCACCGCGGGTAACACGCTACAAAATCAACATGATTATAATTCCACAACAAGGGCATGATAACTGAAGACTTAAAGTTCAAGGAGTACAAGCTGACTCATACTAGTGCAACGTGTGAGGCCTGACAAAATTAATTGAGGGTTATTACACATAGGCGATTTTCTAAACGCGAATTGATAAGCCCTGTTGTATATGTGTATCTTACATGCCTCGATCTTCACCAGGAAATTAATTGCCGATCTGTCCCTAAAGATAAATTAATAGTAAATTTGTTGTTATGAGGGATCATAGGCCTACTAGTCGTGATTGAATTTTTTCCTTTTCGGAGTGTGAGTTGCAAGATGCAATAGGGAAGGTCTTTTAAAAATGTGATTCTTATAATAAATAATTCTTCTGTTAACATGGTGTCGAAGCAGAGGCCGAAAGGTTTAAAGTCAGTAACAGGAAAGCTGTGAAAAATCTATTTTCATTCGTACTGTACACGGGAGTTTAAAAACGTGAAGTTGGACAATTTCGGTTTAAAGTTTCCAATAAACAAAACAAAAACTATACAACTCCACTTGCATTCAACCATAGCGCAAGGAACCCCATCCTATTCAACATTACTGAATCTCAGGCATGCGTCACCCCACGGTCTTCCCTACCTATGCACATTTTGTCGTCCCCGTTTGCCAGCCGGGTCAGACTTGCACTGGCCACCGTAAACGTAGTGGTATTTCCCGAGGTGGACCTCAGGCAGACGACGTTGGAGGGGCATGACGACTGCCGTGGGCCGTCGCGGTTCCGCGGTGCAGCTGCAGTGCTTTCCCCGGTGCGGTAAGAACCTGCCGATGGCAAAGTGTTACTGTGGCAGCAGCCGGTGATGAAACCGGGATCGGATGGATAGCCCCGCTGCAAGTCCCCCGTGGAGTAGGTCTCGTACAACAAATCTGGAACGCTACGCCATGGTCCACCCATCATTATCACCTAACCAGAAAGTCCAAAACCAATCGCCACAGACACCGAATACTGACGTCAACTCTGCGGTCACTGGACCCTATACACACCTTCAAAGAGATATACCTTCGGTGGAAAAAGATGCATCTCCCAACTCTACATCTAGTTTATTTTGCCATTTAATTGCTGACTTTCCGGTGTCCCTCCCGTTTTGCAGTCACGCGTTGACAAGATGTCTGTTGAAACGTTCCAGCGTTTAATCCTTTGCGGAAATCCGTCGTTGTCGGTCAGCGTTGCACACTGTGCTCGCGCTGTCTTATCGCTCTGCACATTCTGTCACTCTGAATCGGCGAGGTATTACAAGAAAGAGGAAAACCGGCTTCCTGTATATTTTTAACAGCAGCAAGATTTTAACTGCTATGACTAATGGGTACAAATATATCTCAATTTAAACACCCTGTCGATGGATATTAGCTGCTGCATGCAGGCGTGCAGGGTCAGGGGAATCGACATTTAAAAAAAAGTTGAAACTTATATCAGTTCTCTGTGCAGTTTCTCATCTCTGTCGGGGAGGGGGGGGGGGGTGTCTCTAATAATACCATGCACCCGGATTCAATCATGCACGGGCTATGGGTACAATCACTTTGCGTATATAGCGTGTGGTTCTCTAATGTTTGCGGGCAAATGCGTGCTTTTAATTCCGCATTTAACAAACTGTTAATCAACTACATGTATCTTGAAATTCATTGGAGACGTCTTGCAAACATTTTAAGATATATTGAACACATTTTGACACATTTTAGCATTTGCGCACGTCGTAGTTGAAATTTCGTCAATCGATCCACATCATTGATTTATCAACAGCAACGACAATACTGGGGAGCGGTTTTAGATGACTGCGAAGAAGTGCAATCATCAACTCCACTGATTACTACAAGATACTTGAAGCTTGGTAGGCATCCATGATTACTAATGCAACAGTTTAGGCATTCTGTCTATGATGTACATGTACATGTATTCGGTTAAAACTGCTCTCAAATGAGAGATGAGGCCCTATACTTTAATATGAACAATGGCGTCTCGACATGATATTGTAACAAGTATTGTTAACTAATATTGAATAAATAGCATCTTGTCAGTGGCGCGATCTGGTTCTGTGATTTACAAGATTTGCTAAGTTTAGTTTATGGCATATGCTTATAGTTTTTTATGATGACATAATTTACATAATTTTGTTGGGGCTATTTACACAGTAATGGATGTTGTTTTTTGTATGGTATTTTAGTAGAACGTTTTGTTTCATGATACTATTCTATAGTTACATTATGTAGTACTTATGTTAATGACATCATTTGATTTTCTTTAATGACAGTGATATGCTAACAAGATATTATTTTGTAGTTAATGGGAAATTGGTATTGTCTATTCCATTTTATTATCGTATTTTACATGATTTATACTTAGATAGTCAGATGTTTACTTAGTGGCGTGAAATAATATTGTAGATTATGACATTATTTTGGTCCGGGGTATCATAGTAGCTCGGTTGACGGCATCCAAAAGTTATCGTTATTATACCATGCTTTATTACTGCCATGTTGCTGGCCATGACAACTTCTTCGGCATCGATTGGCTGTAGTTAAGGGTAATGTTTGTAAACTAAGGTGAAATTAGACTGTTTCCCGGCCCCCTAAAATATGGACAATGGGGTCAGGGAGGGAACCCGACTAAGGTGTAATATCAGTGAGGTATGACTAAGCCACACGATGATTTCAACATAAAGGTGTATTTAAAATCCATGATTCGCCTCACCTGCTAGCATAATCTGCTGCGGCTCACTTCACAACACATCAGGACACCCTAAATGCTGGAATGGAGCAACTAGAGTAGCCACTATACCAGTGTTGTAGTACTCGTATTCGCTACTCGTACTCGAGTACTACTCGAGTACTTTTTTGGGGTACTCGTACTCGTACTCGAAGTACTCGTACTCGAAGTATTCGTACTCGTACTCGAATGTCAAAGTACTCGTACTCGAAATGACGGTACTCGTACTCGGGCAGCAAAGTACTCGTACTCGAATAGCAGTACTGGGGGGCGGAAAAGTTATAGCTTCACTTACCATGGCCTAATTATTTTATCGATACTTTCAGTTTGAAATGGTTGATTGGCTTGTTGAGAAATCGAGATTTTCCTGATTTTCTTCTGCACAAGTCCGGACAAACACATTTAACAGCTAGCCGTGAGTGGGTCTGTATAACGGTCTGACTGGGCCTGGGCCAATTACGCACAATGAACCATTTGCCGTATGGCCGCGGAAATGCGAGTACTCTTACTCGTACTCGTACTCGTACTCGGAAGTACAAGTACTCGTACTCGTACTCGGATGTACAAGTACTCGCACTCGGAGACCCGTTCTTGTACTCGGAGGTACAAGTACTAGTACTCGACGCGTACTCGGTAACCTAAGTACTCGGCAGTACTCGGTACTCAGAAAAAAGTACTCGACTACAACACTGCACTATACATGTACAAGGTGAGTAAAAAAAAACCCGAAACCCCAATGTCGGGACAAATGTTTTAGTAAAGTACTACATGTAGCACTTTCAAAATCTAGGATATGAAAGCCGAATTCATAATCTTTCTTCTAGTACAAGAACCATTCAAATCACTCAAGTACTTTTTAAGTTACGGAATTTTAAACCACCGTTTTAAAGTCCACGAATCACAAAAAAGAGTAGGTGTTCTTTCAGCGAAACGAAAACAAATCACTTGGGATGTGTGTGAATTGTTTTAATTTTGCTAAAAATAAGAACGCACACCTAATGGTGATTGTGTTTAAAATTCTGTAACTTGAAACTTACATGAGTGATTTGAATGTTTCTTGTACTCAAAGAAGGATACGAATTGGGCTTTCATATCCTCGATTTTGCTCTTAAATACAAAAGCACATGGTTCATCTCTTAGTCTCTTCACTCAGTTTTAACCATTTCGATAATTGGCATGGGAGGTAGTATATATAAAGCCAATGCATGTACAAACAAATTCCCGGATGTCCCCTCTCAGGCTTCAAGTGAACAGCAAGGGACTATAGTCGTGTTCCCTAACGTGGCGCACTTCGAAGCTTCCCCAACTTTCCTCGTGTAGTGTTGCCAAACTTCTTTGTTGACAAACCTCAAACTCATGCAGTGAAATACTGGTACTTTGACCTTATTAATGCTTGCTATTTAACATCTGTGAACAATTTCGGTGTCATAAAATTTAAGCCGAAATTAAAAAACGGTGGCGTCCGGAAATTGGGCACAAATTGGCGGAGTGTTCCCTAACGTGGCGCACTTGAATAAATCTCGGAAAATTCCAAATTAACATTTAAGAATTTCTGCCAACTAATTATTATCTCTACTTACATACCCAGCCAGATGTTTGTCAGAAAATTATTTCCTTATTTTTCGGGGCATTTTCAAAGGGTTCACTTTGCACTTGAAAATAAAATCGGAAAATCACGCCAAAATATTGTTTTCTTTTAACTTTGTAGCGGGTAAATAAACTCGCGATTTATGAACGGGAGTGTTTAGAACTTGATGAAATGTCACTTTCTGTAAAATTTCAGTTAAAACTTTTGCTCTAGCTAGGCGCTACAGCCGAAAAATCAAAGTGCGCCACGTTAGGGGCCGCGCCACGTTAGGGTACATCAACAAATATTATAAGGCGAGCAGCTTCGGCGATTAATTATGCAAAACAAGACTTTCACCATAATGTCCCGATCACGACAAAAAAAAATGTCAATTCACAACAGGTATTTCTTGAATTATCGTCCGTGCAACGAGTAGGCCTAGCCTACGTGTTTTTTCCCCCATGAAACTTGACTTCCCCCACCCTGCGAACAGGGTGCGGGGGGGGGGGGGGGGGGGGGGGGGGGGGATACGAGCGAATGATACTGGGTACGGTGACCACTATTTGTGTGGAGCGCCCTCATGAAAGACGTTTTCAAGTAGCCAAAGGGCATGTTTACACCGCGCGGCTCTCGAACAACCGTACGCCCCGCCGCTACGTTCACGCCCATGCATGCAACCTTGCAAGCGCGGTCGAAAACATGATCATCAATTACATGTAGGCCTAGGCCTACTTATGTTTGTTTGCGATGTAATGAACATCACCGGGATAAAAAATGGCGAAGGTAAGTGAAAAACCACCCCCATGTTGTCAGACCCCCTAAAACTACGCGGTCCTATATTTAAACTTGATTTCAGCTTTTTTTGTTTGATAGTGGATATTTTGCCGGAGGTAATGACGGCAAACTACTAAAGGTTTGCCGGCGGCAATCCATATCAACAGAGGGCGCTGTACTCTTTAAGATAGGGCTGAATTATAAGATGTAGGCCTATTAAATTCCCACCAAAAGTTGTGTAGCACGTTTGGTGTAGTGGTTAAGCAAAGGCTCTACTAGTAGTAAGCTTAGCGGGATGACTCGGTTCGATTCCGACCGCAGCACATTTTAAGGTTTTTTTTCTCATCCCCAAATAAATAAGAATATTCTTCTTTTATTATTTTAACATGTCTCAAACATTTTTTTGCAGAGTACATTGTATTAGGGCCTACATTTTCTTTTTCAGATTTGTGGCTCTGGAGGATTTTTTTTAAAAGGGAAATAAAGTCCGAAATTATAAAATGGTCTGAATCCCATCTTGTGAATACGAGGTTACAACGATAATTTTGGCATTGAGCCAGACTAAAGTTTGTCAGGTAATACTTACTTTTAGGACCCCGTTCCTATATAGGAAGGGAAAGACTCACCAAAACAGTTGACTAAATGACACTCAAAATTGACATTCTGATACTTCTTGGCACATCTGAACAATTGGCAATGACACCTTCTTGACTTCTAAAGACTGCTTTAGCCTGCAAAAGTCACTTTGGTACTGGACAGACATCTGCAAAAGTCAGTTTTGAACAGAACTCGTAAAAAATAGAGGTGTCCTAAAAGTAAGGATTACCGTTTGTCACCGGAAAATGTTTAAGTACAAAAACCCAGTAACTGCGCATGTTCAGTGCATTATCCGGCAAACTAACGTTTACTAAAGGTTTGCCGTCTCCGGCAAAATATACACTGCCTTTTTGTTATGGATTTCAGCTTTTTTCCCTCACTTGCTGTGTACAAAAGTATAGGAGATTTCCAAAGTTCAGCTTTTTTTTACACCTTTTCGGCTGGTTTCAGCTGTTTTCAGCTATTTTATTTTATCAGTGGTCACTCACACTCCTGGAAAAAAAACAAGTAGGCCCCCCCTATTTCTGCTTCCGGTTTCCCTACCTACCCTATTCTGAGAGCCCCTACCCTGTAATCGGAAGCAGAAATATATTTTTTTTGGGCCTAATCAGTGGTGCGCGCTCCTGTATGATGTTTTTTACTAACAAGCCGGATGGCTACTGATGTTAGAGCCACTTGTCTGAAATTTCTATTGGTTTGGGTTTTTATGAATGGGGATAATGTTGCTGTTTTTCCACAATTTAGGAATTACGTGTGTACACTACAGTCCAAAAACCACTGAAAGAGCCTGTGAAAAACAGTTGATAGCTCCTTCCAACAGAGTTTCAGAGCCTTTCAGTGACACCATCAGGTCCCATGGCTTAAAGGGACACTAGGTCCTGGAACAGCCCAATGTGGCTACAAAACGCGCTTTGAACGAGATCATGATAATCGGAAATAACGTTTAAAAGTAGGATATAAACATCCACACAACTATCCTTTCAAAACTGGGCATTTTTGTGTTATTCCTGTATTATGCGTGCGAGAACGAATTTCGGGGTCCACTTTTGTGACCCCATAAATTCAAGCTGTTTGGATGCTAGTTGTGATTTCATTCGTAAAGTGTTTGCATTTTGCGGACGTTGAAGAAACCACAATTTTTTGCATTGGTGATTGGTCACCGCGTGCTGTTCCCGAGACACACAACGTGTATAACGTACATGAGAACAACACGAAAAACGTATTCGTACTCCGTCATGTCCGATGTTTTTTTCGTCTTTTCTCGGGAACGGTAAGACATTAGGTTGGTTTCCTTTCAACCAGATGTTTGAAATAGGCTAAGTAAATAATCCAAAACATAACATTTTCTGGGATTTCAGGACCTAGTGCCCCTTTAAGTTCCGGAAGGTCTGCTCCACACTTAAATCGCAGTCTTGTCGGAATCATCAATCTGCCAACAACCCACCCGCCACTTCTTATCTTTCTCACATGTTATATCCGCATAAAACAAAAGAATATTCGGAGCCTATTTCCGGAGCGGTGAACTGCAAGAGTTGAGAGTTCAAAGGTAGGCTCTCGCAGATGCGGTCCAAGGTGCTCGGGCAGAGCCATATATGTTTACAGAATGAATGCTTTTAAAGGGAATGTACATGTACATCATTTGCTTTTGCTGTAATTTTCAGGAATGAACTATTAGAGGGGTTAGTATAATAGATAAAATATTGTTACACTGACATGTTTGAAATTTTGTGTACGAAAATGCTGGAAAAACCAAGAAAAACAAAAATGTTCAAGTAGTCTGTTCCCTGACTCCACTAAAGATGAAATGGATCAATTTATAGATGCCAGAAAATTGTAAGGCAAGGGAACCAGTCTAGCTGGCCTGCACCCGTTCATGAACATGTAACCAATAGCAAACCAAATTTGGACTGAAAAAAAGGGTAAATTGGAACAGTATTTGAAAAATGGTTAGGTTTTTCCAACGGTGGTCGGCTGACCACCGTCAAAAATATACAAAAATACCATTGTCTTTAAAATGGCTTCACACCAGGTGCCATCATTTTACAGGATGCTTTAGACTGTCATTTACCAACATTGTAGTAAGGCATTTCTTAAAATCTTTGTAATTTTATTCGTGGATGTTTGCAAATGTTGCATATTCCCTTTAAGAATAACCAAGGCTGTCGTACATAATGTACAGAGATGAAACATGTAGTCTGGATGTAGCGTTTGTCCACTTGCATCTGTAATACTTTATCCTGATGACTACTTGAGGCAGAATGTTTTTTTTTTTTGAATATTCAAATTTTATTTGACTGAGAACCAACAAACATACATCGGTATCATTACAAAGTTCTTGAACTGAACTGTGTGATCAGATTTTAAAAATCAGACACAGTAAAAACAAAAGTTGGGTTAACTGTAAAATAAGCATCATATCAACTTGCCTCACTGTTGATTAATTAACTCAAGAAATGATTGACAAACTTTCCGGAAGAAATTGCCCCAAGGGGAAGGCAGTTAATAGAATGACCATCATTTAAGGCAACATACCGACCCATTTGCCCATTTCTTTTTAGTGTAAATCTTCCATATGTTGCACTAAAACAAATAGATATTTAAAAATGCTGTACACAGTCTTTGGCCGAAATGGATATTTTTTGCTCTGGCCACTGAAAAGACAAGTACCTTCAATCTCCAGCTTTTCATATATTTCTCTCTATCAAGCAATTTCATATGCTGTACCCCTTTTCGTGGTTCATCTTCATGTACATGTACTTGCAAATTTTGAACATATGAACATACATTTGTAACATAAATGTTTTGGAAGCCAAGTTAAATTTTGTCCTCTGTGATATTTGATGATACATTTGTATACATTTCTAAATGGGATTACTTATTTTTGAAATATCATTTTCTCTTTACAAGTAAAGCCTTAACATTTACTTTTATGCACTCACTCATAAGTCTAAATAAATTTATTCATTTTACTCTTTTTGAAATCTCAGGGTGTAAAGCGAGGTAGTGGGAGTGGTGACGACCGTCCAAAGAAGAGGCGGCGTAAGGATTCGGTCAGTAATGATGAGAATGATGCCGCTACGGATAGTCAAGATGTGCACAACAAGTGTAAGTGCATGCCACGTCCATAAGAAGCTTGCAAGGTCTGGATAGCTGTAGCTGTGCTGAAAGACATAAGTAGTCCTTAGAATTATTCTTAATTTTTCCCCAGCAGGATTGAGGCTGTATGCTATTTTTGCATGGAGGCAGTTGGAGATTTTGCAGGATTGAGGTTGCACATGTACATCTCAGCAAAAATGCCTAGGGAGTTAGGGTTAAAAAGATATGGCTAAAAACACTTGATGAATAGAAAATAAGAGCGATTTGAAAAAAGGAACCAAGCAAAAGAGTGCAAAATTAAAAACCAAATCCAGTAAAGACACCCAAGAAGGGTAAATAATCGTACAATTCCTGAAAAAAACTGACTTAAAATTGTGAAACAATTTGCTCACTGCAAAAAAACAGGAATAACAAAAACCACATCACCCAGCCTTTGCAATTTGCCCCCTCATTGACCCTATAGTTTTGTCATAAGGTAATGAAATATGTCCTGAAAACCCCCATGAATACAACACATTTCTCATTTGGATTTGTTTCCCCAATGGTTCATCAATCAGCTTCTAAAGCGAAACCAGCAAGGGTTTCCGAACGATTAGCAAACAGACAGAAGCTAGCACGGAGATCCGAATTAAGCCGTTCCAAGGCTGCTAGCAACAAGGCTAAGCAACACCGCAAAGTGGCAGCTGTAGTGAAGAAGCATGTCAAACCAACAGGAACAGCTAAGAAAGGTTGGTGCAATTGTAACAGTTTTTGCCACAACTGATGACAGTTTTGCTACTTGGTGACTTGTGATTTTTCACGAGTCACCGAATTGATAAGTCATTTTGGAAGCAGGCTTTAAACCAAACCACGCCCCCCATTCCCCACCACTGTATCCTACACTGATGTGCACTCGTCATTATGTTCTAATGATAACAAATGGGCACCGCGGATGTGTTACCTCATCAGAATATATTTATTTGCTTTTAGTAACAACGAGCAATTTTGCATCAATATACTCGCCCTTCCACTGATCCACAAAGACCCGCATTTTTCAACATCAATCATCTAGTATGTCTCACTGATTATAATAAGCCTACTGCCTAGTATAAATGATTCCAACACAAGGATAGATATTGAACATTTGCATAGTTTGGTCAAAACTAAGGAGCTTTACTATCTGGAAAGCTTTGACCTCTTAAAAGTATAATACGTACGTAGATAATAAGTTAGGCCAAATAAAACAACAAACATGTTTAGCATCCGTGCCCGCTTTCTTTTTGGAGGCCGCCTTTCTTTTCTGAAAAAAATGATAAAATTTAAACAGTGACATCATTTTGGCCTCTTTGCATGTTGCATCTGGGCCATATAAAGCTGGTACATGTATGTCATTTCCTGAGTCCAAGTGGCGGCCATTTAAAATAAACGCTGGCGGCCATCTTTAAAAATAGCCCAGCCAGTCGTTTTGGCGGCCATTTTGGGAAAAAAAGGGCCTACTCTTTCCTTTTTTGCAAAAAGGCAGGACGCTGAACATTTATTTTTTAATTTTTTTATTTGGCCTTAGCTACCTAGAGATAGTAATTCCATGAAAGAGATTGTGTTTTGCAGTGGATCTTTTGCTTTAATTCCAATGTTGATTCCATCGACCAAATCTTGTGCATATGCACAACTCTTTTATGCACGTTTGGTAATGAAAATTTGGAGCATATGGGCATCAGTGTAGAGATGATCCTCATATGCAGCTCACAACAACCAAAAATCATTAAATTAACTTGGTTTTTATAGATGCAAAGAAAGCGACTTCAAAGGCCGGCAGTAGCAAAGCAGTCTCAAAGGCCAAACCAGCAACAGCAGCAGCAGCAGCAAAGAAACCAATTAGCTCTAAAGGAGGGCACAAAAAGGCGACACCCGGAAAACCAAAGAAGGATGTGGCTAAGAAGCACGCAGAGAAAACAGCCAAGAAAACCAAAGCCAAATCTAAGGACAAAACCAAGACAACAATCCCAGCAGTTAAGAAGCGGAAGACAAAAAAGGAGGAGCTGAACGAGAGGCGGATGAGGGTCAAGGTGGTGCCTAACAACCAACTGACTCCCAACCTGAACATCAAGGTGGTGCAGAAGGACCCCATGTTTGAAGTCAAGTAAGTGCGACCCCCTAAAAAGGAAGCATTACACCTGCTCTTCCGTATTGTCTTCCATTATAATGATCTCAGGTAACCAATATGCTGGTCTTTCCGAAAGGTCTATTTTGTTAAAATATACATTTGCTCAGTTGCCCAGACTTGATGCCAAGCTTTGTCAACTTTGTGCGGAAGAAAATCCATACTGGATCACCACATTACCTGCCACCAAACACATCAGTTTTTCCCTCACCTTGTGATTTCACCCAAGAGGAAGCCAGGAAGCCTCAGCAATGCGAACATTTTTTAGGAAAAATGTGTTTTAGAGCACATTTTGGATGCACATGTCGTGCAGAACTAAGTTGAAGCAGCCGGTCAAAACTGATTGAAGTGTCTGGAAGACAGTGGTATGTTATCCGCATGGCATCGACAACCATGACAACGCCATGAGCTGGCCAATGATAATGCAATACGTCATTATGAATATTTATATTTTCATGAATATTAAGTTTATTTCAATGGATACTTCAAATACCACTTACTGTGGTCATCCCCTGAGAGTGATTATGAATAGCAAACTACCTACCTAACAAAAAGAACGTTTGAAGTCATTCTTAATGATACCTGACTGGCAAACTGCAAAGTTCTGAGGTAACAGGGACAGGAAAAATGTCACACTTTGGACACTAAATGTATAGAATATATGAAAATACATTCCCAATGTGAATGCCAAGTGAATTTGATGTTACAGAGTTTCACAGCACTTGTGTGTTGAACCTTTTTTCAAATTTGTAGCATGTAATTACCTTGGTCGTCACAAATGTTCTGTGCGTTTTACATGCATGTGAAGAATGAAAGGCCACATTTTGGCTAGTCAGTCACACACTAGGCTCAAGAGTAACCCAGAACTTGTTTGTTGGAGAATGTCCATTGGATTTGCCTTAATTTTCAGGAATGAGTCTGAGATTCCCGAGGTGTCCAAGTTTGTCCAGTGCAAGCGCAGCATCCGCGCCGTGCTGACCAACGACATGAGCCTCCTCAAGAAGCTCATCGAGAACAAAAATGTGCCGTCCGTTTTCCACAAACGAAGCGTGTCAGATGAGAGGACGGCTCTGGCTTACGCGGTGAGGACGGAGAACCATGCTGCTCTCAGGCTCCTCCTACCTGAGATTGACAACTACAGAGAGCGGGCCAAGCTACCAGATGTTGTCATGGAGTATCAGAGTTCTGGCCGGTAATGAACAGTTTAAAGAGGTTGTGGAATGCTCTAAGACTTTTCCGTCATTTTTCGGGTATATGTAGCCTAAGGTGTGATGAAATTAAAACGACTATTGTTTCTGTCATGAAATGAATACAAAAAGTACTTTTGAGAGCTGTTTTTCAGGTCCTGTTTCGACCCGAACACGCAATTTGTGTAAAAGTTGTCGTTGGGGGCAGCAAACAAAACATAGTAAATTGATGTAATAAACAGGACTCCCTATGCAGCGTAGTATAAACGAGTCCTGTTTATTACGTCACGATTTTTCTGATTTTACGAAGAACCCGACGACTGTTCATTTCAATTATGCGCTCGCCGACCAACAAATTACTCGATGAATTTCAGTTTTATAAACATATAAACACACATTACAAAAGAATGGGAGTTTGTCATTATGATATATATGGGTCTACTCTACAATAAAAAATATAAAAAACAAAACGACTTTCAGCATTCCACAACCTCTTTAAGATTTGAGGCTTTGCATGGTGCAGTATCGGTATCATTTCAGTTTGCGGTAAGACCATGTGGTAATAACTACTGCTTACAATGGCTTAGTCTCCTGACGATGACTAGAGCAGGCTAGTCGAAACGTTGAGACCAAAGACAAGTTCTTTTAGAACTTAAAGCAGGACTGTTCTTATCAGAACAAAACAACTTAGCGAAAGTTGATAATAAGCAGGACAAGTTCTTCTCAGAACTAAATATCTTCTAAGCAGTAGTTATTACCACATGGTGTTACCGCAAACCGAAAAGATAATGAACAGTTTGTTCAGCAATACAAATTGTTAAAAAAACGGTTTGGGAAATGACATTTACACCGAAACATATTTTTGTGTGGAAATTTCCACTCCTCTGAATTGTATGAAAATATGTGACATTCTTTCTTGTTTAATGTGTTTGTCAATTGTACTCTTTCTCACATGGTGTCCGTGCTGTATTCTGATAATGTAGGGCACTATTGCTGTAATGTCACTATTGGCAGATACTCTGTAGTTAAGGCTTTTTTGGTCCAAAATGTGAAACCAGAGGAGATTATTAGGAAAGTTGCTTATTCACTGGCAGATTTAGGGGGTGGGCAAAAGGGGGATGGAGGGGGGGGGGGGGGGTGGCAAACCCTTTCTCCACCCCCACCACCCAGAGCATTGAAAAACTGCCCATACCCCTCTTCCACGAACCCTTTACCCATAGCTATTTCTACATACTTTGGTGCATACACAGGTATATGATAGTCCACTTTGAACAAATGCCCACTAAGGAAAATGGTGTCCAGCCCACCCCCTCCCCCCCAATAAAATAAAAAAATAAATATTATAAGCAAGCAGCAGCAACTGATAGACTGGAAATTTTATCACTGTTGGGATCATGAATATGGAAATTTGCATTAACATAAGATCCAAAAAGGCCCTGAAACCCTGTTAGAAATAACCATACAAAGACTGAAAATCAGGTTAATCAGACACTTTTTAAAGGATTTGGAGAACATGGGCCCCAACCTTGCAAAGTAATAACTAGGTAATTTGTGTCGCTCCACAAGAACACTGTGTTGGTTTTGGTAGCCTTGCGTGATCTGTGTCACTTTTGTCCTTGGTGGCTACAAACATACATGATTTGCTGACATGACATTGTGTATTGATCTTTATCTTCACAGGGCACGCTTTGCAAATTCTGGTTTTGGGCAAGGTTTTTTCATGGGCAGAGGGAACAAAGAAGGGAATAATGCCTTCACAAAGGTAATTAACAGTCACTGCCACAGGCAATATGTCAGCCACGACTCCTTGGGCTGTGTGGGCGTTCCTTCACTATCCCCTGTCCGTGTAGAGTATGTAACCTAGTGTACGCCCATTCCTAGCTCATTCCAACCAAACTAAAATCATCCCTGACTATGCAAATCCATCCTAACTGAAACTAAAAAAGTACAACCCAAAGACAACCAATCCCAACATTGCCCAACCTGACTATAGCTCCAGATCTGAATGACTCATTTTAAGCCGATCATTTCAACCCAACCAAACCCAGTGCAACCCAGTTCAAGCCAAAATTGACTTTACAACCCAGGTTGACTCGACCCAACCCAACCCAGTTCAAGCCTTACTCATCAAGCCGACATTTTTTCAAAAGCTCATTAAATCCTTTTGTTTGATTACACAGGACCTAAGTCAGCGTGTAGACCTTAGGCAAAACTACATAGATGAAGTGATCAAGTGTGGTGTATCAACCGGCACCATTGATTTGATCTTAGCCACGGACACGGAGGATGGAGAACCAGAGGTTGGTGTTTCATAACCTTGATATCTTGACCTTCCTGAATCTTGCAAAATAACCAACATCTGTGTTTGGTAAGTTGATTTATCAGCTCATAATGGCTTAAGCAGCAGATGACTAGATGATATATTGGTGCAGTGTTAAATGTGTAAATATTGTTTTAATAAGGGGATAAATATTGTGTTGAAGCAGTTTTAAACGTCTGGTTTAAAACCATTTTTGACCAGGCCCCTAACCGGTTTTAAAGGTAGAATGGACGGACCATTTGCAGCTATCCAAAAAATTACCAATCAAATTATTATTACAAATCTGACTTGAATTGTAATTATTCCTTCTTTGGCATGCTGGTATTTTGATGAAAACGACAAAAGAAGGTCATTTCAAAGAAGCGTCTAGTAAAACATTTTCCAAAATTTCCGTTTGTAGTTGGTTTGTCTGAATGCTTATTTCGGGAGTGTGTCACAAGAGGGCGTAATTCAAAATACCCCTCGATGGATGTTGAATTGAAATCGAGATCCATTGCGAGAGTATTGTGTTTTTTTCAGAATGTACAGTATTCGCAGAGCTAAAAGTTCATCAGGTTAGTTGTTAAGCACCTGTCTTTAGATTTTGAGCACTTTTGTTGCTTCACACAAACGAAAAGGGACAAATGACAAATGGTCCATTCTCTATCTTTAATCCAGATGTTTACAAACTGCATCACACTATTATTCTCATCCATAAATACCTTTTTGTAGAACACTTCAAACAGAAATTCTGACAATGTTTTTTCCACATTCAGGCTAATTCTATGGGGCGCGTCGCGAGCATGGTTTGGTCAAGATCTCATTTTTCAAAAGTTCCGTGCAGAAGTACCCCTTCAACGTCCAGAAAAGGAGAGTTATGGGAGACCTAGACTGGTTCCAGGTCGGTCCACTACGTATTTCAAATGATCCAAAGTTATCGGGGGTGGGGACTAGTCTGTGAGACCATTGCAAATTGAATTTGAACATATTCACGCACCGACGCTGCCTGACGCTCACGCGAAGATGCCTGACGCTCACACAAAGAAGCTGTGGTTAATAGCTTTGGCACATTCAGGACATGCGTACTTCGCGCGCGAACAGTACGCACACGCTGGGTGTCCTGTCCACGGAGCTCTCAAAAGTGGTAAACAACGTCCCTCTGTTGTTGGCGCACGGAGCCCATTGTGCCAAAAAGCCACTTTTCATGAACTAAAAACCCGTTTTCTTAATTAGGACACACTGTTCAAGAGTATCCACAAGATAGCTCGAGCAGGCCATTACAAACTGGCTGGCTACTTGGTTGACAAAGCCAGGCAGTTGTCCCGCCTTGGATTCAATAAAGTTCATCAAGAGGTAAGTCGTCAGCCAATTTGGTGTTCCCAACTGCTTATACGTGTTCTAATCAAAACTAAATGAATGTCCAATTGACAGCAGAATCAATTCTTTACATACATGGAAATCGTAGAGGAGAAGACATCACAAGGATTCTTGTTCTGAAATATTCGTACTGCACCGTGTTGCAGTATTTATAATTTGATATTAAGAAAAAAAAGGGGCTGGCCACTTTGGCCTGAGTGTTATCAAATTTGAAAGGGCACCGAGGCCAAGTGAAGGCTGAGGCCAAGAATGTAATCCATAGTTTTTGCATAGCTATAGGCCAACATGCAATATGGTTGGGACATATATAGCCGCATGTGCAGTGGGAGTCACATTTTAAAGTCAGTTTCCAGTACAGCTTATATATTAAGTTTAATAGAGAAGATGAACATTACAAAAAGAACGGCCGCTGCCTGCGTTTGTTTTGTGTAACATGGTTGACGTACTACATAGAACCAGCAATGATGTTTATGCAGAATCAGTGTGTTGATATATAAGCCAAAACAAATAATAGCTTTTATTGCACAAATGAAAATAATTTCGGCTGAAAATGATGTGCAAACTCCACTAAATCAGCACCCCCCCCCCAAAAAAAATAAAGATAAGCAGATACTTCCGATATATATGGCTTTAAAAAATATGTAGTGGATAGTTCGGGAATTTTTTGGGTTTTTTTGGTGCTGATTTAGTGGAGTTTGCCCGCCATTTTCGGCCGGAATTATTTTCATTTGTGCCATAAAAGCTATCAAAAAGGGCCTCAAAAGTGATGAATATTTAATGAATATAAAAATATTCAAGTGGATAATTCTTTAAAACACACTATGCATAACATTACTAACGACCAAAGATCGTTAAACGCCGCGCCAACTGGCCAACACGATCTGATGTACTGTGCCTTTATGACACATACTTTTGGAAATGATGTTGTGGTAGTATTAACAAACTTGACTCATTACCCAGTGTCACACCCCCAAACTTTCCCATTTTGGTGTAGACAAGGTTGGCGACCCATTATTTATTGCCCGTGTCTTGGACTTCACCTAGCTGTTTGACCCTTTTAACAGTCAGGATCAATGCCACCTCACTTCCTACATGAGCCTGTTTCGTTGTAGATCAATGAAAGTACAGTAGACTTGCTATAACATTTGGTTAACACCTTGCACTCTTGGTAGGTTCTTCTTGCCAAGCAGCCAGAAGACATATCCCGCTGCTTGACAGTCTCCGTCAAGAAGAAGGCTTACTGGGAAGTAGACAAGGTTAGTTTTCATACCAAGTCACCAAGTTGATTTGTCATTTGAATATACCTGACTTGTGATCTGATTGTCGGACTCGGCTATGACTCTGGTGGTCCAGCTACCAACGTAAAGGGCTCATGCAATATTGTGCTTTTGTAATGCAATACTTGAAAATGCATCTTTGTGTCCTGTTTAATCTTATTTTCAGTTGTCGTTTTGCCTTTTTCAATGGTATTTTGGAACCTTTTTGGTTTTTACACTTATGCAAATTTTCACATTCATGAGCAAAACCGTGATGTCATTTCAGGCAAAAATCTTATTGTTACAGCTATTTCAGCATCAAAAGTTGCCAGAATTGTGCGTGTTTTGCTGTCGTAAATGTTTGTTTCATTGGCGATTCGTTGCAATGTGTCAGTACATGACAGGTAGCAATTTCTCACAAATGTTTTCAATAAACAAATTTTCGGTTAGCAATTTGAACAGTAAAAGCAAGTAAATTCTGTCACGAGCCAATGTGGCCCATCAGGCCGGTGTTTATCTCAGGTTTCAGTAGCATGAAACGACTGAGAATATTTCTATTCCCCCTGGATGGGATGCCAGTCCATCGCAGGTTACTCCCCAGCTAATACCGGTACCCATTCATACTCCTGGGTGGAGAGAGGCAAGTGAGGGTAAAGCGGCTTGCCCAAGGACACAACATATGGCAAGCAGCTGGATTCAAACCCCTGACAATCTGATCACAAGTGAGGAACCCTAACCACTAGGCCACACTCACCACACTTTGAACAGAAAACCCCAAAACAGACGAGTGTCTTCATGAAATGACGTCACAGCAGCAGCGCCCACAATTGACCTATCGCCGTTTGTGAGTTAGCCACGCCCCTTAGACAACCCTATGGAGTTTTTGTACTCTGAGGTTTATTTGTCTCATATGTTGCGCGTTCTGCGTCCATTTGTATATCATGTAATTGGACAATATTTCATAAGTTGCGTTGACAAGATTCTACCGCGATAGGTCAATTGTGTGGAAAAGCGTGGAAAAACTTTAATGTTTAAAAAGAAGTCCACTTTTCAATAACATTAACCAGAAAGGGATGTCACATAGTTTTCATACATTTTAGAAGGCAAAGTTGCACAAAATGTGTTCATATTGAAGCTTTTTTTTTGGCTCAGGTATTTTCCTCAAAAGTTTTGTTTCTCCATATTTGTTTGAAAAATGAAATAATATGGCTTTCTGTTTCCTTGTTTTCTAGATCACTCCTGTGCATTTTGCTGCCATAAACCCCAACCCCAAGATACTGGATAAGCTGATGTCCATTTTGCCAGAGTATTCTATCATGGATAGCTATGGATTGAGGCCCATCCACTATGCTGCTGTGTGTGAAGGAAGTGGCCCTCTTGAATTGCTACTAAATCGGTGAGATGCTCTGCATTCAAATACAGTCATTGGGAAGCAGGGGCGGATCCAGGAATTTTTGCAAGGGGGGGGGGAGGGTTTTCATCAGCAAAAAAATCTGAAAATGTACACAGGTTTTTTTTCTCCGGACACTTGGCCTCGGTAAAATCAAAAACTTGGGGGGGGGGGGGGGGGGCCTTGTACCATATTTCAATAGTGGGCGCTGTTCAAATTTGACGATTATTAGTACTAGATTACAGAATGGTCTACCGTATTTAGAACAGACAGACATTATACGAGTAAAAATTTGTTTTGGGTGTCATAGCAGGGGGAGGGGGTTTCGACTTATTTTTTTGGAATTTGTATGGAAAAACAATTTCTTTTTACAAAGCAAGGGGGGGGTTTTTTTTTGACCCCCAAAAGCCCCCCCTCTGGATCCGCGCCTGGGAAGCATTATGCAATGCATGGGTCCTGCAGCAAATGCTAATGAAATTTGTATCCTTGTGGAGACATTTCTTTGTTCTCGTGCAGTAAAGTTTTCGAGTTTGAAAGTGTAGTTTCAAAATGCTCTTATTTTAACCAGAATTAATTTCCTTGGCTGAAATTCAGACTTAATATCCCTTTTCTAAAACTCTTCCATTTGCGACAGATCAAATCAATTTGGAAATTCCTATTTTTTTGAGTAAAATCCATTTATATCTATTTCGTGAAAACCTTGTGGAGACGTATTCATCTATAGAAATTGCCCAGTGGAGACATATACAATCTTTTGTTCCTTATTGTGTGCATGTCTCCAGAGGGCACGGTGTATCAGATCGGTGTGTAATGTATGCCAAGGGGAGGATACTCGTAACAAATTTGTCAGGCAGCTTTATTATATAGTTGTTGGCTATTTAACAAAACTCAGTGAAAGCTCCTTAACATTTGCTATATTTGAATTTTTTTTAGATGATAACGTCTTTTAAGATGACTGTTTACGACAGTTTGGTATAGTGGTCTCAAATAGTCCGTAAATTGGCTTCGCCTATCGCAATTTTTGAAAACAGAGAAAGCCCACTCTCCTCAGAATTGGACAAGAATGCTGAAAATGCCGTCGTAAATTTTTTTTTTCAAAATGTGTGATCATTGAAAGTTTATGAAGTGAAGAAATTTAATTTTAATAGTAGCAATACCATCTCTTGACTTCCTAGATTTTGACCAATCAGCAAGCGCTTTCTAATTTTTCTATAGGCCTATCGGGCCTTCAGTCATTCACCCGTTGCGGGTCATAGGCATGGATAAAAACCAACTCTTACGGTGCGCGGTGCTCGGTATCATGTCACTTGAATGTGCTCCCGGCTGTTGTTGTACTACAAAACACTGCATTCGAATTGACCAATCACAGTGTTAGATTTGGGAATGAAATGACATCACGATTTAGTAAAGTCAACTCCAATTGGCTGTCAGATGTTCGACTGGAGATAGATAGCGCTCCGTGGAGAACGGGTGATACTCAGACTACCCTCTGCTCTGACACCCAGAAAAAAATTATGAATATAATATATCTGCCTGTGCACAGAATTTTCTCAGAGCCAACTTGGTTAAGGGGATATACAATTCTACACTATTCTTTAATATAGTGTTGATGATCGTCGGACGTTTGAACAGCACCCCCATTGAAAGTATGGTCCAAGCCCCCCCCCCCCCTCCCCCACCCCTCCAACCACCCCCCCCCCCCCCCCCCCCAATTGATTTTACGGAGGTTAAGCGTCCGGAGAAAAAAAACTACATGTCAGTATTTGTTGCTGATGAAACCCCCCCTGCACACATGTCTGGATCCACCCCTGAATAAATGTGCAACTTTTGTACTTTTTTGCAAATGTACATATCGCGTTTGGAGAATAAACTCTTCAAATGTTTGTCTTGATTTTAGAGGTGTAAATCCTGAAGACAAACATACAGGAGGTGTGACCCCGCTCATGATGGCTGCGAAAGCTGGACGAGCAAAGAACGTTGAAGTTCTCCTCAAGAGCATTGAAGAAAAAAGAAAAACCATTGAAGAAGACAGAAGAAAAAATATCGAAAGACTAAGAAAAATCGCTGAAGAAAAAGGAGAAACCTTTAAAGAAGAAAGTAAGTTTCAGCCAGTTAAAAAGGTAGCTCCAGTATCACAGCTCAAGTGGTACCGGGTATGATAATTTATTCTTACGTCAACAGGCCAATAGGTTTATTCATGAGAACAGAACAATGATATCAAGAGCATTGTTCTTTAGTCAACCCTTTACATTAAAGCATTTTTGAGAACTTTTGTTGTCGAGCTACCACACAGTAGCCTAGTGGATAGTGAGATGAGCCATGGATACAAAGGTCCCTGGTTCGAATCCACGTCATCACTGCTCATTTTCATCGACTATTTTTATGCCCTGCGGCGAAGCCGAAGGGGCATACTGTTTCCGCCTCGTCCTTCCGTGGGTGGGTGGGTGTGTGTGTGGGTGGGTGGGTGGGTGGGTGGGTGGGTGTGTGTGTCCGGACAAATCTTGTCAGCGCGATAACTTGAGAAATACTTAACATATGAACTTCAAATTTGGTTTGTGGATTTTTCTTGGTAATCCTAAGAAGCCTTTTGCATTTGGGGCCAAAAGGCCAAAGGTCAAGTTCACAGTGGCTAAAACAATTGAAATCTTGTCAGCGCGATAACTTGAGAAATACTTAACATATGAACTTCAAATTTGGTTTGTGGATTGTTCTTGGTAATCCTAAGAAGCCTTTTGCATTTGGGGCCAAAAGGCCAAAGGTCAAGTTTACAGTGGCTAAAACAATAGAAATCTTGTCAGTGCAATAACTTGAGAAATACTTAACATATGAACTTCAAATTTGGTTTGTGGATTGTTCTTGGTAATCCTAAGAAGCCTTTTGCATTTGGGGCCAAAAGGCCAAAGGTCAAGTTCACAGTGGCTAAAACAATAGAAATCATGTCAGCGTGATAACTTGAGAAATACTTTACATGTGAACTTCAAATTTGGTTTGTGGATTGTTTTTGGCAATCCTAAGAAGCCTTTTGCATTTGGGGCCAAAAGTCCTAAGGTCAAGTTCACAGTGGCTAAAACAATAGAAATCTTGTCAGCGCGATAACTTGAGACATAATTAACATGTGAACTTCAAATTTGGTTTGTGGATTGTTCTTGGCCATCCTAAGAAGCCTATTGCATTTGGGGCCAAAAGGTCAAGGGTCAAGTTCACAGTGGCTAAAACAATAGAAATATTGTCAGCGCAATAACTTGAGAAATACTTTACATGTGAACTTCAAATTTGGTTTGTGGATTGTTCTTGGTAATCCTAAGAAGCCTATTGAATTTGGGGCCAAAAGGTCAAGGGTCAAGTTCACAGTGGCTAAAACAATAGAAATCATGTATTTATTCTGAGATTATAGGGATTAGGGATTAATTCATATAAAACCTACAGAAGACACTAATGCTGTCAATGAATGTTCCATGTGACCAAGGTACATGTAAGTTGATGTTAAAAGAGTGGTGTTATGTCATGGGAACTGTCACCGTTGCGGGGCATTTGTGTTTGTAAACACACCTGACTTGTTTCCCTCTGAGTTTATCGTTGAGATAATTTTAACTAAAGGGAAAACAGGAACCTAAGTGCCTTGCAATGATTCAAATGAAACACATAAATTATCATAACAATGATAAGTGGTACAACTGTAGTTGTGATACTGGTGCTACCATCTGAAAAGTTTGCAAGTTAACTCTATGGGAAGGCGAGTCGGTGCCATGGTGAGGTAAATGGGGAATAATTCCTTTGTAACGACCCTGCCCAAAGGTTTCCGTGACCTGGAAAAACCTGGAAAAGTTATGTAATTTTGTTTTCAATTTCCATCCCCTGGAAAAGTCATGGAAATTCGTACAAATGACAAATCATGGACAAGTCATGCAATTTTGTCATGTTTGTAAGGATTAATTTATTTTTTATTGAAACTTTTTTTTCTCATAATTGACCATCTGAAAAATTACTTTACTTTCAACAAAATGCAAAAAAATCGCAGACACAAGCATTTTGAATTTGAAAGACATTACTGGTTTTTTTGGTTGCGTTTGTGTTTCTGATGAGGGTCATTCCGTGTCAAATCAACACGCTTTTGGACCCGACCCTCACAGATTGAAACGATATTTGGTGTGATGATTGGCCTATATGAGAAACCCCCAGAACTGAATTTTTTTGTAAATTGACTCGTTAGTTTTTGAGATACGGGTCAACGAACTTTTGACTAATTAGCATGACCTCCGAACTTTAAATACTTGTATCTCAAAAACTATAGCGCCTACAAAGCCAAGTTGTACATCATATTAAAGCTCTCTGAATGGCCTCCATTTCATAAATAAAACCAAAATCGTAGCATGAAGTGCAGAGAAAATGCGTAACAAAATGACCTTTGACCTCGAATATCGAAAAACAATATGCTTCAAATTTTGTAATTTTTTTTTAAATGTTAGTTTATGATGTCAGCAACAATCTTAAAAAAAAATTGGGATGGGCGCTCTTAAAGTTTTTAAGTTATGATTTTTTGAAGAAAGCCTGTCCATGAAAAAGTATGCATAATATTAAATGTACATGTACATGTACATGTATACTTGTACTGTGTACATGTACATGTGTACATTTTACCTGTGCATCATGTTTGCCCTTTACAACCATATAGTCTCAACTCATATATATTAAGGGCAGAACAAAATTACTTATAAAAAATATGTTATACCGGTCTACGTTACTTTCATTTTTTGCTCAACCAAAGTCTGTGTTGCAGTGTTCATCTCCTCGGCGGAGATCTTGTATACGCGTCCTGTTTCAGTGAACGGTTCCACTGCTGTTAGTACATCCTTGCCATGAATTACAAGTGTGTCTGGTCGATAGGGGAACTTGAAAGATGGAGATGGCCCATGGGGATGAAGGAAACTTAGTTCCACTTCTTGGGATGCTGGAAGGATCTCCTGAACACATGCTAGCCACCAGTAACAGTCATACATCACTGTAACATACCCCTTGATATCTGCAAAATCAATACATGCAGTTTGTCCATGGACTTGGAGACAAACTGGTTCCTCCCTTGAGTCTGAGGAGGAGGAAAAATCACGCACCTTAATTTTGTCTCTAGACATCGGACAAAAACAGTGCAGCTTTTGTGTTCCTGGAATGGTACGTGCAATTTGGAATCTTTGCCTGAGAATATCCGCTTCATTCTTGTATTGCTCTGTTGTTGCAAAAGCAAAGTCAGTACTCTTTCTCTGAGAAGTAGCAAATTCATACAGCTGCCAAGGGGTCATGATCTGCTGATCCAAAGGTCGCTGGAGACTAGCTCTTGCTGCAAGGCGTTTAACAGTTTAACACTTGAAACCAAAATTCATACAGTGGATGATTTTTTGGATTCCTTCATGGCTACTCTCCGCAAGTTACTACATCATGACTTTATTGCCAAACAGCAGAGTCACTTTCTCCAGCACACTAAAGACAACATGGAACCAAGCGAAATCTTGGTCATTGCAGATTTTGCAGAAAATTACAGTTTTGTAGTTCAGGATGCTGCCCAGTCATTCCACTGGAACAATCTACAGGCTACAATTCACCCCTAGGTGTGCTACTTCCAACAAGAAGGCAAACTTGATGAGCACCTAAGCTTTGTCGTCATCTCAGACTGTAATACCCATGATACTGTAACAGTACATCTGTTCCAGAAATTGCTCCTTCAATTTCTCACTAATAAGATTGGAAGTTTCAAGAAGATATTGTACTTCTCAGATGGTTGTGCTGCTCAGTACAAGAACCTCAAGAATTTCATCAACTTGTTCCATCACGAAGAGGATTTTGGTGTACCAGCAGATTGGCATTTTTTTGCAATCTCCCACGGGAAAGGCCCATCTGATGGAATTGGAGGAACTGTTAAACGCCTTGCAGCAAGAGCTAGTCTCCAGCGACCTTTGGATCAGCAGATTATGACCCCTTGATAGCTGTGTGAATTTGCTACTTCTCAGTCAGTATTGACTTCGCTTTTGCAACAACAGAGCAATACAAGAATGAAGCGGATATTCTCAGGCAAAGATTCCAAATTGCACGTACCATTCCAGGAACACAAAAGCTGCACTGTTTTTGTCCGATGTCTAAAGACAAAATTAAGGTGCGTGATTTTTCCTCCTCAGACTCAAGGGAGGAACCAGTTTGTCTCCAAGTCCATGGACAAACTGCATGTATTGATTTTGCAGATATCAAGGGGTATGTTACAGTGATGTATGACTGTTACTGGTGGCTAGCATGTGTTCAGGAGATCCTTCCAGCATCCCAAGAAGTGGAACTGAGTTTCCTTCATCCCCATGGGCCATCTCCATCTTTCAAGTTCCCCTATCGACCAGACACACTTGTAATTCACGGCATGGATGTACTAACAGCAGTGGAACCGTTCACTGAAACAGGACGCGTATACAAGATCTCCGCCGAGGAGATGAACACTGCAACACGGACTTTGGTTGAGCAAAAAATGAAAGTAACATAGACCGGTATAACATATTTTTTTATAAGTAATTTTGTTCTGCCCTTTGAGTTGAGACTATATGGTTGTAAAGGGCAAACATGATGCACAAGTAAAATGTGCACATGTACATAATGTACACAGTACAAGTATACATGTATGTATGTACATGTACATACATGTACATTTAATATTATGCATACTTTTTCATGGACAGGCTTTCTTCAAAAAATCATAACCTAAAAACTTTAAGAGCGCCCATCCCAATTTTTTTTTAAGATTGTTGCTGACATCATAAACTAACATTTGAAAAAAAATTACAAAATTTGAAGCATATTGTTTTTCGTAATTCGAGGTCAAAGGTCATTTTGTTACGCATTTTCTCTGCACTTCATGCTACGATTTTGGTTTTATTTTATGAAATGGAGGCCATTCAAAGAGCTTTAATATGATGTACAACTTGGCTTTGTAGGCGCTATAGTTTTTGAGATACAAGTATTTAAAGTTCGGAGGTCATGCTAATTAGTCAAAAGTTCGTTGACCCGTATCTCAAAAACTAACGAGTCAATTTACAAAAAAATTCAGTTCTGGGGGTTTCTCATATAGGCCAATCATCACACCAAATATCGTTTCAATCTGTGAGGGTCGGGTCCAAAAGCGTGTTGATTTGACACGGAATGACCCATGAGCTTTTTTTCATGAAATAAGTTTTACAGTTTGACGTGCGTTTCGATGAATTAGGTGATGTAGGCCATCAGCCTGGGGTTTGGCCAGTATCAAATCAGGGCATAAATGATCATAGTGCGCATGCGCAAGGTATACCGCCCCTAGAGTGGTAACAAGCATTTTGATGGACATTTTGAAAAAAAAAGGGTGATAACACCCAAAAAGCTGCCACCGCTGCAATGCTATCACATATTTTCCAACTCTGGAGGTGTATACCTTGCCAAAAATTGCTATGACGATTATTCCCCTCATTTGATACCGGTGGCCAAAATTTTGGACCGAGGCTGATGGCCTAATGGATTTTCATGATTTGGCCATGGTAAAGTCATGAATTTGATTGCTCAAAAGGTGCAGGAAGACTTTCGACTTGTAGGTGATTTTTCACAACAGGACCTGGAGGACGTCCCCCCCCCCCCCAACCTCGTTTAACTTTTGTTGTCCTGACAAGTTCCAACATGGCACGGGGCAACATGCAGGTTACTGAGCTGCAACATGCATTTTAATGAATTGGACATTGATACAGTTGTTAAGATTTCTGATAATGTTGTTCCAAGTGCATCATTCACTCTACCCTTTTGTAAACAAACCCTGAAGTTTTTCAAAGGCCATGACAAGCCATTTCTCTTTGCTTTCTTCAGTCGAGCCAGAAGACCACTCAGGCGTGAAACAAAAGACATCAGGAGGAAATATGGCCATTCATTTTGCATCAGAGGGAGGCAGTGTTGTAAGTTTTCTTTTATTTGCTTGAAAGTGTTGCTAGACTCCGACACAAAACAACGTGTTTTATCTGTCAAGCCTGTCTTCAAGTTATGACCTCATGGTCAGGTGCTTTGTCCCAGAGTTATAATCAAGTCAATCTCAAGTCAATCACAAGTCAATCACAAGTCAATCACAAGTCAGTCACAAGTCAGTCACAAGTCAATCACAAGTCAATCACAAGTCAATCACAAGTCAATCACAAGTCAATCACAAGTCAATCACAAGTCAATCACAAGTCAATCACATGTCCATCACAAGTCCATCACAAGTCCATTACAAGTTCATCACAAGTCCATCACAAGTCCATCACAAGTCCATCACAAGTCAATCATAAGTCAATCACAAGTCTCCCAAAACTGGAGTCACAAATCAGGTTAGAAGTGACATTGGATGACTGTAAAAGTTCACAGTTTATTATTCGTATTAAATGTGTATTACTTATTTTTGGGCATTGAGTCGCACTGCGCATTATCGTGTACTGGCCCACTCAACATTGAGAGGGTGAACATTTCGTCAACATGTGATTTTAATTTTTTGTCATGAATGACATCTTTAATACCCAAAGTTTCAGGGTTCATTCACAGAAATGTTGATTTTGATGAATAAAGTGGGGAGAAATGACAATTTCGAGTGCTTCGTGCCCAAATTTACAACAGAGCCAGCTATTTCAAAGATTGTTTTCTCATTTGTGTAATTCGAATTCCAAGGAAGTAATTAATATGCAAATACATCATATCCCCAGAACAGGAGGTATACAAAATGAAAGCTTACGTTGTGGGCTTTCCAACCATGTATAAAACTCAATTTCACTTTTTTGTGTGACATAATACCCTTTTTTTGGAGTGGGGCACATATTTGGTACTGAAACCACGATTCCTCAAAAGCACCCTAGGCGCTGTAACTTGCACGGGAGGAAAACCCCAGAAGAACAATCTGGGGGAAACCCAAGGGACAAGGTACAGAGTGAAAACCAGGAGTGGACCAGGGCATGAAATGGAAACCCGGGCCATAGAGGTGAAACGTGAGGAAAGAACCACTGCGCCAACCTGACTCTCCAACCACTGTGCCAGCGTGACTGGTTGTCATTATAAACTTGAGATTAGATGACTTTGTGATTTAACTTGTGATGACATGATTACAAATCTCAATTGCAATTTTGATCTTGTGTTCGATTCCCCGACTTGATTTGTGTATTACAGAGTGTCCAGCCTGTATGCCGTCCTAGCGAGACACGTCATAGTAAAATGAGTGCCTGTTTGGGACAGATGGTTATTATGTTTGCAATAAAATCCTGTCACATCCTTTTAAAAAGGGAATACAATTTAGCTGTAATTTTCAGAAATTGATGGATTTGGGGGTTAGTATTTTATGGTAAATTTGTTACGCTGACCTGTTTAAAAGTTTTGTAATCATATCCTAGAAAAAAAAAGGAGAAACAAATGCCGTTCTTGTAGTCTGGCTCCCTGACCCTACTTCTGATGAAACGGAGCAATTTATAGACATCGGGGAATTGTCAGATCAGGGAACCAGACTATAGCTGGCTTGCACCTGTTCAGGGATGTGTAACTGATTGCAAACAAATGTGAACTAAAACAATTAGGGACAGTATTTGTAAAAAAGTCGGTTTTATCCAATGATGGTCAGCCGACCATCGTTGGAAATTGATACAAAAAATTCCACTTTTCTTGAAAATGACAGCACACCAGGTGCCATGATTTCACCTACTGATTATTCACTTTCAGTCAAGTATAATGGCATTTCGTTATAACTTGGTAGTTGTGATTTTTAATGGTTGTGAATGTTGTATACTCATTGCAATGCACAGATGTGGACTTTTGTTTAAATAATACACTGTGAAACACCCTCATGTAATTGCTTGGTTATGCACTGTATTGAGAATCACTTGGATCGGGCTCGGCAGCTCTCTGACCATTTTCCCATTTGCTGGTCTGCAGGATTGCATTCAGATTCTCGTCAACCACGGTGCTGATATTGAGGCTAAGATGGGTGCCTTCTACAACAACATAACACCTCTGATGATTGCTACACTACATGGACACTTCCAGGCAGTGGAGGCTCTGCTAGACATGGGAGCAGTCATCGAACAGAAAGGTATACTGTACAGTGGAACGCCACTATACCGAACACCGCTTTACCGAACATTCGGCTATACCGAACATCCTTGGCTCCTGGTTTTAATGTACAAAACGTACTGAACATTGTTGTTGAAAAGAGTCAACAGATTCACCAAAAATCTAACGGTTGTATTAAATGCTATTTGGGCCACTTTAATTCCTGAACATCAAATGACCCATAGTTACATCGTGTTTGAATGTTCAACAGCGAAAGATGGCTGTTACTTCTCCAAGGAATGAAAGGAAAACCCCTCATTGCTAAAGTTTCGTGACCACTCCTTGTGCGGCTGCGAGATGTGGGAAATGCCACTTCACTATTGCTCAAAAGGGGGCCGGCGGTTCAAAATCACTTTACCGAATGATCGTTATTACGAACACTTTCTGTGGATGCCACGATGTTCATTATAGCGGCGTTCCACTGTAATCTAATTGCACATTGCCCCAAGTATTTGATAAGATACTTGGGAAAGTGTACCTATTCCTATATTAAACCAGCGCTTGCTTTCAGCCTGGGCCATTATTTGTGGCTAGGCTCCCTAACTGTTTAAAACCTCCTGTTTACAACTGCTCGATCACACTTTTATCCCCGTATTTCTATTGGTTGAAACCAAAAGATGAGCGTGGCCAGTAATGGTGAAAAGCCACTCCAGTATTTTCAAAAACATGGGGGAATTCAGATCAGTTTATTCCTTATCACCATTCCATGAGTGAGAGCCACACTGGTCAATTCACTGTCATGTGACAACTGTTTTTTGTACTTTGTACTAACGTGTTACACATGGAGCAAAACCGCATGTGTAGACAACAACTGCTGGTGCAATCTGAGTTAAAGTCATCCGCACATGTTTTGTAAAGAACACTTGTAGGACTATTGCATGAGGCAGTGCACATGTATGCACACATAGAGCATGGACGCATGTATGCATAGACCTTTCACTTAATTTTACACTGGATACATTCCATGTTTTGTTACCAGGCTCCTGAAATTAAATTAATAATGTCAACCGTAAATGTTTATGAGGTGGTTTAAACAAGGAAATAACATGGTTTATATCAGCTGGGCATTTGATATTACCTCCCGTCAGTATTCGAGTCTACTTGGATCATTCTATAATTGTTTATCATGTACATTTTTCCTGTCCCTGTTACTTTGGTGCTTTGTAGTTTGCCATTTAAGTATCCTTAAGAATTTTGGAGGAGACTGAAAAAAAAGAAAATTTTGTTTATGTCAAATGTAACAGGGACATAAAAAAGGACACCAAATGTATAGAATGACACATACGCCCTACCCGATCTATGATCGGGTAAATCAGCTTGTATAAACATAAATGCCAGGACTTAACTTGAATTGTAATGGTATACTTCTCAATTATTGCCTAGTTTTATTGCTGTTTCAATTTGGTTGATGGCAGACAAGTTTAATCGGACTGCCCTGATGCTGGCCTGTATGGAGGGCAACTATCCAATCGCCACCCTACTCCTGAGGAAAGGAGCTATCCCTGATGCACAGGATTCCTCAGGGAACACACCGACGCACTACGCAGCCGCCTATGGCTGGTGGCACTGCCTCAAACTGCTGCTGAAGGCTGGCGCTGATCCCAACTTCACAAATGATTGGAAGGTACTGGGCTAGGTCTGGGTGTTATAAGCATATTTTCAAATATGTGACCTGTTCTGTCAAAAGCAGACGCTTCTGGGCAGAGGTTGAAATTGAGATGGGCCAAAAAAACGCTGTGGGGGTGATTTTTTATCGATTTTCAAACTTTTGCATATTTGTAATCCTAAACATGTCTAAAATACATTATAAAAGTTTGAAACCCTAATTTGAACTTTACATATACTATTTTTGATGATTTTGATAAGGTATATCAGTTAAAGAAATAACTGTTTTGTGACGTTCGTGGCCATTTTCTTCGTTTTCTACTTTTCAACACAATGAACTTCAAAATAGCTTAACTCTGCCCAGGAATGACCGGTATCAAAAATTAAACCACCTATTAAAAGGAAAAAGAACATATGTTAACAATATGTAAAAATATCCCTTTCGACCTTGTGTCCAGAAAAGTCTGATTTTGACAGAACAGGTCACATATGTGGTGACCACTTTTATTACCAAACTTCACAAATGATTGGAAGGTACTGGGGTAGGGGTGCTGTGGTCCAGTGGTTATGGTGTTCGACTCGTGTGCCGTGGTACATGGGTTGGAATCCTGACCGTGGGAACATGGTGCTTGTGCTCTTGAGCAAGGCACTTTACCATTATTGCTTCGTTCTTCGGATGGGATGTAAAGTCGTAGGTCCGGTGTGTTGTGTAATGCACGTTAAAGAACCCAGTAACACTTATCGCTAAGAGAAGGGGTTTGCCCCGGTATTTCTAGCAGTGGCTGCAGCACCTTGTATTCGGGTGCTTCACAATGGGTCTCACATTTCTCATAAAGTTAATTTACCTGTCTTTAAAAATAGACATAATTACCAGCGCCTTGAGTACCTAATTGTTGGTAGATACGTGCGCTATATAAGACTCTGGTATTATTATTATTATTACTATTTTTTATCATTGTTTATCTTATTTATTGCGCTTTGCCCATCTCTGTGGTAATTTTGTAAGCTCAGTGCTCAGTGTTTTCTGAGGGCTTACAATCAAAAATTACAAAAGCTTAAGGCCCGTCTCAATTCATATCTGGGATGTGTTCAGGACAAGCTGCGGACATTGTATCAGGTATAAGTTGCAGGATTCTGAACAACTTCCCCGCAGTCTTCCCACTACAAGGTTATTAGTATTTGTGAGTCAGTCAGGCAGTTGATACTGAAATTTCCCCGGAACATGTCCGGGACAAATGCAGAGCTTCTTCCGGACAAATTCCCGCAACTTGTCCGGAACTCGTCCCGGATATGAATTGAGACGTGCTCTTACTGAGATTTTATTCAAATCCACAGTCCTCTTGCTTACTAAAGCAAATGTCTTACTGCTTCACCACTGAGTTTGCCGGACTGGCTGGCCAGTCACATCTGATATAGCAACGGTGACCACAGTCACTTACTGTTGTGCGTGAGAGAGTTTATTCTTCCCTCCCCCCTTTTGAACTTTGTAATATATCCCCATTGCATTTGAGTTCTTTGCTGTCTCGTCAGACAACTCCTCTGGGTGTGGCGTTCATGAAGGGCCACATTGGCTGCTCAGATCTCCTTCTGGAACAGCCCACTGTGAACGTCAACTTCCGCGACAACAGCGGAGCCACCCTGCTGTCGTTGACCGCAGAGAGCCCCTTGACCAAGGACATGGTGGACCAGATACATTACCTTTTGGAGAAGAAAGCCGACCTGACTCTGGTGGACATTCACGGCAGAAACGTGGTGTGTGTAATATCCTTGTCAATCTTCCCACAGAAACAGTGCCAACTTTACTTAAATGTAACGGTAGACTAAAACTTCAGGGTATTAAACTAATTTTTGAACATACCCAAACCAAAAAAAAAAAAAAAAAAAGTTTTTTTTTTTAGTTTGTACCCAGAATAATTTAGGTACCCTAGGAATTTCTTGATGGGGAGAAGGCAAGCGTTGTGACAAATTCAAGAAATTCACCCAGTCTCAAGTCAAGGGAACCTTTTTAAATGACCTGTGACAAGGCATTCTTTTGTCATCATTTCTTCCTTGAAATTTCCCTGATTTCACTTGGAGACTTTCATACTTTCGAAAGTTCTGCACAAATTGAATACAAGCTAGATATCTCCTCACAAACTGCCCACATAATAAAAATCAGTATCTTTAAAGTTGAACAAACAAATTGACTGGAGCGGGGCTTTGAACCTGCGACCTTGGAATTGCTGTTCCGGTGCTCTACCAACTGAGCTGTCCAGCCCTATGTTGGCGGTTTCCCTTTTGGTCAATATCTTTGTTCATGGGACGCTAGTCAGAAGCCATAAATAAACCGTAAATGCCATATAGCCAGGGATCACCCCCTAAGTCAGGATGCCAGCAATAGTTAGCAAAGCCCTGAGGAACGGCAATCAAGAGGTCGCAGGATTAAACCCTGCTCCAATCAATTTCTTTGTTCAACTTTTAAAAAAATGGTCACGCAGCTAGTCAGTTTCCCAAATTTTTTTGGTTGAAAAAAATGTGTTACGTTAATAATGCAAATGTATGTTGTTTAACAAAAGAAATGTCCTCTTTCATTTCATTGCAGTTCCATTACTTGGCCACAAGTAGTCCACCAAGAGACTGCGACGTAAGTACTGTAAAATGTCATTGTTTTGACGACATTTGTATATTCCTGCTGCAGTGTATACTTCAATGCGCGTGTACACATCAAATGATGAATGAGCAAATGTTACATCACAGTGTCATGAATTACAAACATACAGAAGAAACGTCAATTTTTTTAGTTTACAGATTTGAAAAGAGCACAATCTCAGCACTACTGCTGTGAAAACCGCATGCTGATGCCATATTTAGTTCTGAATCTCCAAATGAAAGTTCCCTACAAACGACTGATTTAGCTTGATCTCATCACAAATATGTGCTTGGCCAGTTTTAAACAAGTACGTTTGAAACCGACTAGGGACCTGGATGTGGCCCAAGCCGAACATATTTATTCCCATTCGTAATCACCTTTTGGTCAAATACCAAAACAAGTCAAAATTCACTATTCTTCAACGATTTTGTGCAACAATTTTGCATCAAGTTTTGTGAAACACGTACCCCTCTTGCCATGTCTATGGCACGTGCCTCACGCGCGTAGTGCTAAAACATCTCCTTTTATGGAGATTTACGCGTGCGAGGCACATACTGCGTGATGTGGCGCAGAACACAGCGGTGCAGGAATTAAGTGTTTAAAACCAGTTGGTGTTCTATGGGGGTTTAAAACCACCCATGTGACAGGCTCTCAACCAGTAGGAATGGGTAATCTATGACGTTAAGTTATTCTATGGTTGTGAGTGAAAGTTTGAAAAACATGAAATAATGTAGTGCATCTGTATTCCATCTATGTACCATGCAGTACGGATATTGTTGCATAGTTGTAACTATGGATTGACCAATCAGGATCCAGAAGTCAACTTTGTTTGCAGATAAAATATATCTTAAATAATTTCATGGACATTTTTATGATGTACACCAAGAATGTGGAACAGGAATGTAAAAAATTTAATAGTTTCTTGATAAGCAACCTTTACTCAATTGCTCGATATATGCAATGCAGTTGTTGAAAAAAATAAATCTTTTTTTATGCCAAGTGTTTTCGAACTGCCTCTTTTTTTGTCAGGATGAAACCAAAAAAGCTGTGAAGAGTGCCAAACAGGGTGTGGCCAAGCTTCTGATTGAGAAAGGATGTGATGCATCGGCTAGAGATAAGGATGGAAACACTGCCGTCAATATTGCTCTACAGCAGGTATGCTGCAGAGGTGTAAATTGCATCAGCCACAAGTTAGCCGCAAGTCAGTCACAAGTCAGTCACATCTCAGTCGCAAGTCAGTCGCAAGTCAGTCACATCTCAGTCGCAAGTCAGTCACAAGTCAGTCACAAGTCAGTCACAAGTCAGTCACATCTCAGTCACATCTCAGTCACAAGTCAGTCGCAAGTCAGTCACGAGTCAGTCACATCTCAGTTGCAAGTCAGACATAAGTGAGTCGCAAGTCAGTCACAAGTCAGTCACATCTCAGTTGCAAGTCAGTCACAAGTCAGTCACAAGTCAGTCACAAGTCAGTCATGAGTCAGTCACAAGTTAGCCGCAAGTCAGTCACATGTCAGTCACATGTCAGTCACATGTCAGTCACATCTCAGTCACAAGTCAGTCACAAGTCAGTCACATCTCAGTCACATCTCAGTCGCAAGTCAGTCACAAGTCAGCCACATCTCAGTTACATCTCAGTCGCAAGTCAGCCACAAGTTAGCCGCAAGTCAGTCACATCTCAGTCACAAGTCAGTCACAAGTCAGTCACAAGTCAGTCACATCTCAGTCACAAGTCAGTCACAAGTCAGTCACAATTCAGTCACAAGTCAGTCACAAGTCAGTCACAAGTCAGTCACATCTCAGTTACATCTCAGTCACAAGTCAGTCACATGTCAGCCACAAGTTAGCCGCAAGTCAGTCACATCTCAGTCACAAGTCAGTCACATCTCAGTCACATCTCAGTCGCAAGTCAGTCACATCTCAGTCACAAGTCAGTCACAAGTCAGTCACAAGTCAGTCACATCTCAGTCACATCTTAGTCACATCTTAGTCACGAGTCAGCCTTTAGGCTTTTAGGCAAGAAAAGTAGGATATAAACCCCAATATCCTTACTTTTATTGTTATCAGAAATATTTGCCAGATAGGGATCTTGTGTTGAATTTAGGGGGATTCAATCCCCAGTCTACCACCAAATGTTTACCAGAGAGGCCAATTTACAATTTCACAGTCAATTTCCTATAATTGTCCAACAATAGACCAACCCATCAAGTCCTACCGACTGTCAAGTGGGGAAGCAACACGTGTTTCTCTTCAGTGCCTCACTCCATGTTGCAGCGGCACGCATTCCATGCGCGACTGCATGCATGTTGGACTTTTGTACATGTCCGCCAGACATTATAAATCGAGGCTGTGGTTGGTCCAATGTCGTGGGGCGGGGTTTAATGGATCGGTATATTAATCATTCACTCTACAAAGTGAATGTAAATCAAATTAGGTTTTTGCCCTTCGCCGACGTATAAACTGTTTACTCAGTGTGTTACCTCCCGAGTGAAAGTTGGAAAAAATCATTCGGGTGGGACTCGAACCCACGACCTCCTGCTTTCTAGTGCAGACGTCTTACCACTCGACCACCCACGACCTCCTGCTTAGAGGTCGTGGGTTCGAGTTCCACCTGAGTGATTTTTTCCAACTCTCACTCGGGAGGTAACACACTGAGTATACAGTGTTTATACGTCGTTGAAGGGCAAAAACCTAATTTGATTTACATCACCCCGACGCAAAAGTCCATCTTATGAAAGTGAATGTAGTTTACTATACACACAAATTCATTTGTCACTCACTTACATCATCCTGTGACCAAGTTCATAGGGGTATCTTTGCTTGGGCAGACAGGGATCTCACAGTAGCTAAAACTATAGAAATGTTGTCAGCGCGATAACTTGAGAATGAGAAATACTTCACATATGAACTCCAAATGAGGTTTGTGGATTGCTCTTGGTAATCTTAAAAAGCTTATGGAAGTTTGGGGCCAAAAGATCAAGGGTCAAGGTCACAGTATACAGCTAAACCTAGAAATATTGTCAGTGTGATAACTTGAAAAAATCTTTACATTTGAATTTCAAACTTGGTTTGTGGGTTGCTCTTGGTAATCCTAAGAAGTCTATTGCATTTGGGGCCGACAGGTCAAGGGTCAAGGTCATGGTGGCTTAGCTGGGCATTTTTGTTTGTCAACACACCTGACTTGTTTTGACCATGATTCTTTTCTGGTTAAGTAGGAATTTGCACCCGCAACGGCAGATTTTTTTTAACTGCTCAAATCAAGAGTTTGAAAGTTTCACACATTCTCAGCATGCAGTGATATCTGTGTGTTGTTTTTACTTCCGATAAGGTTGGGAGTGGCAATATGGATCCAGAATTTGTGAAACTGCTACTAGAACACGGCTTCAGTTTGTCCCTGAATGAGAGAGTGGAGGATGGAAAGAACGCACTGCACATGATGGCTCAGAAATGTGCCAAAGTTGACATGGGTGCACTGTTGCCAGTCATTGCTAAGAATGTAAGTATTTATAAGATGGAATTTTGCGTCGGGGTGATATAAATCAAATTAGGTTTTGCCCTTCACCGGCCTTTAAACACTGTATCCTCAGTGTGTTACCTTGTTAGCTCGGTGGTCGAGTGGTAAGACGTCTGCACTAGAAAGCAGGAGGTCGTGGGTTCGAGTCCCACCCGGGTGATTTTTCCAACTTTTACTCAGGAGGTAACACACTGAGTATACAGTGTTTAAACGCCGGTGAAGGGCAAAACCTAATTTTAAGAATGTAAGTGTAGAATGAATTAAGTCTGAAATATCCCCTGGAGTCTACAGGGTGAGTCAGAAGGATCTGGACCCAATTTCGTTTTTTTTTTTTGGTGGCAAATAGAGTATAATGAGAAAATAAAGAATGGTTTAGTAACTTGTCTTCCACAGAAATTTTGAATTTGTCAAATTAGTGGCTGTGGTGAGGAGTTATGCCATTTTTATTGAAGTGGCTCATTTTTCAGGCTGCGCAGGGAATTGGTTGTGCCTTTTTTAATTGTGTCAATAACTTCAAGTGAGTCAGTCACCATGACTAGGTTTCTATTTGTTATTACACTGCTTCGCCACCTCAGTACGCTATTTCAATTTGTTAAACCATGGAACCGTGGTCAAAGTGTATTTAGCGTATGTTCTTTGCTAGCACTTTTCTTCAAAATGGTACATGGGTATATACATAAAACATTTGTCAAATATGTCCAAAATACCAGCCTTTAACATATCTCATTTGCACATGTTGTGATAAATGCTACATACAGGGTTAGTCAAAAAAAGCGGAACCCATACCCCACAAATTATATTTCATATCTAAAAAAATATTTAGCACCTAAAATAATAATGACTGGAAAGACAATTTCATAAGGTACTTTTAGATGAAAAAATGACTGAAATTGCTCAATCCGTTCAGAAAATGTCACCATTTAAACACAATGACCCTAAAACCTCTCTCGTCCTAAAAAAGCGATTTCAAAAATTGTTGTTGCAATTGTCCTCAAACATCACCAGCGATAAAATCTCAGTTTAAATGATAAAAATATTCAAGAGAATCCCTTTTAAGGCCCGTCCTTTAAAAAAAGTAGATTTTATAATATTGTTTGCCTAACCAGGGTTGTTAATAAAGATATTGTGTACTACAGTTGGTGACAGTTTTTGAAACAAGTATTCTTTCTCATTTTCTTTGTTGCTCCAAACTGTCAAAACACACAATGATCAATTGCTTTTTTTGGACGAGACAGGTTTTAGGGTCATTGTGTTTAAATGGTTATATTCTTTGAACGGATTGAGTAATTTCAGTAATTTTTCCATCTAAAAGTAGCTCATGAAATTGGCTTTCCAGTCATTATTATTTTTGGTGCTACATATTTTTTTAAATATTAAATATATTTTATGGGGTTTGGGTTCCGCTTTTTTGACTCACCCTGTAGTAGTGAAATCTTTGGTCTATTGCAGTCTGTGATTGGAACTAGACTAGTGGACTAGAAGTCGAGATTAGGGTTTGCGGGTATTACTAAAGATAATACAATTCTCCATACAGTACTGTCTGTTTCATTTCAGTCTGCCATTCCATTGACATGTCATGCCTGCTTAAAGTTTGCATTTATCGACTATCGAAAAGGAAAATACTGAGCAAAAGGCCTTTAGATTTTCAACTGTTCAGTAGTGGTGAAAATAAAAGATGCCAATTGGTTTTCCTTAAAAACACTTTTATTCAACAATTGTTATACTCTTTCAATAAAATATGTGTAGTGGACACATCAAAGATATCAGTAAAACTGAAAATCTGAAAAAAATCATCCCCATGTGGTTGTTCATTTTTCTCCACTATGGCCTGTGCCCAGTTCCATCTCATTTGGCCTGAACACCTCACATATGAGTGAATAACTTTGTTTTGACAGATGAAGCAAGAGAAATCTCGGATGAAGACAGGTGATGGGTCTCATGCCCCAAGGACCGTGACCCTAGAAGAGGCAGCTAAAGTGGTGGATAACGATGGCTACACACCCTTCCTAAGATGTGTGTCTCAAAAGTACCCAGTAAGTCCGATAACTTGTGCATTTTGACTGCCGTTTCTTAATACGTCTCTTATCTGCCATAAATACAGACAATCAGTTTGGCAAGTGGTTTGGAATAGCACAAGCTGGCTCTGCTTGTTAAGTGTAAAAAGGGCACAGGAGCTAATCACGGGCACTCATAAGTTGGAAAAACATAGATTTTGCAATCCAGTGAGAGGAAAAGACGCAAAATTGCAGCGATTATGATAGAACGTAGGAACTGTAGTGTAGCCAGGCAGCATGTCTGGCTGCATGTATGCCTACATCATCACGCGGGAGTGTCTCGTACCGGCCGAGAGTGTCGCGTAGCTGGACCAGGCGAATACAAAACGCGGGATTCAAAAAAACATGTATACAGCTGAAACGTCACTAGATTGTGAATAATTATAGAATTTTGCTCAAAACTTTCTGAACTGAAGCGCGCTACTAAAAACCATTTTTGGCGAGCTGCGAAGCAGATGCGAGCCTATGTAATACCGATTTCCGTCCGTCTGTCCGTCCGTCCGTCAGTGCGTCTGGCGTACGTCTGTCTGGCCATCCGCGTTCAGATAAAAATGTTGAAGTTTTTGGTTCTAGCTAACTTGGTAAAAAAAAATGCAGTTTACATGTATCATCTCTATAACTTACAATTAGGTTCATTTCATTGCAGTTAATTTTATGATTTTATTGAGGAATTTTAATTAAGGAAAATGTTACAGTTTTTAATTGTTAAATGTATGTATAGTGGGAGAACATGTACATGTACATGTATATATACCTGTCCACTATGCATTTTGGGGGAGCATTCATGTGTTTACTTATAGACCGGGAGCCAGGGGGGGTCAGCCTAGCTGGAAAGTTAACCAATTTTCATGGGGTGGGGACAGGTAGGGGAGACAGGTAGGGGAGGATGGGGTAGGTGGGTGTAGGGGTTGGGTTAGGAGGGGGTGGGGGAGGGGGCGGGATATAGGGATTGAAGTAGGGTTTGGGTTTGGTTGGGGATGTGTAGGGGTTGGTGGGTGTAGGGGTTGGGTAAGGGGAGGGTGGGGGAGGGGGTGGGATGTAGGGATTGGAGTAGGGGTTGGGGTGGGGATGTATGGGTATGGGAGAATGGGGTGGGTGGTAGTAGGGGGTTGGGGAAGGGAGGGTGGGGGAAGGGGGAGGAGATAGGGATTGGAGTTTGGGTGGGGTTGAGATGTGTAGGTGATGGGATGGGTAGGGGGAGGATGGAGTGGGTAGGGGGTTGGGGTGGGTAGTGGGTTGGGGTTGGTAGGGTGGCAGGGCGGGGATGGGGTAAGATTTGAGGCATGTGGTGATGATGCTGCGTCTACATGTACATACCCATTCATGTTCCGCATTTGTGGGGACTACACAATACCGGTAGTTCTTCCATGGTAATACATGTATGGGGACAGAAGATTCTGTGGGGGCTGCAAAAAGTCTCCACAACTGGGAACTTAATACCCTAACAATGGAAAACTTTCATGTATAAATGGAAATATATGTACATGTATTTATTAGGACATTTGTTGACTTTTTATGTTTGCATTTAGAAACTGACCCCTACACCTTGGCACATCAACGAGAATCCTGATCCCCATCATGCCCATCCCCCAACCCTACCTTCAGCCTTCCTTCCCGCCTTCGACAGCGAGCCATGGCGGCTTCGCCGTTCTAGTTAAAACTGTAAAAATGCTTGCAAATGCCAACAAGCAATTTTATTTGTTACATGACATTATATTCCTTTAAAATTCGTTTCAAAAAGAAAATCAAAATTTTGAAAAAGCATGTATATATACCAACTTTAAGAGCTCTCAGCCTACGTAAAACAGGATTGATTGGCTGTGACTGTTTATGTAACTTGATGCAGCTTTGCTTTGACTGTAGGTGATTGATAAGCCAGCTGTGCCTACAACTTGCCTGCTTTAATTGTCTGTTGACTGACTTTGACTTGTCACAGTGCTAACCTGCAAATGTGGTCCGTCTGTTGGTGACTAGCCTGTGTAAAAGGCAAGGCAGGGGAAGAGGATTGATTTTGTGACTGTCTGTGACTGTTCAGACAGCAGAAGGATTAATTATTTGTTCAGAAGTTCAGACTAACAAGCTGGATAACTTAAGCATGCTTCTACATATTTGTTGGCTAAAGACAGAAATCAAATGAAGCATTAAATGTCATTGAGGCTGCGTATGTGAACTGCCAAAAAGACCTCAGCAATGATTGAATTAAATCATGTTTGTTCTGTATCTCATTGTAGAGCAACAATGCCCAGCAAAGTGCAAATGTACTCAGCATGGTGAAGGTAAGGACAATTCCTACATTGAGGAAGATTTCGTACCAAAAAAATACAGTTGCAGGTCAACTCTAACCGAACCAACTCTGTCAGAAATCAAAGCTGTGAAAATGATTTCATCACTAAAGTTGCTAATTACACTCTTGCTGCTTTCTATTTGACGGAGAGATTCAGGATTTCTTTTCAGTAGGGTTGCATTCACTGTCACATTTTTAAATCTCCTACTTAATTTTCTGCACTTTCCCATCTTTTTTTCTTCTTTGTGTAATTCAAAGTTCAGATTATTTATTTGGCTTGATCTAATGAATTGAAAACAAATGCAGACCAGGTTGCTATGAGTTAATATTGTATTGCATAGACTGTATATTGTTTTATCTATAAGCATTTGATACATTACTTGAATTGAATATACTTTTAAAAATTGGGAGAACTTTAAAACGTACTCTAAGTGGGGTGGAAAGGAGTTGGTTATGCATGGGTCTGAGTTGGTCTGGTTCCGAGTCGGTCTGGGACCGAGCTGGTCTGGGACCGAGTTGGTCTGGTTCCGAGTTGGTCTGGTTCCGAGTTGGTCTGGTTCCGAGTTGGTCTGGGTCCGAGTTGGTCTGGGTCCGAGTTGATCTGGGTCCGAGTTGATCTGGGACCGAGTTGATCTGGGACCGAGTTGGTCTGGGACCGAGTTGGTCTGGGTCTGAGTTGGTCTGGGTCCGAGTTGGAGCTGGGTCCGAGTTGGTGTGGGTTCAAGTTGGTCTGGGATCGAGTTGGTCTGGGTCCGAGTTGGTCTGGGTCCGAGTTGGTCTGGGTCCGAGTTGGTCTGGGTCCGAGTTGGTCTGGGTTCAAGTTGGTCTGGGTCCGAGTTGGTCTGGTTTTCCGAGTTGTTCTGGGTCTGAGTTTGTCTGGGTTCGAGTTGGTCTGGGTCCGAGTTGGTCTGGGTTCGAGTTGGTCTGGGTCTGTGTTGTTTGGGGTTGGAAATGGCTAGTTGACTCAAGACCATAATGTAGCGGGCTTTGATCTGTATTAAAAAAAAATGATGTTTTTCCCTTTTCTCAAGTATTTTCCCCAAAGAAAAGACATTTTTCCTGTATGCCTATAAAGAACTACTATTCAGAAAATTCTAATTATTGTGTTAACGAATCTTTCATCATATAGGCGCTTGTTGAAGTGGCCAAGTCTGACATCAACACTGTTGTGGGTGATGCTGATGACAGTTACAGTTAGTATCGGTCACAGTTTGGAATTCGGTAGACTGTCAGTTTTGGGTTTTACTTCTAGACAATATCCTTCTGTGTCACTGATATGGGTAATTTGGAGGAGGGGAGAGGGTGGTACTGTATTGCCAAAAAGATATCTTAGTTAGATATCTTTAAAATTAAAAACTCTTGTTTTTTTCTGAATGTTAAGAAATAATTTTTGATAAGATTATCCAGATATTTAAAGAAATAGACTAGGTTTTAGTTCTACACTTGTTGTCAATAGTGATATAATGATTGGCATTTTGCCTGATGGGGGTAAAGGGCACCTAAGGCAAAGCAGAGTTAGCAGTCAATTTGGCTAAGTAGAGTTTTCGTCGCTTTCTGCCTCTGTGACCTGGGTTGGAATCCCACCCAGGCCAACATGTGTATTGAGTTTCAGCCCCTACCTGATTCCTTCCGGGGGTTGTCCTTTCAAGGATTTCCTGCCGACTCTAAATTAATTCATAGCCTATTCTCTCTAGGTTTCTTCATGCTTCAAAGCTATTTAAGGAACATGCAGTGGAAATGCAGCTCATGTTGTTTTCATGCACATTACTATGTGTTGCAACAATACATACACAATCTTGGAAGTGACAAGAAAGTGGTAGTTTTTCAATGACTAGCAAATCCTTTCATCAATACATGTTAGAGGGCGCTATTTTGCTTTCGTCACACAAGGTACTCCTTGTCAAAAGTGCATATGAGCAGTACAAAAATTAGTCCTTTAAAATTACCCACAAAAAAAGTTTTGAAGAAATACTGGCCACTACTCTTGTCCAAACAAGCTGCTTAACATGATAAACAATTGAAAAGCGGAACTTACTCCAGGAAAATGAAGAAAATTTTGATAAATGTTTGTACACAAAGCTATAAAGACACTACTGTTGTGCCTTGAATGACATCACGCTTTGGCTCATGAATATGGAAATTTTCATTAGCATAAAAACTGCAATGTTAAAATTTCTCCCTTTTACTGCTACAAAGAAGGTGGAGAGTCATAGTTACATGGCAAGAAAGCTGTTTTAAATGAATTGAAGTCATAAAAATCCTATTACATGTTTCCTTTAATGCATGTGCACTTTTAAAGAATCCCAGCTTTCATTACCAGAAAGAATTTGAACAAAAGAACTAGAGATTTTGCATTTTTTTTTTGACAAACGCAGGTTGATGTGGCACAACACTATTCGGTTGTACTTTGTTTCAGTCCAGTGACGAATGTCAATGTTCAAGGGCGCTATAAACCCGTATATATGCCATGTGGCCAGGGATCACGCCCAACGTAATAATGCTAGCAACGTCTTCTTTTTTTTCTTGATGCGCACGGCTATTGCCATCTTCAGAGCAGTACAGTGCACTTCACTTTGTCTGCACACATGCTGATGAGATGTCCACATTGAACATGCTCTTGAAGTGGAAACCCAACCTGGAGCTGTTTGATAATGCCGGCTTAACCCCGTTGCATCTGTCAGTCCAGAGAGGCCGAAAGGACGCCGCAGAAATACTGGTAATGTTACCATGTCTCAAACTTGGGATTGGTTATGGATGTCAAGCTTGACTGATCAAACTCATTTTGGTCCGAAGCTCCAGCCTCATATTCTCCTAGACCAAAAAATACCCAATTGTTGTTTAACATCTTCCAAATTGTTTTCACTTATTAAGAGTCATTTTACGTGAAGATTTTGCAAAAATAGACAAAAGTGAAAAAAATTAACTATTTTTTTTTTTAATATGAAAGTAACCCCAAAAGGTTCTTTAAATCCATAAGTAGTTTGTTGGTGTAGTAATAGGCCACTTTTGTGTTTTTGGCATTTCGAGACCAATTTTTGAGTTTAAAAAAAAAAGCGTTTTCAATGGGCTACCCAGGCGAGGTAAGAAAGATAATAATATGAGTATTAGGGAACGTCTCAGAAGTCGAAACGCTTGGAACCTTCCAATGAGGATAATCGCCTGTTCCATTTGGGAAACACACTTGGAACACAGAATTCGGAATTCCGGGCTTACGCTTGGACCCTTCCGATGAGGATAATCTCCTGTTCGAATTTGGGAACATGCATTGCTCCCTGGGAACAGCCTGGGAATGCCTGGTGTTGGTCTATATATGCACGTGCACGCTTACTCAGGAATGGCCTGTTCCAGTTGGGAACACGCTGGAAACACAGAATTCAGAATTCCACACTTACGATGACCATACTGTGCTAACAGGGCTAGCAGAAAAATTCTGTGCTAATCCAGTAAGCACAGAATCCTTAGTATCGGGTTGTATGCATGCATGCGCATTAAGCAAAATCCCTTGCTAACCCGTGAAATAGGCTAACCGTAAGCACGAAATATTCTGCTACAGTAAGCGCAGATTTTTCGCTAACAGTATAAGCAGAGCCATGAAATTGGGCCCATGTGCCTCGTTAATGTGTTCAGGTGTCCCTTCCCTTCTTTCGATTTCCCCATCACTTCCCTTTGGAATCACTGTGCACTGAGTCCATACCCTATTGATTACCCTTGTTGTCTGTCCATACTTGTGCAGGTTAATGCAGGAGCTGATGTGAATAAATGTACAAGAGGTAACAGCACTTCACTTCTGATCGCTGCCAGGTCAGTTGATGATAATAGTGATAAAGACTCTGTATAATTGTCCACATCTTATAAATATGGATAATTGGTTGAGAGCCCGTCACGTGGCCGGTCTTAAACGGATGATAAAGACATGGCTAGCTGGTCTTAAACACTTTTCCAGTGTCACAATAAAATGTGGACTCCTAAAAATCCAGTGCCTCTTATCGTTTCATTGGTTGAACGTTCACAATCCTCACGTAGGCATGCGCAACAGTACCAGGGAGTCAGAATTTTATAGTTCTAAATTCAAAACGCAACGCGCCAGGTGCGTTCTGCACGACATCGCGCAGAACATGATACGCGCGTGTCAATCTCCATAAAAGGGTTGTTTACATCTTACTCGCCAGCTGAACACTCCATTATTTTGCAAGAGGGATGTTTCAAAAAGCATAAAGTGAATTTGTTGAACAAAATCGGGATGTTTTGAACGAATTATATGATTTTTTTTACCGAAAAGGTATTTATGAATGGGAATAAATATGTTCTTCGTCGGTATTTATCACTCTGTTTAAGACCACTTAGAGTCTGGGTGCTGAAAATTACCCTCGCCTCCAGCTCGGGTAATTATCAGCACCCAGACTCTTAAGTGGTCTTAAACAGAGTGATAAAAACCTCCGGAGCACACATTTATTCCCTTAATATTACATCAAACAGCAAGTTTCTGAACAAGGGACTTAAAATACATGGCAGAAAAGTATTCTGACAATTTCAAATACACAATCAAATTGGGCTGTTCCCTACAGAGGGAAATATAGAGCCTTCTTGTCAGTGACAGAGTTTATGACTTAGATTATGACTTTTTGTCAGGTAACCATGGTAGCTCTTTCAAACTCATTGATTTCTATATAAAGACTGGATAGCGTACAGAAAGCCGCAGAAGAAAGCCATTTGAAGCCATCTTGGAAAGACTGGTTGGTGATCTATAAAGGACAAGTTGCCGTTTTGATAGGCAATTGTGATTCACTTTTGTAACATAGTGGTTCACCTGTTCACCACTGACCACGGTTCACAATTTTTTCAAACGTCATTTTCAGGGTTAAAACTCTAATAAAAACTAAAAAACCTGGACTTTGCATCTTCTCAAAAGAAACAAATGAAGGAAAAAATCAATTCATTGTCTTGACCTTTTTATAGCTTAAAAATGGACGATATCTTACCACTCTTGGTGACGAGGGGAGCCAATGTGAATGCTGTAGACCCTGACAATAAGAAGACTGCCCTTCACTACGTGATGACACCATTCAGTGAGTAGACGTGATGCTGCCATGAGGATAATTGTACTGCCCCAATTGTGTATCATTCCGATGGGATTTATTTCAAACAGAAGTGGGAGGGCGGGATGCGTTAAAAGATGAAAAACATGGCCGTTGATTTCTGCAAAGTAAAAAAACTTTAGATCCAAAGAAGGGATTAGAGGTACAGTCCATCATTTGTAATTTGTGCATTTTGTTCGTTTGAAGCAACAAACGTGCTCAAAATCTAAAGTAGGGTGCTGAACAACCAACCTGATGAAGATTCAGCTCAGTTTCAACCGTATATTCCGAGAAAAACAACATTCTAGGATCTCGATTTCAAACCAAAAGTTGCTGAATCATGTTTTGAATTGGGCCTGCATTCAGCGTTTGAGACACGTTCTCACTGAGCTGATTGCAGCTACGAGACGTCGCGCACTGATCTGACAAATTATAGCAACTCGTGCGTTGTGTCAACACTTGCGTGCGCTTCGCCGAATAAAAAAAACTAACTACTAACGGAAATTTCCAACGATGCATCTTTAGACGCACCGTTTTTATAGACTGGACACGTGGCTGTTTTAGGCCAATGAAATAACTGTGTCCAAAGACACAATATAACAATAGCATTTTTCTCCAGCACAATAATATAACTGTTTACTGAATGAACATGGATTGATGTGTGACATTTTCAGGTGTATCACATTGCTTGGCAAACTGCAAGGTCCTCCTTAATGCAGGGGCCGATCCCAACGCCCTGGATGCAAAAGGCAGGACGCCGCTTCACTACGCCGTCAATCTGGACGGGGGCAGTTTTGACGGCGCCCCTAGTATCTCAGAGCTGCTCATCAAGAACGGTGCCAGTGTGTTTGTCCGGGACATCCGTGGTAGATTGCCTCTGCATTACGCGTTTGTCAAGATGAGAAAGTACGTATGTTGCTAAGACCCTCACATGAGGAACACGCTGCCTGAACCTAATTCATAGATTTCTGTAGTAGCTTTTGTGTATTGTTTAAACAGCAGGAGCTCTAGATTGACAGCAATTGCACCTTCAAGTGTTTGCTGTTAAAAGTTGCCCCTGTTCAGGATATCTGTGAATTTGCTGATATACTTGCGTTGCCCTGCTTTAATCATCAGCCCTTCTCTATTTGTGACCCACCTCAACAAAATGAGTTACAAGTCACCAGAACTAGAGTAGTGAGCCTTTTAACAAAAACATGAAATCGGGTGCTGATCTCAAAGTGATCCTTATATCTTTAATGTATGGCATAGCTAAAACTGTGCCTGTTGGAGAGTATGAGCAATCTCACCGTATTGTTCTGATGCACATGATGTGCAAGTCTGTACTTGAGTGACTTGATGGCAATCATCAGCATTTTTTTCAAAACTTTTACGTGACTGTTCTAAATGACAGTAGTCAAGACACATGGAGAATGTGTTTGATCTTCTTTTCATTCAATCTCTTGAGTTTTCTCTCGAGCAGGATCTGAGACTGTTCAGTGTTTCCTCCTCTAGATCTATGGGCTTTATTAAATTGAAAGCAAGGCAAAATCTCTTTATTTTTGGAACTTGCGAAGAGAAATGTAAGCAGTGACATATCGATACCAGTCTGGTCCGATGAATATTTTTAAAAAAAATTGTGATTAGCCATGCCCTTATGTTTAAAGCCACATTCAAAAAAAAATTGAAAGAGAGGCTAAATTGAATAAATAGTTGGGCACCATCCCATTCAACAGGTCACAATTTATAAAATACATTCAAGGAACACGACCAAAATGGCCTCCTCGTGAATGAGGTCCATACTGTCAAAACTCATATCCACCTCACGCATTAATAATAATAATAATAATAACAGGTTCTTATATAGCGCTTTTAACTAAGATCAAAGCACTTTACATTATTATTACCCCTAATCATTGGGCCAATGAAACATTCCAAATACCATCTCAGCTCCTTGGGGAGTATACAGCTCGATGCAGCCTGTTAGGCGCAAGGAAGCTATTTCTATCACAATAACCATCACTGCCCTCATAGGTACCCATTTACTCCTGGGTGGAGAGAAGCAATGAGTGACAAAGTGCCTTGCTCAAGGGCACACGTACCATGACCCCGCCAGGACTCGAACCCACAACCTGCAGCTTTACCCACAGACCACGAATCAGTGCCCTTAACCACGAGGCCACATCTCTTTGTCACAGACACCGTAGCAGGGATAAGACTGACCCCATTGAGATAGTGACGGTGCTCTTAGATGCCATGAAGGGTCAGCAGGTGGATACCCAGGACAAGTTTGGACAGACTCCCCTGCACTGGGCTGCCTACCGGGGGGCCACCATCTCAGCCAAATACCTTGTGCAGGTCTGTGTAGTATACCCACAGAGCTCAGTAAAATTATTAGAGGACTAACTTGCCATTCACATTGTAACTTATTCAGCTTATCCATGTTTATGGCCAGAACTATAAAACTTTGTTTTCTCAGCAACACGATGTGCTGTATTCATTATTTTTTTCAGAATTTGAAAGAAAAAAACTCTCAGCGTTACTCTGGTATCCAAAACAAAAATTCACAGAACACATTTTTTGAAAAATGGCAAATGTTTCAAGATTGCGGGTGGGGGGGGGGGGGGGTTGGAGTTGTTTAATATATAGCTATAGTTATTTAATATTCGAGTACCCCTAACTTCCCCCAACAAAACAAACAAACAAACAACAACCACCAAGGAAAATCATTTGTGTGTGCTCAGGGTAGTCATCCTAAATATCTTGCTGGGAGTTCACATACCGACAGGTAGGGTTTCCATAAAATGAATATCTATATCAATATCCATTTCTCTCTCTCACTCTCTTTCTTTAATAGAAAGGCAAGAATCTGGAAATCAAAGATCGTAATGGCAACACCCCCTTGGCTATGACGGCCCTAGGAGGCCATGATAGGTGAGTCGACCTTCTTCACCGACCAATTAAATAAAAAGCATGGACATGTTTTGCTTAAAGGGAATGTACAACATTTGCTTTGGCTGCAATTTTCAGAAAGAAATGGATTTGGAGGATCAGCATATTATAGAAAATATTGTTAAACTGACTTAATTCACGTTTTGGGCTTGTAGATGCTGGAAAAACCAAGAAAACCTATCATATTCTTGTAGTCTGGTTCCCTGACCCCACTTGATGAAACGGAGCAATTAATACACTTTGGGGAATTGTAAAGTCAGAGAATCAGTCTAGCAGGCTTGTACCCCTTCACAGGTGTGTAATCAATTGCAAAGAAAAGTCAGAAAAACTAAATATGAATAATTAGGAACAGTTTTTGAAAAAAAGCCAGTTTTCTCCAACGCTGGTCGGTCGACCAGCGTTGGAAAAATATAGTTTTTCTTGATGATTTAGAATGTCAGTCCCTAACAATCCAGTAAGGTATTTCGTGATAATGTGATCATTTCGTTTTTTTGATGTTTGCAAATGTTGTATCTTCCCTTTAACTCCGATTTAGATCATAGTTGTAATGTTGCATCAGAGCATGAATGTGAACCATCAGTCGCCAGTATTTCAGACACACCACTACAATATATGTGTGCAGTCGTGAGGGCGCCATTGAATTACATGCCCTTAAACAAACCTTGCACATTGAAAACCCATAGGAACTAGACCCATGATGTGCATATTCACTGGGATGTCAAACTGAGAGATATTTAACAATTATTGACTGCTGTGAAGTGGGATATGACGTTTTTAACACCTGAGGGGCGCATAGCTGAGGGTGCTATTTACCCCGAGGGGTTTAAAACGGCATATCCCACATCACAGCAGCTAGCAATTGTTTTGTTATATTGTACAAGTAACTCAACAAGATTATATAGCTCATGAACTATAATTGATCAAGTGGGTACTATTTAACAATTGTTGACTGCTGTGATGTGTGATATGAGATTTTTAACACCCGAGGGGCGCATAGCACCCAAGGCGTGCTAAGACACGCTTTCTCTCAATCGAAGCCATTTCTGGAGGGACTAGTAGACCCCTTGCATCCGACGTCGCATCTGAGGACAGCTCTTTGTTCCTCTTTATGAAACGCATGAGTAGTCAGTTTTTACTGTCATTCGCACTGAATTGGAATAACACAATAATTCCCTCAGTGAGGCTTGCACTTGGTATTTGCGGCCAGTCTCTTCACTTTGAGCAGTATTTTTCCCATTACATCGGTAGGTTCTTTTCCAGGTTATCATCAATGTTTTTACCCGTGTCCACAATCCATTTTGTGCTGATCACATTTTGTATCATTTTGGCTCGTATATCCACTCCCATCCCAGCGTGGCCATAGTTTTGATCGAGGCAGGCGCAAACATCAACATCACTGTGACATTTGTTCCACCGGAGTTGGAAGACCTGGCCAACAAGGGGTCGACAGAGCCAAGCAAGTCTTGGATCTGGAAGCCCTTGATCCAACCCCAGCCTGTGCCCTTCACTGCCTCGTTTGTCCAGGCAGTGCTGGGCGAGGGATGGGAGAGCGTCATCTTTCTCATCATGCCCCGGATGCAGAAATTCAGACTGTCCTTCATCAGTGTCATGCAGGTATGTGTACTAATAATAATACCAGATAGCACACGTGTCTACCAACTATTAGGTACTCAAGGCGCTGGAAATTATGTCTATTATTAAAGACATGTAAATGAAGTTTATGAGAAAATATGAGACCCATTATGTAGCACCTTTATGAGGGTTTACACGGTGCTGCGGAATATATTGCAGCCACTGCCAGAAACACCGGGGCAAACCCTTCTCTTAGCAATAAGTGTCACTGGGTTCTTTACCGTGCATTACACAACACACGGGACCTACGGCTTTACGTCTCATCCGAAGGACGAAGCAATAATGGTAAAGTAGCTTGCTCAAGAGCACAAGCACCATGTCTCCACAGTCAGGATTCGAACCCATGTACCATGAGTCGTACACTGTAACCATTGGACCACACCACCCCTACTAGTCAGACATGCTGAAAATTGTTATAACGAGTGACCCCTCTAACGGACTATGTTACATGGACCCCATCATGTTTGTGATAGCATTGTTTTACTGTACCTGCTTGCTTTTGGGACCTTCAACCCCCCCCCCCCCCACCCCTTCCGCCAATAATACTACCACACCTGTGCGTCGATACAGCAAGATACAAATGTGCACAGTGAGCTTTATAGCTTTACAGTGTAAACTGCAACTTTCACAAGTGTCATAAACATGAAATATGTTTTGTTTTCCCATGTAGCCCTGGTTTTCATTTATTTAAAATCTCCACAAATGACATTCAAAACCTTTCTTTTTCGTTGTCTAAGTAATTTGTAAAGTTGGTTACGGATACCTGATTCAATAATCTGGAACTGGTTCCTGACATTAAAGGGAATGTACATCATTGGGTTTTGCTGTAGTTTTCAGAAATGAACTATTTGAGGGGTTACTATAATAGATCAAACATTGTTATACTGCCATGTTTGAAGTTTTGTGTTCGAAAATGCTGAAAAACCAAGAAAAACAAAAATGTTCAAGTAGACTGGTTTTCTGACTCCACTAGTCTAGCTGGCCTGCACCCATTCATGTAACCAATAGCAAACAAAATTTGGACTGAAAAAATTGTAAATTTGGAGCAGTAGTTGAAAAACAGATACCACTTTTCTTGAAAATGACTTCACACCAGGTGGCATTATTTTTCCTAGTAAGGTATTTCATACAAACTGGGTAGGTTTATTTTTCGATGTTTGCAAATGTTGTATATTCCTTTTAACGGTCGTGTACTCAGGTACCCGGTTCTGATGCACAACCCTAGTAAGCAGAGCCTTGAAACCAGGCCCCATCCAACTAGCCAGCCCTCAGTTGTTAGTCTCTAAGTTTGTTAATATCTTTGTTGAAAATTTCTATTAATCATATGGGGAACGGAAAAGAAGCAGTAGTTTATTGAGAAAAAGTCTCAATTTACCTTTTTTTTTAATTGATTCCTGACCAGGCCATTTTTGAGGCTCAGAAACTTCAGCTGGCCTGTACCATGCTCCTGAAACAGCCAGACGATAAGAAAGTCCAAGCCACCGATAGCAGAAACCGTAACTTCTTGCACTTGCTCGCCATACATTCTAACTTGGATGACCCAGTCCAAATATATGAAGAGGTATGTATTATTAGTTACCCCACGTGTGTGAGTGGAACACACACATGCTCGTTTATTTATTTATTACATTTTTTACCCAGGGCATGCCATGCCCAAACAGTTCAAAACTGGTTTCCATTGGAGCCCTGCATACAATAAAAAATGACTACAAACATGTATACAAATACAATACTTTACAAATACAATACAGGGTGAGTAAAAAAACCCCAAAACCCAAATGTCGGGACCATTGTTTTAGTGAAGTTGTGCATGTAGCACTTTCAAAATCTAGGATATGAAAGCCCAATTTATATGCTTTCTTTAAGTACAAGAATAATTCACATCACTTATGTACTTTTTAAGTTACAGAGTTTTAAACACAACCACCGTTTTAAAGTTCTGTCCACGGATCACACAAAAGGTGTGTGTTCTTTCAGCAACACGAAAACAATTCACACACATCCTTGTGGGATTTGTTTTCGTGTTGCTGAAAGAACACTGAACTTTTTTGTGATCCGTGAACAGAACCTTAAAACGGTGGTTGTGTTTAAAATTCCGTAACTTGAAAAGTACAAAAACCTGCGAAAAACCAGCGAAAAATCTTTTGGGGAGAAAACACGGGGACATTCCCATCCGGCTCCTTATTATTATGGCAACCAAGTTTGTTAACTCCGTAGATCAGCATATATTTAGATTTGTATAATTAGAGAAGACAGCGAAAAAAATACTCACATCATTATTTGCAGAAATATTACTCGTTAGGTTAGCCAAATGTTAAATTTCATGTGAGTGAAACGCACCCCTGTTTAGATTATCAGCTGTGCATGTACAGGGTGAAAAGAATACTGAAATTGCTCAATCCTTTCAAAGAATATCACCATTTTAACGCAATGACCCTAAAACCTGTTTCGTAAAAAAAAAACCACTTTATTGTGTGTTCTGACTGTTTGGAACAACAAAGAAAATGGCACAGAATACTTGTTTCAACAACTGTCAACAACTGTAGTACACAATATCTTTATTAACAACCCTGCTTAGGTATACAATATGCTTTATGCAATCCACTTTTATTAAAAGACAACCTTCAAAATGACTTTGTGGAATATGTTTTACTTTTAAATTGAGGTTTTATCGCTGGTGATGTTTGAAGACAATTGTGACGACGATTCTTGAAATTGCTTTTTGGACGAAAGAAGTTTTAGGGTCATTGTGTTTAAATGGTGATATCGTTTGAACCGATTGAGCAATTTCATTGATTTTTTCATCTAAAAGTAGCTTATGAAATTGGCTTTCCAGTCAATATTATATTTGGTGCTACATGGACATATTTTTGTAAATGTGAAACATATTTTTTGGGGTTTGGGTTCCGCTTTTTTTTACTCACCCTGTACATGTGCGTCAACATCAAGAAATGCAGAAGATTGTTTTGGAAGAAATAACAATCTGCATGTCATGCAGTGAAAAAGGAAATTTAGTTTGCACTTGAAGGCATTACCTCATATTTCCAATCCTTTGTGTACAGGGCAACATAATAAATTTAGAAACAGATTGGATCATTATTTTACATGCCTTCTGGATAGATTGCCAACCCCCTGCTAGAGAGAGGCGTGAAGTTGTTTGCCAGGGATGACAAGGGTTGCACTCCTCTCCACTACGCAGCTGCCAACCAGAATAATAGACTGTGCAAGCTTTTCGCAGGTAGGTCAAATGTCACTGAATTTCCACTTTTCCTTGCTATAAAGCGATCGGTACAGTAGATAGTGCTATGTGACCACTCACAAAATTGACCTGTCGTGGTAGAATCGCGTTAGAACATGTAGAATCATGTCAACGCAGCTTGTGAAAAAAACGAAAGTTATTATTATAATGCACCCAGTTACTTTCCCTTTGTGCTTTGTTGAAAATATGCCTACAATTGGAGTGGACTTTTTTGCTACACTAGCAAAATGTTCTCCTACAGTAAACAGATTTTCCCCCCTCTATTAACCCCAACTCCCTAGGCCTTTTTGCTAGGATGTAGCCTCAATCCTGCAAATTCCTCCATTATTTCTTGGATGTGGTCCGTGGAGGGGTGACCACTGCTTGAATCCTGCAAAATCCTGTGGCAGTGACTGTCAATATGCTGAGGCTTGGCCAGTGACATCCTGGAGCAGTACGGAGGATTTCAAGCATAATCCAGGCCTATATTTTTGCATGGCTGGGCAAACACAACACAAGGTCCGGCCCAAGACCTTGTCAAAGTGCATCCTACGAAATCAGTAACACACTTTTGCCATGTAACCTCAATCCTCCAAATTCCTCCACTTTGGCAAAGAGGATTTTGAAGGATTCAGGGTGGTTACGGTTAATAATCTGAAGCAGAACCACAAAATGGGGCCATACAATTCGAAATTTAAAAAGGTAGCCCTTTCCTTACTCGAAGATTGTCTTTTCCAGAAAAAGACCAGGCAAGTTTCAAGAAGTGCTTGAGTTGCAAGGACAATAGAGGGCGCACACCAACAGTTGCAGTCTTCTGGAACATAGGCCACAGCAATTTGACTGAGGAAGTCTTAAAGTAAGTCGTTTGATTTTGTAAAATAAATGTCAGCTGTTGGATTTAGTGTCAGGAATTGGATCAATTTTTGAGGTAAAAGTGTACTTTAGGGCTCCTCTATCTCTTTAGTTCTAAAACAGTTCTTATTGCTCATAAATGACTTCTGTTACCCAAGGAATCTTCCTTTCCCTTAGTTTTCAAGATTTTCAACTGTTCTATTTCACTCAAAAAGATGACTTAATTATCCAATATTTTTTTTCCAAGTTAATGCCGTGGGAATGAACAGTTTTAGCATTAGCGTGAGCCGACACCCTCTCCATGTTCATGTTTTGTCGTGTTTTGTCATCATGTTCATCATTTTACCCCATAATTTCCCTCTAAATGCATAACCCTGCCCTCATTCCATGACATTCCTGTGGCTTTTGAACATTGCCGGGCACCGGTGTTTTGGCGAGACAATAACATAAAAGTAGATTTAGTTGTCTTACAGGAAAGGGGTCCCGAAGAACACTTTTACCATTTCTCCAGCGCTATCAAAGAAACAATATCTGTACGGGTGTGTGTTTGAAAAGTAGAGGTAAATGGGACATTTATAATTGTATGTCTCTATTCTCTGAAAGTTACCATGTCTATTATTGTTAATTCTCGGTAATGAAATCAAGGATTCCTCAAAAACGCCCCAGGCACTGTAGCTTGCAAGCCTGAACAAAACATGTGGATAAAAGACAATGAGAAGAAATCGCAGTTTTAGAGGTGGGAGGAAAACCCCAGAGGAATATTCTGGGGAAAACCCACGGAATCAGGTAGGGACTGAAAACCCAATCCACTGTGGACCAGGGCAGGAATCGAACCCGGGCCATAGTGGCCAAAGGCGAGGAGAGAAACCACTGTGGCAATCTGATTATCTAACTAATATTACGTTCACACTCCCTTTGAAGGGAGAGTGAACGAGGCCCCTATAGAGGGGCCTCGTAGCTGAGCAGTTAATAGAGCGTGGAGCTACAGAGTGGAAGGTTGGCGGTTCGAATCCCATTCGGACCAAAAACTGGAAAACCCTCTCTGACGACCCAACAGTAAAATGGGTACCTGATTCGTTCAGGGAAGGTAGACGGCAAGAGGAGAGGACTGGGCACCGCCACTCATATGCCGCACCCAACATCCCACTGCCCCTACGGCCAATAATGGCTATGGGTACCTTTACCTTTACTTTTTTACTTCCCTTTGAAACCAAAAATCTCGGTTTTTGTTTAATAATTTCCTGCCAATGCAGCCTTTTCACCAGTTATAATGCTTCCCTGGACATCCGAGCCCAGCTTCCAGATGTGCAGGCTCGCATCCCCCAGCAGCGAGCGGATACTATTGATGCTTGGTACCACGGCCCCCTGGAGAAGTCGGTGTCCAGCACCCCTCTGATTCTCATGATTCACACCAACGATTTCAAGGGGTGCAAGTTCCTGTTGCAGAAAGGAGCCAGCTGCAACTACGCAGATGAGAACGGTCTGACACCACTCATGCATGCTGTCCAACAGGTATTCAGTTTATTCATCCGTAGCTCTACGTGCAATTGTAAAAACAGTAAAATTAACAGCCCCAAAATACCCAGTCATAAATGCTTGGGAGCTAATTGATTAGGTTATATTCTAACTTTTAACAACTGAATATTACCTCTCTCCTTTATTTTTTTCTTTTCTGGGGGGGTGTTTGTTTTATTCACTTTTTAATTGTTATCAACCGTGGCTGATGCCTCTGTTATTTGCAAAAGGACTTGGAGTCAAGCCTGAGTCTGAGTCCTCGTAAACATACCGGTATTTGTACATTTCTTGTGTACCCGTGTCAGGCTTGTTATGTTCAGCCATATTCCTACTCATTCTCAAGACTCTGTCGTCACCATAGAGCTACATTAAATTACTAGAGCGCTAACTCATGTACAAAGTGATGCCTGCTGGGCGCATCCATGTTTGTACACAAACCTATGGAGAACTAGAAATTGTGTACGTATTTTGTGTGTCTATTTGCATAACTGCATTTGTATTCCATACCGGTGCGTCATCGAAGCTGATACGCCCAAAACCAAAACGCATGATCAGGAAATGAGCATGTCATTTTGCTCTACGCAAACAGCGCAACGTGTGCGCGTCCCTCCGCTGCAAATGCTTTTCGCTGTGACGTTTTTCGCACCGTCATGACGTGCTTAAGTTGTTTGCGTATCTTCTACTTGCGCGTTGCATTTAGAGTACACTTTTAAAATTCAATCCATCCATTTTGATTGTGTTCTACAAACACGCACATCAGTGCTTCACAATTATTACCCCTGTTCATCAGGCTACGAGACCGGTATTTGCAGCAGCTCGAGTCAGTGCAATCTGGTCTCTACCCTCACAGGTACTCATTTATACTCCTGGGTGGAGAGAGGCAATTGTAATAAAGTGTCTTGCCCAAGAGCACGAACCCATGTACCACTGCACGTACGTCGTGGACCGGAATCATTAAACCACAGCGCTCCACGTATTCAGTTGCCAAAGTTTTCCGAATGAAGTTTACACACTCGGCATAAAATCTTCAGAGAAACTTGCCCAGCTCGCCAGACGAATATTGCTCAACCTCAGTAAAGTTCAGTTCTTTTGCAATATAGTATCTTCTAAGAGTTTCTTCCGCATTAGTAGGGGAGGCATCTTCAATGTCTACAATATTCTCCAGTTCGGCATAATAGAGCTCAAGAAACACTGATTAACATTTACGTCTGCAGCAAGTCTTTTCACTTGTAGCAATAGTGCCTCGATTGCTTTGTAAACCGCATGCGTAGTGGACTCTTGATCATTATTATGTATGAGGTATCCGCTCCGTTCACAAGTACCCCCTCACCGGCAAAGAAAGTGCAGTTGGGGGTGACCGACCAACGCCATCTTGCCTGATTGCAATTCATTTGCCGCGAAGCACGGCCACTGTGTGTACTTAGTACAAATCCCCTGGTGTATGTGCGTCACACACAATGAACGGTGCTCGTCAGCCAGCGAAATGTCCGGCCCATGGGACGTCGTTGCTAGGTAAAAGGGCGCCCTCTTTCGTGGGCGCACGGAGCCCATAGTAATACCAAAATATTATAAAGGTACTGTATCACTATTATAGTGCTACATACTACAGATTACTGCTAGTAGTATTTTGTAGCTTTTGGGGCAGTCAGGGTCAAGGGAATGAAGCCAGCATTCAAAGAATTAAGTAAAAGTTTGATTTTCTTTTCATTTTTATCGCATCCCTCAGAATGAAATGGAACTCGTGAAGTTACTCTTAGACCATAACTGTGATAAACACTTTGAGAGGGGTGAAGGGAATCTGAATGCCGGATCTCTCTCTACCTGGGCTGTCAATCTGTGGGAGCAGAGGAGTAAGCATTACCAGAAGTCATTTATTCAAGTGTCATCTCTTGAACTGAAAATATATGAACTTAACTAGGTGTAATTGACCTATCGCCGTTTGCGAGTTAGCCACGCCCCTTAGACAACCCTATGAAGTTTTTGTACACTAAGTTTTGTTTGTCTCAGATTTTGTGCGTTCCGCCTCCATTAGTATATCATGTAATTGGACAATATTTCACAAGCAGCATTGTCGCGATTCTATCTCATATTTCTCATAAACTTCATTTACCTGCTGTTAATTATAGACATAATTTCCAGCGCCTTGAGTACCTAATTGTTGGTAGATACGTGCGCTATATAAGACTCTAGTATTATAATGGTGAGGTGGCATGCCTTGCAAATTGTGGCAGCCACCTTGGGCTTTTTTCGCCCAAAATATTTCCTTTAAGAAAATTGCTGAATGCCCCCCTCTTCCTGGCCCTTTTAGGCTAAAAATCCAGTCACAGGCGAAACACTTTGCATTTTTATACAATAATGTCATGAAAAAAAAACGACTGCAACATTACATGACAAAGTCTGTTTAAGGTTTGAATTGGCAAACTTGAATCCAAAGTTCTTGTTATAATTTCATGCCCTTGCCTTATGGTGTGCAGAATCGAAGCCCAATGATAAGGAGAGGTATATCAAGACAAACACCCTGGGAAAATTAGATGGCTTGGATTATATCGACCAAGTCTCTGATTATGACATCTCGAAGGCTCTGGAGGAGGAAGACAAGAAGAAGAATGAGGAGAAGGATGAGATGGAGGATGAGGAGGAGGTTGAGGAGGACGAGAAAAATAAAAAGGATCTTGAAGATGAGGATGAAAAGGAAGCACTCCTTGAAGCAAGAAAGAAAGGTGTGCACAGGATCCAATGCATTTAACGCATATAGGACCAAAGTACATAGAGATGCAATGTACTACAATAATACTTTTTTTTAGTATACCCACATCCACATTCAGGATCTGAAGTAGTGAAACAAAACCGAAGATGGAAGCAGTCTAAAAATAATAAAAATAATACTAATAATTTGGGAGGCTAATCCTCCTTAATTACTCGCAGCTGAGAAGCTAAATTGTGAAGGAAGTGGGTACAATGTGGTCCAGCCGCTGGCACGTAAAGGCGCCTATGACTGCCGGCCACATCGACCCATATATGAGCACAGAGCGCAGCCTGAGATCGAAAATGTTTGACATTTCCAGGGGGAGGAAAACCGGAGAGCCTGGAGAAAAATCCTTGTGGCACTGGATGAGAACCAATCCACAACTCTACTCACTTATGGCATGTATGGTCCGCGGACGGGATTCGAACCAGGGCCACAGTGGTGAGAGGAGAGCGCTTTACGCACAAGCCACCCATGCCAGGGAAAAAATAGAGAGGCATTTTGACCTGGGATTGTTTGGTACGGTCTGGCTATTCTAGGGTGCCTTTGTGTTATGAGAACCAATTAATAATCCAACTGCCCCTTCCCTCTTAGAGAAGAGAAAGCAACTGGAAGAGGAAAAGAGACAGGATGCAGCCAAGAAGTTTGCGGAGACCTCCAAAGTCGACCTCAACGCAGTGGACTCGGCCGGCCGCACTGCCATCCACCACTTGGTCAAGACTCACTCCTACGGCACGCACGAGAACGTCATCATGCTGGACCTCCTGTTCAGGCTGGGGGCCAAGATATCGATGCGAGACAAGCACGAACAGACGCCTCTGGACTACGCCATGGAGATGCGCTCGGCCAAACTTGCTATCGAGCTACAGCGATTCATGAAAATCAAGGAGTCTAAATGGGTGAGTCAGGTTATTGTAATAAATTTGTTTCTATTTCAGCTATTTTCTTTTTTATACAGCTTTGAATAAGACCTCAATATTTCCATGATAGAGAATCAATTAAACTCAAACAGTTGAACTCAACACTTAATTCGGCTGAGCGATCTCCTGAAGATGACCAGACCACACTGTTTGAAACCTTGGGTTAACTGTTTCTTCTTGGAATCACACAAACTCTAAAGGTTTACACACGGATGGTGCTGCTCCGAACCCTGTACTCATTGATGTATATTAAGAATGCTTTCATTGAGCACTAATCATATTTTTTGGGTTAAAATCTTGACATTGGACTTTATTATTGAGGATATTGTCTTGAAATTATCCTCAATAATATAACAGTGCATTGTGAATAATATAACAGTGCATTGTGCATCACATGGCTAAATTTGATTGCCCCCCCCCCCCATTTCAAGTGTTCCCTCACACGTAAGCGCACTTTTGAGTTTTTGTACGTTCAGTTAAAAAAATTTGGCATTCATGTGTGAATGGGTGTACACACCTAATATGTCCTAATGACCCTCCTAATTAAATGTGCAATATCATATACATTCCTGCACAGTGTCTCTAGTATTCTCTTGTACATTACATGTGCATTTGATGTGTCTAAATTTGAATAATGTAAAAGAGTTTGTATCCTCAAGCAAAGCTTTGGGTATTCCACTATTAGTACGTCTGCTTTAAATTTACACTTGCCACATTGTTAATAACTTGTAACAGGCTGCTATGTGATCACTGGATGTGCTACTCATCATAAACCTAATTCTAATTTGGTGTGATATCTTCCAGAAACTCCCCAAACCCACCCCGCTGTCCTGGACGGATGCCAACCATTTCAAGGCACACAAGCCCGACTTTAAAGCCGACGCCCAGGCCATGATCAAGCAACTGGAGTCATCGGCCGCTAGAGCGAAGACCAAGGGAAAGAAGAAGGAGGAAGAGACAGGGGCCAAGGTGGATCCCTTGTCAAACTTCAAGGAAGGAGGGTGAGTGCTAAGCAGTGATGTTTAGCCCATTGCCTGTCTCTGGGTTAATGTTGAGTTAGCACTGTATGCGGAGTGTTTACCAAGAGCCTGTGAAGAAACGATATGTGCTTCTGGGTGCAGCTTAAAACAGAGATATATCCAACAAGAGGATGGAGGCGTGGGGGCTCTATTCACGTCTTTGCAAGTTTGTAACCTTAAACATGTCTGAAATATGCTTTGGAAGATTCAGACCATAGTTTTGCCTCTAAAGGATGATTTTTTTAATGATTTATAGAAGGGAATCAGTTCCACAAATGTACCACTTTTGGCTATTTTTTAATTAAAAATTGGCTTAAACTTACTGATATTTGCCCCCCCCCCCAAGTTGTTTTCTTCCCCCCCCCCAGATTTTCCCCGAACACTTATCTACATAATGTTTATGTTTATTTTTTTCGCTGTTAAGATTCACAACAAGTTGAAGATTGGGAGTAAATTATCGGTTCTGTTTACACATTTTGGGCTAATGAAAGCATTGGTAAACAAAACACATCACACATGCATTTTATACAGCCATAGATAGTGTGCAGCCAACGTCTTTGTACATTTTTTATACACCATTCTGCGGTTTGATACATTTCTCATTCATAAAAAAACGACTACACCTCTAAGTTGCTCTAGAGGCTTATTTCCGGACCATTGACAATGGGCACGCGCACGCGTACAGGGTCACTCTTGTGTGAAGCATGTGTCCGTTTCCAGTCTGGGTAATTGAAAAACAAACTGGCAATAAAGACGATTTTGATGTGATAAAAGTTTTTCAAAACACCTGCTATTTCGTTACTTTCTCGTTAGATTTTGGATATTATCAGATTTTATTTCACTGCCTCCAAAAAATATTTTCCTTGCCCCCCTCCCACCCAATTGACCTATCGCCGTTTGCGAGTTAGCCACGCCCCTTAGACAACCCTATGGAGTTTTTGTACACTAAGTTTTGTTTGTCTCAGATTTTGCGCGTTCCGCGTCCATTTGTGTATCATATAATTGGACAATATTTCACAAGCTGCGTTGACGCGATTCTACCGCGATAGGTCAATTGCCCCCCTCCCCCAATTTTAGAGTTTGACGCCACTACTGCATATGACGAACACACTCCAGGAGTGTGCAGTGTTGCACATTGGACAGGGGCACGACTTGTTGCCCACGTGTGCAGATGGCAGTTCCTAATAGATCTGTCTATTGTCGGGAGCCTAGACAATAGCCCTATGAGAGTTGGACGCGGCCTAAAATTTGATGTTCAATTTCTTTAAAGCAGAAATGGTCACATCTCTGCTGTTTTTCTCTCTCTCCATCCAGAGTGGTCCTTATGGATGAGGAGCAAGGAATACCTTTCGATGCCCTCCTGACAAGGGTAGATGTCAAACATGGCATGCGTGGGATGAATAACTTCTACAAAATGCAGGTGAGGAGGCCATCAAACTAAACTGCCATTCGGGCTGATATACAGAGTTGAAGCAGTCTGGGCATGCTTTTAGAACAAAATATTTTGAGACTAAGAAAAGTTTGATTTTTGGGAACACTGATTGTAACATCGAACCGTTATTTTTTGTATCATGGCCAAGAGATTGAGAGAGTATTAGAATACATATATCTGGAAGTGATTATTGACAACCAATTAATTGTGGTGTAATAGGAGCGATTCACAGTACTGTAATACTAGAGGGCTCAAATCCAGAGAAACTTGCGCTGCATCGTGGGAAAATGTTGACACCGCGATGCGACCTTGAATAGAAGTCGCCAGTTGGTCGTCGCCATAAACTCTGTTGCATTGCGATCGATTGCTTGTGATCCAAAACTTAAATATACCGGAATTTGTGGGGGTACCGTAGGATAAGGTAAAATTGGGGTTAGGTGACATTAAAGATGGAAGAAGTTTGTGCACAAGTCCATGGGAATGTCTCCCAAATTACCCTTTTCCCTTAAATTTAATTTCCACATATTTTTGTTTTATTTTCTTGACAGTTAAGCTTGAACCTTTTTTTCCCCTTCATATTAGTGTCATTTTCAAATTGGTGACGTTGTTTCAACACCTGGGAAGCAGACTTCCGAGTTCTTTAATCGTGATGAATAACAAACGAATGAACAAAGTTAGCAACATGTCAAGTTGCATTATGTAAACTTTGAACATTGACCGTGTCTTGGTTTTCTTCTTTAGATCATTCACCAGACAGGGAAGGACATCATCCTGCTGTTCACTCGATGGGGTCGTATCGGTGAGGAGGGGCAATACCAGCGAACACCCTTCAGCACCAAGGAAGAAGCTAGCAAAGAGTTCCGGAAGATCTTCAGGGCAAAGACTCGCACCGACTGGGCTGACGTCAAGAAGTGAGTGATCTAGTTATTGGCTCTGTGTACACGCAAGGGGGCAAGGGGGGGGGGGCACCTGGTACAAAAATGTTGTAAAGTGAAGGCTATCCTTCATCACATTTCTATTCCATCCTGTTGTCAGTTACACATCTTTTTTTTGGGGGGGGCATACCTATGTTCCCCAATACCAACGTTTCCCAATACTGATGTTTCCCAACCCTAACCCTAACCCTAATCCTAAGGATTTCGGGGAACATCAGTATTGGGGAACATAGGTATTTGGGAACAACAGGTAAACCCCCCTTTTTTAGCAGGGTCCACACAGCCTGGAAAAAACCTGGAAATGTCATGGAATTTTTTTTCTCAATTTTCAGGCATGGAAAAGTCATGGCAATTTGTGCAAAATGACAAAAGTCATAGAAAAGTCGTGGAAATTTGTGAGGACAAAGTTATTTGTTAAAATGGCTGTAGAGTGAGGGCTAACCTTTATCACATTTCTATTCTATCCTGGTGTCACCGACAATTCTTCTAGCAGGGCCCACACAGCCCGGAAAAAACCTGGAAAAAGTCATGGAATTGTTTTTTCAATTCCCAAGCAAGGAAAAGTAATGGAAATTTGTAAAAAAAAATAACAAAAGTCATTGAATTTTTGTGAGGACCAATTTATTTTATTTGGTAAAAAGGCTGTAGAGAGAGGGCTATCCATTATCACATTTCTATTCTATCCTGGTGTCACCGACAATTCTTTTAGCAGGGTTCCTACAGTCTTGCAAAAAACCTGAAAAAAGTCATGGAATTTTCTTTTCAATTTCCAGGCCCGGAAAAAGTCATGGAAATGTGTAAGAAATGACAAAAGTCATGGAAAAGTCATGAAATTTTGTTTTTTAATTTTCAGACAAAAAGTCACGTTCAGACAAAAAGTCATGGAAATTTGGAGGTAAAAAAAAAAAGGCAAAAGTCATGGAATTTTGTGAGGACCAGTTTATTTTGTGAGGACCAATTTATTTTACATTTTAAATTCATAATATAAATATAATTAGAATCGAAAATCTGATTTTTCTACCTTTAAATGCGACAAATTTTGCCTATTCAAGCATTTTGATTTGGCAAGACATTATATGTTTTTTTTTTTTTTTTTTTTTTTTTAAGGCCAAAAAAAAAAAGTCTCCGGTTTCTGGTATGGAGCTTGTCCAAAAAGTGGTGCGGCGACGCGTCTTTTTTTTTTTTTTTACCTGACTTTTTTGCTTCAAATGTCGGCTGATGACTGCAAATGGCGCCCCACTAAACTTAGTGCAAATATATGGGAGTTCAGAGAGGCTACATTAAGCTTATTCTCGATCATAACCCCATCTAAAAACACGTTAAAATTGTGCAGCAGCAGAATTCCAGTCAAACCAGTGAGTTTGGCGGTTTTGAGACATCATCTTTCATTGAAAAAAAAACTTTTTCATTTTGCCGACGCGCATGGCTACGGCGACGCGCGCGCATACCAGAAACCGGAGACTTTTTTTTTTTGGCCTAACGGTTTCTGTTAAGTACCTTTCAGGGAACAAGGTTTTCAGTTTTGATCTGCATTTTAATGAACAAGATCATGAATGTTCATTTGGTATGGACATGTCATGGAAAAGTCATGGAATTTTATCTTGCTAAAAGTTCAGGTAGCGGCCAGTGTTTAGGAATCAGCACCAATTCACCCTGCCTGACGCCCTCCCACCACCCCCTCCCCCCCTAAATTTTGTTTGATCCTACTGTTCTACTTTTTCACCTTGGTCTGCATGAAAGCATGGAATTGTCAGGTTTTGCCCGGGTTTATTCTTTAAAGAAGTAGAAACAGCTAATATAGATTGACTTGCATACAAATTCCTTAAATTTTCCTGGTTGACTGTTAATATTTGTCTCTGGTCTTATAATGGTTCAGCTTCCAGAAGGTTGATAAGAAGTACCAGCTGGTACCGTCGGATCCATGGAGGGCCACTCGGAAGGAAGCTCTGAAGGAATTCAAGTTTGACTTGGAGTCCAAAGTCCCCTCAAAACTGCCCAAGGTGCTGCAGAAGGCCATCAAGGAACTGGTCAGTAGTTTGTTTTAATCAAATCCAAGGCCTGCTTTAAACGTATCCACTAGGCCCCGCCCACTGAGCTCGTGGGCAATTAACACGTGCTCCTCTCCAACGCCACACTGCTTGTTCAAGCCGGGTGCGTCATACGTGCGTGCACGCTTGTCAGACATGAATGACAGTTGTGATTGGTCAGAATACCATGGTGCGGGGCTTACTGGAGTGTCTATTGTGGAATTGGTCATTGATTAGTTCGTCCCATTTTCTACAGGATTGTCAGTGTGGAACTTCGAGACTTAATTAAAAGAGGTAGTCGTACTGAAGGCACAAGTTACGTATAGTTGCAATAGACCATTATCATGTGGCGGCCATCTTTAATTTTTTTCCCATTCAGGAAGGAATGGGGAAAAACGTCTGGAGGCCGAAAGGAGAAATAGTCTGGTTCCTTTTTGGCACAAATAAATTATCATTCAGTTTGTTATTGGATACAGGGAACATGACTGAAATGGTGGCAGCATGATAAAGGTCTATAGTTTCTCCCGGTTGACATCATGCATTAGGAACATGAATATGCATTACATGCAAATGAAGTGGTCATGTGGGTTTTGGTTTCCACATGTGGCTGCTTCAAAGGGGTTGAAAAGGTTGAAATCAAAATGTGAATTGACCCCCTCTTTAACCCATTAGCACCTGTACTACATATAGATTACATTGTGCTTATTCACTGAAAAATCAGTAAAACCATAGAGTGCTCGAGCCATTTCGGTGCTACAGTGACGAAAGAGTTGAAGGGCCCATGTAATGTATTCATTCAATCCTTACAAATGCATCTTGAATTGTGTCCAATTTAACCTTATTTTCAATTTTCGTTATGCCATTTGTAAGGGTATTTTGATGCCTTTTTGTTTTTTTATGCTAATGTGAATTTCCATATTCATGAGCAAAATGCGATGTCATTTTAGGTAGAAGCCTCAATGTTGTAGCTATTTCAGCACCAAAAATTGCCAGAGTTTTGGATATTTTGCTGTCCTAAATTTTCGTTTCTTTGGTGATTATGTTGTTTCATTACTTGACAGTAAGCCAATGAGCAAACATTTCTCACGAACGTTTTCAGTGAGCAAACTTTTGGGCTCAGAATTTGAACAGAAAGCCCCTAAACTGAACTGAGTCTTCCTTAAGTCGCAAAGCATGGAAAAATAATATAAAATTAACCAAACAGGGATGTCAATTAGTTTTAATTCATTTACTCATTTACAAGGAGTAGAAAGTTGCACAAAGTATAATTCCTGAGTCAAATCCATGTCATGGTCCCTTTAAGGGATAATTTTGCACAAGGAAAGTGCTACAAGATGTAAGACGAAACCCTTTGTTTCCACAGATCAAACCAAATGTTATTGCCAAGGCATTATCCGACTCCGGCATCGACACGGCCATCATGAACATGGGTAACCATCTGCCCAGAGAGTCCTTACTCAAAGCCAAGGAGGTCTTGGTTAAGATAAGGTGAGTCAAGTAGCTGGATTGGAAGAGCAAAAACCATGGCGATTGCGTAGTTACACATCCCACTTTTAGATTTGGTCAAATAAGAGTCGAGAGTTTTTTTTACCGATCCAAAATGAGTTCTGCATCCTGAAGCAGGGTTTGCTTTATTCTAATGAGGTTTTTCTTGTCATTTGCACAGTATCTTTCGGTAGAATATGTGATTTTCTTACACATTATACTGTTGATGCCGTGCGAACAAATTAACACAGTTTTGCATATTTCTCGTTGCGTCGTGGTGGTCACCATCTTTATTGTTTGTGTTTTGTCGGCCTCATCGTTTGTTTAACCCAAAATTACCCGCAAAAAAAGTTGAAACCCTGTCCTTTTATCCACAACACTCCTGCTGGTTTTAAATATCACTACGGCCCCCCCCCCCCCCAAAAGTTGGTCTGTGGTCAGCGCGCATCCATTTTGATCGTGCGCGTACATTTTTATTTTATTTTTTTTCAAAATTGTCCGCGTTAGCTACAAAAGCACCCTTTATTGCTGCACGGCCTCAAATGTTGATGGGCAGCTCGTACCCAGTGACAGATCCAGTACGAGGTTGATGTTGAACGAATGATAGTAGCCCATGGGTACGAAGTTGCTGCCAGCTGATCAACAACAATGGCAGCTATAGTCAACAACACACACGATGACATGCGATGTGAGCAATTGTGATTGCAAATGAAAGCGTGCCTAAATGCACGAAATATGCCACTTATTTCTGTGTCCATTGTTTGTGGAGTGAAAACTATTAGACCGTTTGGTTTTGTGTCATGTGACAGCTGTACAATCCAAGCATGAAAAGAAAAGCAGAACAAAAAATATTTGCATCGCAGCATCAATTCTGGAACTTAAGTCTGACCACGGATCCTCTGCACAAGGATCAACGACTCATCTGAGCTTGTGTACAAAGTGTAGGGAACGGTTTGTCTAGAGGCGTGATAACGGCCTGTGGGTGTTTAGAACATACAATGCGCGCTCGTGAGTGAGACTTGGCATGCGCGCCCAACATGAAACCCAATCACGGGAGACTTGACAGAAATTCAACTGCTAGTTGTGTGCTGACTCTAGTCTCGCACATGCGCATTGTATGTTCTATGGTGCACAGGCCGTTATCACACGTCTTACCAGAAATGTTGGAAGTCGTTTATCCTTGTGTAGAGGATCTGTGGTCTGACTAGAGACCGACTGTTTCTTTTTCTTTCTTTTTTTGCCTAACCGGTGGATTTTATAACCTTAAAGTGGATATTTGTTCTCTTTAAGAAACAGGGCCTATAACTTCACAATGGCCAAAACCATAGGGTCATTGTCGACGGCATCAGTACTTTGAACAGACATCCATCTGTTACTTGTATAGGTATTGATCAGTGTATATAACAGAATTTGAGAAAACACTATTAAAGATGAGGGAATTTTCCTGTGTTTGTGTTATTTTTCCACACATAATGTACACATTGCACAGAATTGCATATGGAATTTGCTCCATACCTATTTATATTAAAGTGGAATTTTAACCACCCCCTTCATTCTGAAATGCAGAGAGGTTTTAGAGCAAGTTGATGAAGATAAGAAAGCTTCCACCCGTGATATGCTGAAGTACCAAGCCAACATGGACAAGGTAAGGAATCCAAGCCCTCAGTAATTGTTTATTGGCTGAAAAAATTGATGCCTTTCATAATACATTCATTCAAAACTTAAAAAAAAAAAACACAAGCCCAGTATTAAGCTTTAGTCCGAGGTACACAAACCTCTATTCAGTTGATTGAAATGGCTGTTACATTTGGCTGTTAATGTGGTAACCAACCTTTTCCCCAGTGCTTAATTATTTCCAACCCCATTTCCAGTAGTAAGCCTGGAGCAAAGTAGAAAACTTTCTTCCTGTATCCTGATTCGATACCGTTATGGATTTATATCGTGTACTTGGTGTTGTTATTCTCAACATGCAGTACATGTTTTTGTGATCATTCGTCCACGCCTTCTCGAAAATACTAATTTCCTTCCCAATTTGTTCATATTAATATGGAAAGTGATACTGCATGATGTCTCGTTAAGATCGTAACAGTTTAATCATGGAGGAAGGAAAGAATTGTGCTTTCGTAACTCGCGCCATGCTCGCGCTGCGACGAATTGACTCTGTTTTTACCCCAGACATCGCATAGAAAAACAAACGCAAATGTAACGCACATGCAGGCACCAGACTATTCCTCATTTGCATACGTGTTCAAAAATCTTGCACATGCAAATGATCCAATACCAGGGTGAGAGAGCAGATAGTGATGGACGTGTACTGCTCGACACCCTGGTTGTGTGGTAACGTGATGGAACTAAAACAAGCTCGATATAATCTCGGAAGCTGTAGACTCCCAACGAATTTGTGTTGCACTTTGCGTGGAATGTGTACAGCCGTTGTCTATGAATGTGATCTCGAGAGCTGCTATGCAGGAGGCATGCGGCTATTGTCCCCCGGATTATTGCTCTCATTGAGCTGCTGCTGCGCAGAACGTTTGTCACTAACTAAGGAACTAACCAACGTATGTACCTACTAACGGAGAGACGTGGTGATTTGTTGAGCTGCTGTCGGCAGCTAAAAACAACCACTTTCACCATTGGCATGGAGACTTGACTTATAGCCTACATATGTATCATGAAAGTAAGCGGCACCCTACTATAAATGCACGTGTGGTGTAGGTGCAACATAACATACATTAATAGCTGAGCCTCGTAAATTTGTTGTTAATCCATGAAATATGCTTACTGTAAGCACGGAAACTTTTGCTACAGTAAGCATGGATTTTTTGCTATTTTATGTAAGCATAGCCATGAGATCGGGCCCTGTTTGTTCTACACTGACGTAGCATTCAGAGATCACCATGCATAATTCCATTCCATCTGATTTCAATATTTTTTGTACGAGCTCGCACAAATTGCTGGGGACACGTCTGATAGAATTGTACACAAGGGTTCAGGAAGTTGAAACAGTGCTATAAAAGTTTAATAGGTGTACCAGGGGTTGGCAGGCTCAGTTCCAGCTCCAGTTAAATTCAATTTGTGCCTCATTTTATTTTTTTCAGTTGAAAGGAAGATATTTTTGTTTGTGTCCCTGTAGGTCTGGGATTTGAGCAGCGAGTACTACCAATTGATTCCGTGCGTCAACTTCACATACGATAGAATCCCACCATTGACTGAACTGCGCACCTTGGAGCAAAACGCTAAGAAGCTGGAGATACTACTGGACCTTGCCACCACCAACCTCATCTTGCTGGGGGCTCAGTATCGGGTCAAAGGTCAGTGGTTCTCTGCCCCCTTATCCTGCCCATAATGCTTTGCGCAGCAGTGTATTTTGGCCACCACCATGCATTTTAGTTTTTCTCAGACTTGTGTTTTCTGAAAAAGAAGTGGTTTATAGCTGAGAAAATAGAAAGAAATGACCGTTTTTTTGCAAGCAAAATTCAGGGAATAATCTGTCGATACTTGTATCTTGTTGGAAACTTCCAAAATCATTCCAAGAAAGTTGCCGCTGTGAATCAGAGTTTATGAAGGAGGAAAATGGGATTTGCTATCAGCATCAACAGGGCCGTTCGTCATTCTTTACCTTTTATGGGATGTGAATCAAATTGGAGGACGAGAGGCTCTGCGAGCTGATGTATATTTTTAGTAAAACACTTGTTTGAAACCAGCTTGTAGGTTTACAAAAGATTTCTGTTTATGTAAGACTTAATCCAAGTATTCGTACTCGGACTTGTACTAGGTCACCTATAAGTAATCGGTACAAGTTTGGAAATATGTACTCGACTACAACACTCTTATTAGCAGATGATGAGTGCATGCTTGATGAAGTGTAAACGTGTCCATTAGCCACAGTTTCAAACTGATGAGACCTTGAAGATTTCCACAGTGATGATCAATATCACCGCTATGTAATGAAAAGCATTATTAGTTTCCTATAAAAAACCTGCATATTTATTGCATGTGTAAAATTAGTGTCCAGGCCTGGAACCATCTGTTCGTTATTGAACCTTGCAAATTAATGTGTTGACCCTTTCAGTCTGTCAATCAAAATGGGCATTGACCAATTAGATCGGAACTTGTGGTCAGGTAACTTTAAATAAGCACAGTTGCAATAGGCGTTGTGGTCACATGCCTTGTAAGAAATGTACACATGTACAAAAACCATCACGGGTTTGATGGGGGAAAAGGAGGATATGTCTACATTTCTTAAAGTTGGTATATACCTGCTTTTTGGGTGTGGCTCCCCGCAAAATAGATTTCAAATTGAATTAATCATTTTCTAGCATTACATTATATCGCACGAAAAAAATCGGCCGACGATAAGTAACCAATTAATTTATTTCAACTTTTGAATTGGGAGCATGCTGCTCCTTATTCAAATCTGAGGCCAGCGGGACCTATATATACACATGCACTCTAATTGCGACAGTGCATGCATACTGAAATTTGTATTCTTGTGGAAACATTTCTTTGTTCTCGTGTAGTAACGTTTTCGAGTTTGAAAGTGAAGTTTGAAAATGCTGTTATTTTTACCAGAATTAATTTCCTTGGCTGAAATTTGGACTTAATATCTCTTTTCAAAAACTCTTCCATTTGCGACGGATCAACCCACCTTGGAAATTCCTAGTTTTTGAGTAAAATCCATATATCTATTTCGTGAAAATCTTGTAGAGACGTATTAGAAATTGCCCTGTGGAGACATATACAATCTTTTGTTCCCTATTGTGTGCACGTCTCCAGAGGGCACGGTGTATCAGATCAGTTTATGAATAGTAATAAACACCACATATTCAAGTAACGTACTGTATGTGTATGTGTGAGCTGTGTGTAGACCAGTTGCATGGGTACGTGCACGTATGTATTGCCCGTTAGTGCCACCACGTAAAACTAGACGAGGAAAACTACGGCTTTTGCAATCCTCTGAGAGGAAAAGATGCAAAAGATAAGTAAGTGATGTGTGCATGTCAAAATATCTAGCTGTACCTAATGGATCTTTTTTGTGTGTAGAATATCAATGATGTCAGTACTGATTGGATTGACCCAACTGTAAATGAAATGTGTATGAAGTGGTTGAGATGAGTGCACAAGTTTGTGAGGGCTTTTTTTTTTTTGGAAGCAAGGCTCTATGCTTCACACACAAAGTTCTCCTGATATAGTACAGTAATTTGGGAAATCGGTATGCACTGCATATCTCATTGTGCTACGTACCTTAAAATGTACAAGTAGTGGAGTGCCGTGGCCTCGTGGTCTGGAGCGTTGAATTCGTGGTGTGCGGGTTACTCTGCAGGTTGTGGGTTCGAGTCCAGCCTGTGGCTATGGTGCATGTTTTCTTAGGCAAGGCACTTTGTCACTCATTGTTTCTCCCCACCCAGGAGTAAATGGGTGCCTGTGAGGGCAGGGATGGTAATTGTGATTGATTTCAGCTGCTTTGCGCCGAAATGTCAGCATGGAGCTGTATACTCCCCAGGGAACTGAGATTGTATTTGAAATGTTTCATTGGCCCAATGAGCAGGGCAATAATGATGTAGCACCTTGAGCACCAATAATGGTGGATACCTGCGCTTTATAAATACCCTTTATATTATTACTATTATTAAAACAGCATATCTCAAGTGCAACAATGAACATATTAAAAAGCATTTTGAAAATTCTTTTCAAAAGAATCCATTCATTCTCTCCTGTCTGATAGTTTTACTTTTTTCAAGCTGTAACTTGTTGTGTAATTACTTCTTTCGTTGCAGAAACCAACCCTCTGGATTACATCTCCAGTTGCCTGGGCTGTCAGATTCAAATCATGGATGAAAATGACCAGGAAACACAGCTCATTCTTCAGTACATCGATAACACAAGTGAGTGAAGAGCCCGCAGGCAGTTGAGGCATATTTTTTCCTGTAACACAAAATAGTCATATACATGTAAAGCTGATGCCTCATTAACAGAACATCATCTGATTGAAGTGATATTACCTTGGTATTACCTTGCCCACCTTCGAAAAATGATAAATCGAGAATATGCTGGAAAAATACAGGGATTTCTGGGGGAAAACGTGCTTTGCCCCCCTCTAGAAGACTCCTGGCGACGCCCATATGTGCAGAAGTATCCTTTCAGTGGTGGATACACAAGAGAAAGATTGAAGAGCACTACTCGAGCACCATCTTGTTCACCATTGGCTGGCACTCATCATTCATTGGGTAAAATTTAGCCCTATGGGTTTGTGCACACTCAAATGAAAATTGGTTGTGCATACTCTGTGCCTTACATTCACAGCCAGTGTACATGTATATGTGCAAGCACTGTGTTCTTCACACACTGGCTCTCGTGATAGGCCACATATGCATGCTGGGTGCAGGCATAAATACCCCACTTCAAACTTCAGAAACAAAAATACTTGAAACTCTCACAGGTGTTCAAGACATATATCAAATTAAAGCTTGATTTACCCATTTCACTGTCTGTTCAATTTTGGGGGGTTTATAACCAATGACTTATGGGTAGTCCCCCCCCCCCCCCTCCCACCCCCCAAAAAAGATGATCGCCCTGAAAAGCAGTCCTGATGAAGCCCATCACCAATTTGAAAAATTATCCCTTTACTACATTGCAAAATAGGGCGAACAAAGTTTTGCGTCCAATTTCGTCTTAGATTTCACAGAAATAGCAACTCGAAGACCACTTTAGTAGCTAGAGCTGGGACCTTTCAATTCTTCCAACCCTCAAGTAAGGGTGTCACAAAACTGTCAATTACAAGAAAAAATTGCAAGTACATCGTCATTTGGTTGGTGTAGGCTGTTGTGGGCTTATTTAATAGTGGTCTGCACCCATCTTCTGTTTTTTTTTATGGAGTCCACGACATTTGTGAGGCGTTCTGGCAAAATGAGACAGAAGTTGGCTCAGCGGAGAAAAATGCAAAACCAAATGGGGGTGAATTTTTTTTTTCCAGATTTATTGATGCTTGTAATCTGTTATATGTCTATGTCACATATTTCAAAGAAATAGTATAAAAATAGTGGAATAAAAGGGTTTTTTAAGGAAAAGGAAAAACAAGTGGCATCATTGATTTTCACAAATACAAAACTCGATACTTTAAAGGCCAGTACTTTTCTTTTTTGACAAGTGGATTAATGTGCAATTTGAACAGCCATAACTTGTCAATGGAATGTCTAATAGGAGTGCAGCTAACCGTATTGTAAGGAGAATTTTCTTCTCTTTCCTGATACCCACAAACCCTCATTTCAACCTCTGCCCAGTTGTGTCTCATTTTGCCAGAGAAAGCCTCACATTTTTTCTTTTGTTTGCTAGCTGACAAGGACAAGCACAGTGTGTGTGCCATCTTCCGCCTAGCCAGGGAGGGTGAGGATAAGGAACTGAGATCCCTGAAGCTAGACAACCATCGACTGCTGTGGCACGGCAGCAAGTGCTCCAATGTCATCAGCATCTTGAAGAGAGGCCTTCTCATAACACCACCGGAGGCGGCCGTCACTGGATACCGATACGGAAGGGTAGGCACCAATATGAATTAAAAAGAGCTCTTTGTGGAGTTATGTAGAACGCCATGGTCCAGTGGTTACGGTGTTTGACTCATGTACGAAGGTGTGTGGGTTCGAACCCGGCCAGGAACATGACGTTTGTGCCCTTGGGCAAGACACTTAACTACAATTGCCTCTCTCCACCCAGGAGTATAAATGGGTACCCGTGAGGGTCGAGGACCGATTGAGCGCTGATATCGACTGCCGCGTGGTCCCATGGCCTGATAAACAGGGTAATAATTGTAAAGCGCTTTGAGATCGTTGATACGATGAAAAGCGCTATATAAGCACAATTATTATTAATTATTATTATTATACCGTAGCACTTGCCTTAGCCCTTGCTTAATATACGAAATGGAATCACACTTTATTTACATGCGAGCTTTCTTATTGGAACTTGTTGGGACGAGAGGACAAAGTCGCCACCTGGCTAGCGTACAAATTTAAACAAACAATATCATTTCTCAATCTCCACTTCCTAACTTGCAAGACCACCCATACCACATGCATGGTTGGGGTTTTTTTTTGCACGTGCCTATTTTGTGGCTCTTTTCCAAAAGAATCATATTAATAAGAGGAATAATATAACCGAAATATATACCATTAAGGAAACATTTCCATAGACGTGTGCACAATTTTTTCCCCCAACTTTAAGGACCCCTAACTTCCATTTTACCTTGTCCTACCCCCACAAATTTTGGTATTTATACTAATTCGACCGTAAGCAATCGATCTAGCCTATTTTTCGATGGTAATATACCGTTTTCAATGGCTGTACCGTATTGTATTCGCAAAGTGACCTGCTGAACATATTTATTTGCACCGTAAGTCATTGCAAATATTTTTTGCAAAGTGTTGCTTTTATTTTTGGAACTTGAGTCTTATTAGCCTTAGCTCAAGTCAAGTCAAGTCTTCTGGTGAGGGAGTCAAGTCAAGTCGAGTCATTTGCTCGCAGTGACTCGAGTCGAGTCATTTACCCATAGGGACTCGAGTCGAGTCGAGCCACCAAAAATTGTGACTCGAGTCGAGTCATTGACTCGAGTCATTACAACTCTGCAACACTGAAATGTCTCCCTAATTCCACATGTCTCCCAAGGGTAAACTTCCCATGCTAATTTGTATAATTTACAATAGTAATGCGAACAAGAAGCTCTAATTGTCATGAATTCCTTGCATTCACAGGGCATCTACACTTCTGATGCATTTGCAAAGAGTATTGACTACAGCATAGAGTCTTTCGGCAGAAAGAACGCAAACTTTGTGTTCTTATGTGAGGTAAGGTTTAAAGTTCCTCAACAGGACATTTCCTCCGGCATGACAATGTAGGGAATGTAGTAATGAGAGCTCCTCATGAGCCTGTAAGAAACACCTGTACTTACTTGGATGGGAGTTGCACACGAAACTCTCTTCTTACTCAAACTGTAGAGTACCGAAGTGAATACAACACGTGCACAATTATGTGTGTAAAAGACATTAGCGCGTGATTCAGCCCGTGAACCAACACGTGTGCGTGCTCCATTCGTTTGCACTACACTTCCCGGTTCAAAATGATGTACTCTATAATACAGATGTCTTACCACTTGGATCAGTTGGCCAATTCAATTCATATATGGACTTCATTCGTGCACAAGTACATCCTCAACAATTTTCAAGAGAGTAAGGCGGGACTCTTGAATGCATTGCCGCCATATGCCTGGCACGCATGCAAAGATGATATGGTTTTATGCACTTTCTGACATTAACTAGAGTTACATACATATTGCACTTACGAGTTCACAGTGAAGTTAATATAGCGAGCCATACCCACGTCAGATATGGGGAAGGATTAGGAGGAAAGGTCCTCTAGTTAAAGCGGACGAGCATTCAATCAAAATATACAATAAAATAACAACTATGATGACGACTATGATCTCCTGAACTTATAAATTTACTAGTGATATGGCACAATGATGATATAATCAACACATGATTGGCTGCATGTACGTATGCTACAATGCATTATCTTCAAGTAAACTTGAATCCTTGATCCTGATTGGTCAATCCATGGCAACAACAGTGTGATATGAGGCTGTATTGCATGGTCCATATCGCACCCTGCCTATTAATGCGCTATTCCAAGATGCGAGCGACATTCCAGCTGCATGCGCTATAAACCGCTAAAAGGTTCGTGTAAAGCGATGGTCCAACTTTACTGCGCATCAAGTTTGCTTGAAGATAAATTCGTTATCACGCTCGCGCTCATGGAACACGGAAAATGTAGTGCGTCTGTGTCCCACATACCACTCGGCTGGACACAGACGCACTACATTATTCCGTGTTCCACTCGCGCTCGCAGGATAACTTATAATATTGAATCACCCGGTCCCGAAAATATCACAATCCCTCTCACAAAAAAATCACACGAGCTCACTGGGAGTTTTCTATGATGGTTACCCTCCCACAGGATGGCTGGAGCCATGCTCCCTACAAATTCCAGAGAAAATTTCTCTTGGTCTTATCTGCTTGAAAACCCACAGGGGAAGACTTGAGACAACTTGCCTTTAGGCGGGAAGTACAAAGGTCACATTTTGCAAATCAAAGTGTGTAATGAAAAAATGCAAATCACTTGCAAAACTTTTAGGCGCACAGAAACTGAGAGCGCACTTGGTCTCCTTTAACAAGGGTTTTTGTCAAGCTTTCCTGTGCAAGTCTTTCATCACCCAATTATGTTTGAGTGTAGGCAGGTACCAAGTGTACAGGGTGTTTCAATAAAAAGGAAACCCAACTTTGAAGAACCAGTATGGACAGACTAAATGCTTACTGGCTATGAAACTGGTATCATCTGAAAGCGTAATCTCTATGCTTTTCAATGATACCTTGTTGACATTTCCAGGGTCATGCATCACTGAGCGCCACTGTCATGAGATTTTGATGCAAAATTGAAGTTGGTTCACTTTCATGTCAAACTCAATGGGCATGGTGTGCATGATAATAAGTATTCAAGAAGACATGAGTGCATAAAAAGAAACCACAAAACAAGTCGGGTTGGTTTCAAAACTGGATTTTATTGTTTGCCATGAATTACTCGTTTTGACCAAGCCACGTTCAAAACAATGTGCCAATTTTCCCGAGGATTAACATTCAAGCCATTTCACAGACATTTCCGTAACAATAGGCACACCGTGACCAGTGGTTTTTTTTATGAAAATGAACCAACTGCATTTTTGCATCCAGTGATGCATGACTCAGAAAACCTAAACAAGGTATCATTGAAAAGCATAGAGATGACGCTTTCAGATGATACCAGTTTTATAGCCAGTAAACATATCGTCTGTCCATACTTATTCTTTGAAGTTGAGTTTCCTTCTTTTTTTTGAAACACCCTGTACATTTGGCTCAGATGAGGGTGGGAGATCAAATTTGGGAGTGAGTTTATTTGCCAGATGATAGAATATACACTTAAATTTTCTTTTCAAATTTTGGAAGAAGCTGTATTTCACATCAGCCCAAACGTTTGCACCCATCCAGGTGGCTCTGGGGAAAATGGCGGTGGATCACAGTGACCCCGACTCAGTCGTGAAGGATGGCTTTGACAGCCTGCAAGCGCAGAACTACACTAAGATCCTACTTCCAAGTAGAAACATCTATCTGCCCTCAGGTAGGCCAGTAGGTGGCTTCAGCTGTGTTCTGGGGGGAGGGTATGTGCTAGAGCACAGTTGAGGATGAGCTTGCAGCACTTGGAGTAATGAGAGTCAACTGAAAACATTCTGAAAGATTCTTGTACCATTTTTCCCTTTGCTGAAATGAACTGTCAGTTTTCAAACAGTGCACTGTATTAATATAACCCTTTAGTCACTGTAGCGTCCGAAACCGCCCTGCCACTGTTGCGCCCAAAAGCACCCGAGCACTGTATAATGTTATTGATTTTTCGTGAGTAAATACAATGTAATACAATGAAGTGCCGGTGATAATGGGTTAATTTCCAATTAAATATGTTGTACCTAGGAATATGTTTCTTGTGTGCCTAGCTGTCTTCCTTGGACTGCTGGTTAGAAAAGTTTGCCCTCACCCCAAGACAGCAAAATGTTCAGTTCTTCCGCTAATGGGCTTATAGGATTAAACGCATACATGCAGTTTCTCACTGATATTGCAGTGCAGATGCACATAATTGGCTGTTTCGGCCCTTTTGCCGAAACAGCCTTTGTTTTCGTTAAGATTTTTTTTTTTTACTTTATTTTTTTTCTTTTTCAGTCATTTTGCCCATAGCATTTGTGCATGTTTTTTTGTCCCCGGCGCTTTGGGCACTTAAATCAATCCGATTGCATTTATACTTGGCACACACTTGGACCAGCACCTGAAGTTGTGTGCCGAACATTGACGTCATCGTGACGTCATCATGAGTCACGTGACGTGACATTATATGCGATTTTTCTGTTGTGACCATTTTCTAGCAGAATTCGGCTAGATCTGACAGATTGGGCTATATCTCCAGAATTACAGGTCCGATTGGGTTGAAAGTTGGTATGTACCTAGACTGGGATGTCTTATAGATGAAAAATTAACTTGACGTCATGATGACGTCATCACGTGACATATGACATCATATAAAATAAACATATTTTGAAGGCCCATATCTTCTGAACTACAGGTCCGATGGGGTTGAAAGTTGGCATGTGCCTAGACCAGGATGTGTTATAGTTGAAAATTGAAGTGACGTCACGATGACGTCATCATGGGTCACGTGACGTCACGTTAAAGATTAATAGATCTTTGAAAATCAATATAAAATCAACTGTGAGAGACCTGAACTTAACGTTTGCGGGAATCGATAGAATAATCCAGGGTCTTAATTTTTTTTATATTATGTGCAAATCATGTGACCCTTCCTTCCGGTTGAAACCGGAAGTGCCTTGTAATTTGAAATTTAGGAAAGATGTGAACTTGCTTTCAACGATATATGCTATGGCTAAGTTGTTATTTACAAACAAAAATATAGTTATAGATGAAATTGATGTGACGTCGTCATGAGGTCATCACATCACATGTAACATCAAAATTCAAAGCCCTATGGGAATGTAATCATATATTATACCCACCAGTTATTATCAACAGAACTACACATCCTTCCTGGATTGAACTTATACTTGAAACTTTACATGTCACATGTCCCCAAAAAAATACCGAAACAGCCCTGTGTTTGTCCACAAACATAAGTCTAGTTTGTCTATGTAGTTGTACCGGTAGTTCCAGAAAGCTGATTTAATCAGGTTGGACGTCTTGTTAATCCATTATGAAAAAGCTATCACTCTCTCAATGCATTCTGGATCTGCCACTGGTAACCGTGACACTGGGTCAAGTTTTTACTATTTTTATCTCCGTTAGGTGTCACCATTCCCTTGGCCAGACTCCAAGATAGCAGTTCTTACCGTAGGTATTTTGACTACACCGAGTACGTGGTGCACAGGGAAAGCCAGGTGTGTCTGCGATATCTTGTACAATGTCATCCGGATGAAAGTGAGGATGACGACGACATTGATGGTGAAGATTATTATGGCTATGACGATGATGGGGATGATGATGATGACGATGATGACGGTGATGATTAGGCACATCATAAGCGCATTGTACTTGTACATGCGGTTGGCCCTCGCTGACCATTATCAGAATTTCCCGAAAGCAAAGAGCGACATAAGGCACCAAAAAGTGTTATTATAAATTGAATTAGCACGATCAATTTTAAACTGTGACAAGCAGATTGTCAAATTCTCTTAACTAACTTAGAATGCAAATGTATGATGTCTTATGGTAATTTTTAGCCTCTGCTTTAGTAAAAAAAATTCAACATTCCATCATGACAGTGTGCTACTCTCGACCCCTAAACTGGGGAGTGAACCAGAAACATGTTTGAGCTGAAGTTAGTGATTGAGCTTTTTCACAACTTTCGGTCGTGCCTGTATAACGTCATTGTTCCAACCAAACGCGAACCAAAGATTTGGTTTTGTGCAACATTGGTTCGATATGGCTTAAAGGGAAGCAGACGATATATTGACGTCTGGAACCAACATCTTTTGTTGTAAACATAGTGACTGGATACACAGAGGAATAATTACGTGCTCTTTTCAAGAATATGTTAAGTACCGATATGGACAGAAGTAGTTAGTGGCGGGTAAATAGTTGCTCGTATCTGAGTCTATGGAAGTCCACCAATTATGCGGTGTCTAACAAATGTCAAATATTACAATAACAACCATTTTAAAAGTGTTGGCAAAATGTAAGCGTGATGTACATGTTTACATGCGCTTCTTACAAAAAATGATGGAAAGTAAATTTACTGGGAGATAAATGAAAATTGTGGACAAGCTTCTTGTTCTGACAGTGTCTTCTCACACCAGGTTATCACTTTAAAGTCACAAACATGTTTCTGGGCGGGGTCCCAAAAACATGCCTTTGGAAATTGGAATGTAAAAATTGGGAAAATTTGGGAGTGGAATTTCCAGTTCATATATCGAATGATGATTCAATGTACAGGGACAAGGGGCAAGGGAGATCAACAAAGAACTTGGGCAAAAAAAAAATCTTCAAAATGTTTATGAATTTGATCTAGTTTTGAAATGAAATGAACTTAGGCCCAAAAAAAAGTCTCCGGTTTCTGGTATGGAGCTTGCAAAAAAGTGGTGCGGCGACGCGGCTTTTTTGTTTTTTTTTTTTTTTTACCTGATTTTTTTGCTTCAAATGTCGGCTGATGACTGCAAATGGTGCCCGACTAAACTTAGTGCAAATATATGGGAGTCCAGAGAGGCCACATAAACCTTATTCTCGACCATAACCCAATCTAAAAACACGTTGAAATTGTGCAGCTGCAGGATTCCAGTCAAACCAGTGAGTTTGGCGGTTTTGAGACATCATCTTTCATTGAAAAAAAAACTTTTTCATTTTGCCGACGCGCATGGCTACGGCGACGCGCGCGCATACCAGAAACCGGAGACTTTTTTTTTTGGCCTTACGTGTATGATGTTGATATCTCATACTTATTCATGAGCGAAACCCACTTCTTTTATATGGCAATGTTCCATGTCACAGGAAGTTAAAGCTCTAGACTTCCAACTATGCAACAGTAATTAGAGATACTATACTAAACAAAAAATCAATGGCAAACAAAATTACTCTGATCGGTGTGTAATTATTTACACATTCCAGGAAAATCTGACCTACAATTTTGTAAGAAATGTCAAAATTGTGTTGAGTTGGTAGTCACTTGATCACAAGGCTAAACATGTAAGGGGTGTTATAAACAAAACATGGTTTATTTTATTTTGCATGTTTTGGGGGGAAAAAATAAATAAAATACCCTCAAATCATGTTTCATGAATTTTACTAGAGACTGCCCAATCACATGTTGAACTAAGCATTTCAATCAGGAATTTAAAACAAAATTCCACACTGTGGTTTTAAATCTGTCTTTTTGACAATTGTTGATGGTGTGCCTTAATGGAAATAATGAACGAGAAATTAATGTATTTTAGTGAATATTTTCAATGTGAGAGGCGTGTTCACAAAGCAACAAAGTACTATTGGAATAATCTGAAATAGATTTATTACTGAAATAATTAAGCAGCATAAATATTTTGTCTATGGAATAGATGAGAATTATATTTAGGATAAACTTTTATCTAGTCAGCTCAGTTAAAAAAGTGAATTTTAATAATCAATAGAATTTTTTATCAGAGCAAAGTCTCATTTAAAACACATTTAGTTACATAAATAAATATTTAGAAATGATAATGTATTTTTTTCAAAAAAGATTTATGAAGATGATAATGCAGTGTTTTGGGACCATATAAAGATTATGTGTAATGCAGATACAATTTTAAAAGATTATTAATATGGTAATTTGAAAGTTCAATTTTAATTAGTTTAAGGAAGCAAAATATGCCATTTCTGTATATCTGAATGGGTTTTTTTTTTTTAGATAGTTTTGGGTTTTTTTAATTTGGAAATAGCTTATTGAGATATCTAATTACACTTGATGAAAAAACTAATGCAATTTGTTGCACCACTATTACCTCATTAAAATGTAGACAAAAAAATATTAAGGGGGCTTTCTTTTTTGGTTGAGTGTATATAGAATTTCTTTCATTCATTTCATAGACATGGATTTGTCATTTAGTTTCACCAGAACATTTGAAAGGGTGATTCACACTAAACTTTTGCTTTCTTTTTCATTCTATGTGTGGTCGGTAGATTTAGCACAATTTAAATCTTAAAAGTACAATAGAGATTGCAAACCATATAGACAACCAAAGACTGCAGACTGCATATTAATAATGATGGATATTTCCTTGTCAAGTTGTCGTTAATGGTCGAATCTGATTTTTTTTTTCATTATTTCAGCAAGTTTAATTGCTATGAATTTGAAACATTGTTGTAGTAAACCAAATGCTGGTATAAGGGGTTATTCAATTTCAAGCAAAATTCAACAATTCTGCCTTAAAGATTGCTGCTAATTTCACAAATTTGGCTTGCAAAAACCGATGGTGGATAACATGTCCCATTGGTTTTTGACATGATTGTCAAAGAGCATCACATTGACATCCAGTTTTCAGGAATATCAACCTAAAGTTAAGTAAAAACCAGCAGTTTAATCGGTCAACATTAAGACATGTCAGCAATTCATCTTGCCGAGTCTGTCGTTTCAAATTCATAGAATTATAAAGTAAATCAATATTAGTGTTTGCCCTTTTCACCGACGTATAAACACAGTACAGTGTATACTCAGTGTGTTTACCTCCCAAGTGAATGTTGGAAAAATCACTCGGGTGGGACTCGAACCCACGACCTCCTGCTTTCTAGTGCAGACATCTTACCACTCAACCACCGAGCTTGCGGGATCGGTTGGCTGGTTCGAATCTGAGCCAACCGATCCCGCAAACTCGGTGGTTGAGTGGTTATGTTAAGATATCTGCACTAGAAGGCAGGAGGTCGTGGGTTCGAGTCCCACCTGAGTGATTTTTTTCCAACTTTCAATGGGGAGGTAACACACTGAGCATACAGTGTTTATATGTCGGTGAAGGACAAAACCTAATATTGATTTACATCACCCCAACACAAATTCCATTTTAGGAATAAATATAAAGTAGTTCCTGAAAATGGACTTTATCTTTCTGATGCTAGAGTTTACATTTAGTGGAATAAACTTAAGAGGTACTTAAAGAAACCTGTGGTCATTTTTTTTTTGCTGAAAAGTTCCCCGAATTTAAGAAATCCAACACTGATGGGATTCTTTGTAAACGAGTTGGGAAAAATTTAGACGTGGGCTCCATGTGAAGAAATAAATAATAAAGGTAGGCACGTGATCACTGCAAACTCACAAGGCCCACTTCAATGGCGAAACCATTGTGCATGCTATTATGACAAAGCAAGTGCCCCGTGACGAATTATCTGAACAATAGCTAGCACAATGCATTGGCCATTGCAAGGGGCCTTCATGACAGAATTCAAATGATAGCATGCTCATATTGGTCTATAAAAAACCAGGCACGAGATCACTGTACACTCATGAGGCCCCCTGCAATGGTAAATGCTTTGTACCAGTTATTGCCCCACGACACATCATCTGAACAATAGCTGTAGCACAATGCTTCGGCCATTGCAGGGGGCCTCAGTGATAAAAGTGACAGAGTGGATTGGTCTGTATAGAACCAAGCCATCCAAAAAATCGGTGCGTTAGATTTTCAAGAATTGGGGGGGGGGGTGTAATGGTTTAAGCAAAACAAGGTCAAAATCACAACTTTGGAGAGTTTTGAATTCTTTTATTTTGGATTCCATCACAGAATAAATGTATCAGTATTATGGTACATATACATATATTAAATATTCATATTTACATTTGGATATTCCAAAAAGTCATGTAACCAGTCCATTTAAGCACGACTGTTTTGGAGGACAATTACTTTTTACAGGTTCTGTAGATCACTTTCATCCCTCATACCATACGTTTTCATGGTTGGCACTAACTTTCACCTTCAACTTCATGTATCTGGTAAGTTACTGGCTGGTCTAAAGCCAGTCATTTCTCACATCAACAGAAAATGGACAGAAGCAATGCTTTCTCATGAAAAGAGCATCCAAATTTTTATGCAAAACCTATGGCATGAACTAAAAATATACACATAACACAGGAAATTATATTGAAACTGCACAAAGTATACAATTATTAATGGTTTGCTTATGGATTACATAGAACAAAACTGAATTTTGTTCAGCCACGACACATGATGAGCACCATTAAAAATGAAAGGGAAAAAACAAAAAAGTTTTGGTGCTTTTTCAATAGTGGAAATGCAAATATGAATATCTGTAATGGAAATGGGATAACTGTAGCTGCTATTTGCAGTGGTAGAGAGGCATGCATTGGTTAACATGCTGTGATTTAAAGACCCTGCACCAACTCCGTTCCAAAAAATGGATTCAAATCTTGACACAGAAAAAGCTCAAGTCATCAAATCAAGTCGACAGTGATAATCTATTACTAATGGGGTTCTAAGAAGTTAAATATTTTCCTGGATATTTGATCCGAGGTTTAATTATTTTTTTGTATTATGTACAAAATTCAAAAGAGTAAACTAATAACTGCATGTTAATACAGAAGACTTCTTAGCTTTTGATTCGAGTAACGGAAGGTTTTCTGCTGAGATACAACAAAAGCAAAGCTCAACCCCAAAATATAAACGTCTCAATCCCCACAAAAATTAAGATATTTTCCAAACTAAATAAAAGGGAGGGAAGCGTCATTGTATGCTGCTATTCTTTTTTCACACCATATCGGAAATTCAGGCCACAATCCCCAATACAAAATCACAATGAATCAAAATATCTATCACCTTGAATAAAATCTAACCTCTGTACCTTTGGTGTACAACAAAAATTGTTGTCTTGCAACTTGTCATGTTCAAATTTACATCATGGAAACAAAACAAGAACTCTTTTCTTTCACACTACCCTCGTGCCCCAGTTAAAATATTTCTGTTATACTTGAATAATAATATCTGGTAAACTACATGTAGGTGAATTTCGTTAGATATGCATGTTCAGAAATTGAAAGTTTACCAGAAAGAACGCCAGTCATGAAACGCACATACTGACGATATGTAAATAGCACGGTACAATCATTTTGATAATTCATAATGCAGTCATTGTCACTGCCTTTACAGTGGTTCATGAGGCACAATGCACTAAATTGTTGCTGAAACACTTCAATTGAAATTTATGTTGACGTATATGCCATGCCAACATAATTCAAGAACCGCTCGGTGTGGGAGTGTTCTGGAGACCCACTGTAGACAAGAAACACAGTAAAGGAAGCCACTTACATGTATCTACCGTCACGTTAGCAGTTTTGCCAATGGTTGTGATTTTTTGTTAAATACCTGAAACCGCCAAAGAAGAATTTCAACACATGAATGGTCATGCAGCCTTTCGCTAAAGATAATTTGAGTTGATTATTTAAATTGCTTTTTGACATTATCCTCAAATTTCCATCAAAAAGTGGACGGAAAACTTCGGTAACTTTTCCCGTCCATTTTTGATGGAAATTTGAGGGTAAAAAAGAAAGAAAGAAATGATTCAACACATATTACATGTATTATAAGCCTACATGTCCATTCACATTTCTAAAACTTTTGGGTGGTTTCAGGTACTGTAAAAACAAGTCAGGTGTTTTTACAAACACAAATGCCCCGCAACCGTGACTGTTTTCATGACATAACACCACTCTAACATCAACTTACATGTACCTTGGTCAAATGGAACGTTCATTGACAGCATTAGTGTCTTCTGTAGGTTTTATATGAATTAATCCCTAATCCCTATGATCTCAGAATAAATACCAGATTTCTATTGTTTTAGCCACTGTGACCTTGACCCTTGACCTTTCGACCCCCAATGCGACAGGCTCCTTAGGATTGCCAAGGACAATCCACAAACCAAATCTGAAGTTCATTTGTAAAGTATATCTCAAGTTATCGCGCTGACAAGATTTCTTTTGTTTTTGCCACTGTGACCTTGACCCTTGACCTTTCGGCCCCAAATGCAATAGGCTTCTTAGGATTACCAAGAACAATACACAAACCAAATTTGAAGTTCATATGTGAAGTATTTCTCAAGTTATCGCGCTGACAAAATTTCTTTTGTTTTAGTCACTGTGACCTTGACCCTTGACCTTTTGGCCCCAAATGCAAAAGGCTTCTTGGAATTGCCAAGGACAATCCACAAACCAAATTTGAAGTTCATATGTAAAGTATTTCTCAAGTTATCGCGCTGACAAAATTTCTATTGTTTCAGCCACTGTGACCTTGACCCTTAACCTTTCGGCCCCAAATGCAAAAGGCTTCTTAGGATTACCAAGGACAATCCACAAACCAAATTTGAAGTTCATATGTTAAGTATTTCTCAAGTTATCGCGCTGACAAAATTTCTATTGTTTCAGCCACTGTGACCTTGACCCTCGACCTTTCGGCCCCAAATGCAAAAGGCTTCTTAGGATTACCAAGGACAATCCACAAACCAAATTTGAAGTTCATATGTTAAGTATTTCTCAAGTTATCGCGCTGACAAAATTTCTATTGTTTCAGCCACTGTGACCTTGACCCTTGACCTTTCGGCCCCAAATGCAAAAGGCTTCTTAGGATTACCAAGGACAATCCACACACCAAATTTGAAATTCATATGTTAAGTTATCGCGCTGACAAGATTTGTCCGGACACACACACCCACCCACCCACCCACCCACCCACACTTGTTTCACATGACTAGTGTGGACTTTCCATTGCTTTCGTGTAGTTAAGAAAAACCAGTGAAAAAACTCATTTTTCTCAAACTGTGAAAACTCTTTCAACCCAATTTTTTTTCTATGATTCCCTTTAGTGTTTCTCTTCATTCTGCTACAAATAAACCTAACCCAAAAATGCCTCTAAACCTGTTTTCCAGAAATGGGGAAACACTGTGTGGACGTGGGGCAAGTCCACACAACGTTGGTGCTACCTACATTATGTGGACGTCTTTTGTTCGGAAGTCCACACTGCGTATGTAAGACAAGCTCATACTTGTTTCACATGACTAGTGTGGACTTTCCATTGCTTTCGTGTAGTTAAGAAAAACCAGTGAAAAAACTCATTTTTCTCAAACTGTGAAAACTCTTTCAACCCAATTTTTTTTCTATGATTCCCTTTAGTGTTTCTCTTCATTCTGCTACGGATAAACCTAACCCAAAAATGCCTCTAAACCTGTTTTCCAGAAATGGGGAAACACTGTGTGGACGTGGGCAAGTCCACACAACGTCGGTGCTACCTACATTATGTGGACGTCTTTTGTTCGGAAGTCCACACTGCGTATGTAAGACAAGCTCACCCACCCACCCCCACACACACCCACACACCCACCCACCCACGGAAGGACAAGGCGGAAACAGTATGCCCCTTCGGCTTCGCCGCGGGGCATAAAAAATTACAACCATTTGAAAAACTGCTGGATGGATGAAAATTAAAGTGGCTCTTCTATTGTGTTTCTTGTCTGTGTGATTTCACAATGGCAATATGTCAAGTCTATATTTTTAGAATTGGTTGTGTCGACCAATATCTTATTCTTTAACTCTTTCGCTACGGCGAGCCGCTGACAGTGGCACACAAAAATTATACATGTCGTACGGCAAGCCGCTGGCAGCGGCTCGGTGACGTCGCTGTGAATAAACAGGGGTATCCCCATGATGTGTGCCTTATCTACATAATTTATATCGCATAACCTCTGACCCTAGTTTGAGCCGCTGCCAGCGGCTCTCCGTCTCGCCGGAATCTGCTGCACGTTATTGTGAGCAGTTTGTTTACAGAGAGACATTTCAAGATGGCGGCGTCCACATCGACACATGGCGGAATTTCCAGCGGTTCATTACGTCCAAACGTGGAAAAATCGGTAAATTAAATTCCGTAGCGAAAGAGTTAATACGTAATGGAGGTTAGAGTTTAATCTGTGCCTTCATTTAAAAAAGGCCTGTTCGTACTGAAAAGCATATGATGTCACAAAACATTTGCAGCAATATTTGCTGGAGTTTATGTTTAATTGTTGCGAATTCCTATTACATGTGCTTGCTGCTGCACTGACAATGAACTGCCCTCAAACATTCAAATTTGTTGTTGAGTCCGTTTTTGTCAAAATAATTTACTCTTCATAATAAACTGTACACCACTGTCAGCTAGTGTAATTTTGTTCGTATCCTGTTTTGCACTGTTTGGATAAGGCACTAAGGAACTGTTCACATTAGGTGAAATCAGATGCGAAAAAATCAAACATGTTTGACTCCATCTGGTCGCCCGGTGTACGGTCAGATCGTTCTGATTTTTCAGCCCACGACACTCTGATCTGTTGACCATTGGCCCGATGATCCGGTAAATTGGTAAACCCAGAAAGGATATTCAGTGGCGGGCTTTACGGTGTTTATTTAAATTCCCTCTGCGGGATTCTCCACATCAAATTGAATGCCAAAAAAATAAACTAAGGAAGGAAAGAATTAAAACTCATGACTAAAATTTCAATAAAAATCAAGTACTACCCTTCAAATCCGGACAAGAGATTTGAATACTCAATTTTTTGGTTTAGAAGTTAAAGGCATGAAGGATCATTTGCTTTTCATGCATTTGGGAATTTCCAACAATAACACCACTCAAAATCCAAAGAAGGATGTTCACAACCTAACTGGCTGAACTTTCAGGTTAGTGGAGCTGACACTTTTTGAGAAAACAGTGAAAAAAACAACATGCGCACTTTTTTGATAATGAAAAATGATATTGTCTAAAAGCACTTTTTATCCCCCAAAACAGTTAATGAGCTGACGTTATAAATCACTCTGATTTTTGTATTTCTTCTAAATGACAGCAAGCCAGGCGGAATAATTTCACGGGGTATTTAGTACCAGTACAAGCTTTTCGATAAAAATTTGGTAGGTAACATTTGGGATAAATGCAAATGATCCTATATGCCTTTAAGATTAAGCCCTGACCCGTCGGCTGTGACAAAAGTAAAATTAAAATTGTTAGGGTTCAAGAAAATTTACACACATGGAAAATTCAGTATCTTCAGTAGCAAACACTGGAAACGATATCTTTAGCACACATACATGTTTCATGCAATAAGCCAGTTTGGTATCTGGATGAAGTAGTCCAGGTCAAAGGTCATTTGGGATAAAATCGCTGACGCAATGTTACGCGGTGTTAAGTGAATTCCCATTCTGCTCGTAATTAACGCGCGAGTGTCGTGCGACCGTCTCCTTACGCGTTCACCCACCTTTGATGAGCATGCGATTATCCTGAACGACCCGTGACCCATGTCATTGTGCGCATGCGCAGTTGATATACCGTACCGGCTTACTGGGTCCCAGTAGTGGTGGATGTATGCATGGATACCGCTCAGGCTCAACACTTCCTTGGTGTCACATCAATTCCTGAATGGGTAACCAAATATCAAACAGTTTGGGAACCAGTGAAAAGTCACTATTGCTATAGGGATGTTTTCCAAACCTTGACTTCACCTTGTGGCTTCGGCTTCCTCACTGGCTAATGGGTTAATTCAATCAATCAATCAATTGTGTTTTAAAGTCCGCTGGCTCTTATTTTAGGACTCGATGTTTATGAAGCAGAACTTGGACCTATGTTGAGCCAGGGTCCCCCCAGTCAGGACCTAAAAATCTCCAGAAGACGAAGGTGGAAATGAAGCCTAGGTTTCAGAAACACTCATGGATGTGTGCTGAGCCTCCAAGTACCCACAAAATGACCAACTGCTATGCAATGCACAGGGTTGAGTCAAGGAGAAACAGTTTGATTCTTGCAGTGTTTACTGGTTATCTGAGCCCGCACTCTCTAGTCGTTGTAACCGACGCCTTCGTATCTCGCTGTGGTCCACCTCTTCGGGAGTATCTTCCTCATATTCTGGAATGAGTTCCCCTTCAGTGGGCGGCGTGAAACCAGCGGCTCCATCCAGACTTGTCAGGTCTGTAGGGGGGAACGCAACAGCAAGTGTAAGAAACAGATTGTAGATTGAAGTCATGGGGCCTATTTCATAGAGCTTCTAGGCAAACAAATTGTGCTAGGCATCAAAAACTAAACACAAATTTTACTGGCTATAAAGCCATCCTGAATATACCGAATGAATTATTGTAATATTCGGTCATCAACTGAACATTAGAATAGTTTTTTTGCCAGTTGGAGTATGCGAAATAAAAAAAAAAAAAACGCACACGACTGTTATTTTTATAGTGAAGCTCAGCACTTTATTGTCAGGTGCCACTTTTTTGTCGTTTTTTTGTCGACAGCGGTTCAAGCCCTTGAAAGTTATAGAATACTTAGTGCAAAACACTCCAGGAGCCCATATTGATCGCCGCATGCAAATAGTAAATGGTGTGCTCTGCATGCAACTTTTGACGGGCCCAGCACACATTGCATATCCGAATAATCGGTCAAACGCAGTTTCAAGTAATCAAATACTAAATTATTTGCAAAAGAACCGCATTGGACTTTTTTTTTTATAAAACTTATGACAGATACGGTATCTCTCTCCATTTTGTCACCGAGAGAGGGAGGGAAAACCAAATGTGAATGCATGGAAGAACAACCACATTAGAATATAACAATCTCGGGATTTTTTTACAAAATTCAGTCCAATGCGAACACGGCTTTAGATGACATGTGAATTAAGGACAGGAAACCACGTTTAATTATTGTAACTTTCAGGCACTATTTAAACCTGCAAACATTTGTCTGACACCATACAACTGAAACCACTGCCAGACCTAGTATGTGAGGAACATCACAACACAGAGCGTGCTCAATATCATCACTTTTGTTTGTCTTTTTACCTGCTGAAGAATCCTTGTCTTTTCTTAGCGTTGGCACCGTGCCAGGGGAAGTTTTAGGGGTGGCCCCTGAATCAGCACTATCAGTGGTGGTTGTGCTATCTGGTACAGAGGCAGCAAGAGTTGTGCTGGTTGCGGGGCCCGAGGTTGCGGGGCCCGAGGCTGCGGGGGATGTGTAGCCATAAAGACTTGTCGCAGGAGGTGGTGGTGGGATTCTGATGAGACATCAGCATGAAGAACAACATGAGAAAAACAATCAAATTTGGTTGAAGATATTTAATTGAAAGTTTATCATTATATACTTTACATCTAATATGTCACATTGACTTGCAATTGAGTTTGCTAGTGCACATCAATAAGCCTCTGTACTAATGACATCACGCCTTGTTTACATGTGTGCTTTCTTATGGGAGCTTGGCAGGGACGACAGTTTCGTAGCCCCATAGAAAAAGCACACAAGTAAACAAAGTGAGACGTCATCAGTTTACAGGCTAATTTTGTAGTACTCGAGTACATCTTTTTGGTACTCACACTTTTACACATACTTTGTAGCCCCATAGAAAAGTACACAAGTAAACAAAGTGAGACGTCATCAGTACACAGGCTAATTTTGTAGTACTCGAGTACATCTTTTTGGTACTCACACTTGTAAACATACTCATGAAAATCTACTCGTACTCGCAAGAACCAAATGACCAAACACTAAAGCATCAAGTGCTTAATGTGATATATTTTAATATACGACAAATTTTCATCTGCATGTGCGAAAACCTCTTTGCATCTTCGTGTGGTCGTAAGACGTATGGCAGCAATGGTATCCGCATTCCTGTTATCATCATTGAGTGGTTACAGGTTCGAAGGTGAACGGGGGATCAAGTTGGCGTAAGCAGTACTTTCCTTGCCCTCCTCCGCTGTGACCTAGGTTCAAATCCCACCTGGGCCAATTGTGGATTGGGTTTTCAGTCTCTGCCTGATTTCGTGGGTTTCCCCAAGAACATCATTCTGAGATTTTTCTCCCACCACTAAAACTGTAATTTCCTTCGACATTTTATACCAAGGGAGCCCACTGGAAATAAGTCAAACGCCTTTTGTGGGTTATTCCGGCCAATTGCCAAATAAAAATATCTAATTAAAGTCTAAACTCTGCACCAACTACTCACCCGAGCTCCCCAACGACACTCATGTACTGTTGTATCTGGACCATGGCGGCATCGAGCAGCGTGTGGATGCTACGCAGGCACTCAATCCTGGCCTCAAGGTGCTGGCGTTCTGTGCCTTCCATGGCACGCAACTCCTCCTCAGTCAAACCAGCAAAGTCTGGCGGTGGCATAGGGGGCGGAGTGGCTGTCGTGAAGATGTAACAAATTGGGGTAAAAAATTCACTCCAAAGGCCTACAATATATTTATGCACATGACACTGGCCCTAACCCTCCAAAGTTCTTCAAAGTCTGCCAGGAGGTGTAGATGTTTGTGTAGAATAAAGGAAGGAAAAATCCAGGTCCTATTACTAGGCTTGCTGGGTATTTGGTTTTGAGAGTTTACCACCACAAAAATATGGCGGTGTTCGGCTTTACACGGTACTTTTCTGAGCAGACTATTATGTGATCAAAATACAATAAGACACGTGGTGTTAGGGGAACTGCAAACAGGCAGCATGGGCAGAACTTCAAAGGCCCTGCTGGATTACTAGTATTAAAGCACAGTGTTCATTCCGTGACCACAAGGTACCGTGACCACCAGGAATTGAAATAATGATCCATACATGTTGACATTGTAATGCAAATTTTGTCCAGTTGTTTCTGCCCCCTGTTTTTAAAGGGCTTTTGCACACATCTGGCAATAATTTTTTTTTAAAGTTGTCACTACACTGTATTTTTAAAATATGGTCCAAGCCTATCTACTACTTAACATGGGACCTGATATCGCTTGAAAGTTTATGGATAAAGATAGTTTTGTTGCGATCTGTATTTAGATTCAGCTGTATGTCTAGATGAATCTATGCGCATGATCACTGTACACTCACGAGGCCCCTTTCAATGGAGAAACCATTGTGTAAGCTATTGTGCAAAGTCCTATGACGGATTGTCTTAACAACAGCAAGCAAATGCTTTCGCCATTGACGGGGGCCTCCATGGTAGAATTGACAGCCCGGATTGGTCTAGGACACAGCCACTAGTGCTTTATTTTTTCGAGTACAATACATGTGCCAACTCTGCCAACAGTTTACTGCACAGTACAGAAGTCCCTGCTTCCTTGCAATAAAGAATGGACAGAGTGTAGCCAAAATGTCAGAAATAGTAATCGGAGTCAACCAGTTTGATTGCATTACCTATTTAGATTTCTCTAAAAGACATTATGTAAAAGACATAATAATGACAAAGGTTTACCAAAAGGTGGCATGAAGAATGGAGGTGGTGGCATCATGAAGGGGAACGGAGGTACTGATGAGGGTGTGATGGGGCTAGCTGGGGTACCTGCAGCCACCCCTTCAGTTGACCCAGCTATGATAGAAAGAAAGACAAAACCTGTATGAGAGACCTGGACGCAAACACAGTATCAATCACTGTCTCATCATATGAATTGTGTTACAAACCTGCAAACTAGCATAAGTCTCTTCACTAATATACACTGAAAGGCCATACTTCTGTGTTACCGACTCTTACTTACAGGAGCTAATGAAAGATAAATTGCATTTGCATTTTACTTGACCAAACAATCATTGTGTCAATTTAGGCAAAAGACAATGCACACCTGTAGCTAAAAGCACATCAGTGGTAAGTTTGATAAGATTTGAAGGTCTACACGGTGAAGACAGCAATAAGATAAAGGTTTACGGTAGCACCATGAGATAAAAAAACTTTTGTGAGTTTGTAAGGTTTCTGAACAGAACCAGGGAAACTCAACGTTTCGAACAGTGTACTCTGCCCATCATCAGGAGACTGACGGGATTCCAATAATCAATAGCAAATATTGACAGCTTGCTGGTATCCGCCATATGGGCTCCGTGCGCCAACAAAGAGGGCGCCCTTTTACCTAGCAACGACGTCCCATGGGCGGGACATTTAGCTAGTTGACGCGCACTGTTCCTCGTGTGTGACACACGTACACCAGGGGATTTGTACTAAGTACACGCAGTGGCCACGCGTCGGGCAAAATTGCTGTCAGGCAAGATGGCGTCGGTCGGTCACCCCCAACTGTACTTTCTTTGCCGGTGAGGGGGTTCTTGTGAATGGAGCGGATAGGCCGGAATATGTATGACATCAGTGATTACAACAGACTTAACCTAAGAGAATGGACTAACCAAACAGTTGTTATCTTTCTTGGAACAAATGAGTTTTCACAGCAGTTTTAGAATCAGAAACTTACCTGCTGCTTGGGTTGCTGAGGTACTGGCATCACCAGGTTGCGAGCCTGCGGCAGGGGTTGTTGCAGCCGCAGCACCTCCCGGTGCCTGGGTTGCTTGCTGGCTTGCTGCTGGGCTGCCTGCTTGCTGCTGTTGCTGCTGCTGTTGTTGGTTGGGAAACTGGGCCCCAGGATGAAACTGGGGCATCCAGAAAGGGTAGCCAGGAAATGGAGGCATCATGCCAGGCACTGGAAAAGAGATAAGCGAGTGCTTCAAGAGTTGAATTAAAGTAGAACATGTTAAACACAGTTTCATGATTTCCACAACCTATATCCTTTTGAATATCATTCAGCCAGAATACTAGTGACATCTGTCTGGAATACTTTCCTAAATAGGGCTTTACCAGCAATTTATGGCAGTCTATTGCAGTGAAGTCAATATTACATTTGTGGACCCATTATTGTAAGGTGATCTGGGAGTGTTTATAACTCTACGCAATCCAATGGTTCTTCCACCCTAGTTTAAGCTCTTAAGTTCTCAGGTTCCTAGTTCATTGCCAAGCACAGTTCACTTAGCCGTTCACACCCAACAGTCATCATCACGTCACAACCTCAAAGCAACTCACTCTGTGCTTGTTGCTGTTGCTGCTGCTGCTGTTGGTTCTGCTGTGCCCGTAACGTCGCAGCCGGCGTCCTGAGCACGTCCATGCGGCACGTTGGGCAGGTCTGCTGACGCTGGAACCAAGAGCGCAGGCAGGAGGTGTGGAAGATGTGATTGCAGGGCAGCTTCTTACAACCCGTCACCATCTCCTCACGACAGATGATGCAGACATTATCTGAGGAAGCCAGGTCCTCAGCAGTGGCATCAGGGTAACTGTCATTACAACAATGAAGCATGTGTTTAGGTGAATCAATTTTGACTGGATCCTACTTGATGAAATAATAATGTGTGGTACAGTGCTTTCCACCAAGGGTAGGTCTCAAAGCACTTCACAACTATTACCCCTGTTCTGCAGCCGAGATCAGCGCAATCAGGTCTCTACCTGCATCATTTATACTCCTGGGTGGAGAGAGACAATTGTAGTAAAGTGTCTTGCCCAAGGATACAAGCACTATGTTCCCGTCAATATTCAAACCCACAAACCACGGCACATGGGTCGAACACCATAACCATTGAATCACATCTCTGTAATGAGTCTTAGAGAGTCTTTGAGGAGTCTCTCATGAGTCTTTGAGGAGTCTCTCATGAGTCTTTGAGTCGTCTCTCATGAGTCTTTGAGTCGTCTCTCATGAGTCTTTGAGTCGTCTCTAATGAGTCTTTGAGTCGTCTCTCATGAGTCTTTGAGTCGTCTCTAATGAGTCTTTGAGTCGTCTCTCATAAGTCTTTGAGGAGTCTCTAATGAGTCTTTGAGGAGTCTCTAATGAGTCTTTGAGGAGTCTCTCATTAGTCTTTGAGTCTCTAATGAGTCTTTGAGGAGTCTCTAATGAGTCTTTGAGGAGTCTCTCATAAGTCTTTGAGGAGTCTCTAATGAGTCTTGAGGAGTCTGAATGAGTCTTGAGCAGTCTGAATGAGTCTTTGGGGCGTCTCTAATGAGTCCTGAGGAGTCTCTAATGAGTCTTGAGGAGTCTGAATGAGTCTTGAGGAGTCTGAATGAGTCTTTGGGGCTTCTCTTATGAGTCCTGAGGAGTCTCTAATGAGTCTTGAGGAGTCTGAATGAGTCTTTGAGGAGTTTCTAATGAGTCTTTGAGGAGTTTCTTATGAGTCCTGAGGAGTCTCTAATGAGTCCTGAGGAGTCTCTAGTGAGTCTTTGAGGAGTCTGTAATGGGTCTTTGAGGAGTCTGTAATGAATTTTTTAAGGAGTCTCTAATGAGTCTTTGATCGTCTATAATGAGTCTTTGAAGAGTCTCTGAGTCTTTGTGGAGTCTCAAATGAGTGTTTTAGGAGTTTTTTAATGAGTCTTTGAGGAGTGTCTGATGCGTCTTTCAGGAAACTTTTTCAGTGATTAGTATTGTGTGTGCATTAGAAAAGGCATACTCTACTCAGTTTGACAGGTATTTGGTGTATAAACGACTTTTACTTACAGTGTGTTCATATTCCTGATAGCTCTTCTTGACATGATGACATCATTCACTGCTTTCTTGAATGATCTGTGATCGAGTCAGCACAAGAAATTACAATTCAGCTTTGTGGTATACCTGCCTTTACAATTTCAGGTTAAACTGAATATCATTCGCACTACTTCCAGATATCATCTGCACTGCCTCCATGTCTTAAAAGTAAGTTGAAGGATTTTGAAGGACTGAGGCAGTGGTCAATCCTCCAATGAACAAGTTTAAGTAACAATGGAAGATTTTGGAGGATTGAGGCTGTACCCAATTTTTTTCATGGAGGCAGTTGGAGGATTTTGTAGGATTGAGGATGCACCCTAGCCAAAAGGTCATTGGGGCTTGGGTTAAATATCCATAGAACAGATTAGAATGGCACTTGCAATACTGATGTCGCAGTGCCATTTTCGTCAAATTTGTTGAAACTTGATTTTAAAAATCAGACTTTACATGGGAAAAATCACCCAAAGTATCAGAGATTTGGAAATAAATTTGAAAAAGTCGGAATTTTCCGATTAAAATCTGAAAAGTTTCATCCCTGTCTAAATCGACTGTGCTTTCTTTACATTACCTCATTGCTAGGTACATCGGTCGAATGGCAAAGAGTGGGAATGTGTGGACTTTGATCATGATGGCAAGGAACACAGTGTACAGCATCACCTTCACAAAACCTGCATGAAATGAAGCATTTATAAACAAACTGACAACAGCAAGGATTACTTCATAAAATACATCAGTATTCATTAACAGCTTTGTTTCAGCTGGTGAACCCTTGTGCTCTGTGAGGCAACACAGTGCAGACCCAAAAATATTTAGATGGGGACGAGAATTGACAAAAAAAAAATATGGCACCATGGTCCTCTGACAGCATGCAAATCCACTCTCGAAGACAGTTTCACGGCATAATATAAATGACAATGCATAACATATGGCTGTTGTGTAAACAATAAGCCCCCACACCCCCTCCTTTTTACCCCCCCCCCCCCCAATCTGCAAAACCAGCCTACTGATTACAGGATTTTGCAGGAGATCATTAACAGTAGATAGTACTGCATGACCTACTCAAGAGAACAGATGGAAAACACTGCATGTGGGTAATGTTTCGCTCGCCCCTAGTATGATCAAATTTATCTGAATGTGCATAAACCCACAGAACAATGCCACTTTTGTATCCTGCTGCAGTTGGTGACCACGGACTCTGAAGCAGTTTGGCCTGACAGGTCTTGATGGGTCTTGCTGCACTGGGCAGGCTTGTCATTATTTGGCACGTGTTGCATGTTGCTGCATTTAGCAGGGCCTCTAGCCTAAATGCCGTTGGGGTTAGGATTAATATTTTGTATTGATTCCATTAACCTGTTGCAATGAGTATTCTACTTACTCATGATAAGGTCAGTGTACAGCATGTAGACAGCTTTGCTCTCCCACGGATTCTCACTCTGGAGATCAATGGTGTGAAGCACATACTTGAAGGAGATGTTGACAATGATGGTAAACAAAACGGCATACTGAAAAGACCAACAATTAAAGCAAGGGTAAATAACGAGATAAACGTGTGATTGTGAGGTATTAAACACTCTGTTTAAGACCGGTTGGAGTCTTGATGCTGATAATCCCATTCATAAATACCTTTTTGATAAAAAAAAAAACTTTTCGGTCCACAAGAGTAAAAAAAAAGGTCAAAAATTTATATATTTCCAACGATTTCGTTCAACAAAACACCCCTCTAGCTATACAATGGTAAGGCCCAATGGTAAACAACTCCTTATATGGAGATTGGCGCGCAAAATGCAGATGTACCGGTGTAGTGTGCATTTAGGACTATGAAATACTGACTCACTTGTAGTATTGTGCTGCCTACATGAGAATTGTGAACATTCAACCAATAAAATGGTAGGATTTCATAGGAGTTCAAATTTCATGTGACACTGGAAAAGTGTTTAAGACCAGCCAGCCATGTCTTTATCAACCGCTTAAAACTGGCCATGTGACAGGCTCTCGAACAACAGGAACTGGTAAACTGTCTGTATAGGTATTTATGAATAACACTTACTAATAAACTTAGACAAACTTAAGATAAACGCCAGCCTGGTGGGCCACATTGGCTTGTGACAGACTTTACTTAAGTGTCCCCCTAGACTTCGTTTAGGCGACACAAAAACACACTACCGCCTGATTGACCTATCGCAGTAGAATGGCGCTAGAATCACATCAACGTGGCTTGTGAAATATTGCCCAATTACATGATATACAAATGGACGTGGAATGCGCAACATCTGAGACAAACAGATGTGTACAAAAATCATACGTGTACAAAAATTTCACAGGGTTGTCAAAGGGGCGTGGCTAACTCGCAAACGGCGATAGGTCAATTGGGGTCAGGTTGATTGTTCCATAAATGAAGAAATACTGCTGCCACAAGGACCATCTCACCTCAAATCCAAAGACCAATTGCACTGATGCTCCCTTGGTAAGAGTGCTGTGATAGGCATAATTCATAAAGATCATGTCCAATGCACCAAGTACAGCTAGCAGACCTGTTAGAAAAAGAATCACAAGTCAGGTACGTTGACAAACATAACAGCCATGCTCAAGTTGTGTCAAATCTCATAACTTTGCTGTTATTGGTGTATGTTTTACACATGCAAAAATCAAGAAAAAAATGCTACAGGATGCACAAAAGGATACATGTAGTGCTCTATTTAAACAAATACACATATTAACGATAACATTTTGTTTTTTATTTTAAAAATATTCTTCGGACAGAGAAGGAAACACAGAAACACTGGTTACAGCTCAACCTATATTGAAGAACGTCTTTCATAAAGGGTTGCAAGGCAAAGGATTTTGCAAATTATTTTGCCCAAATTGCGCATATGAAACCGAGCAGGATAATACCACCGTTACTTCAACTCACCTAAAACACGGAGGTGAAACAACCACGAAATGACAGGACTTCTCTCCATCTGTGGAATATGTATGTAATTCAAGGCAAATAATAAGTAACACTGTTCCTGGTTCTTAGAAAACGCCAAACTTCTGAGGACTAAAAACCACTATAGTATTTTAGATTGTAAGTTTTTTGTTTTATCAACATATATGTATTCACGGAGAGATTTAATATTTGAAGCTTTAGTCAACAATTAACCTTAACTCCCCAGCATAATTTACTAGGAACCATACCCATTCAGGCAAATTCCAACACCCACATGGGAAATTGTACACACACACTGTTGGACTTTGATTCTGGAGGTGTGCCAATCCAATGTAAAAGACTGTCAGTTTTAGGGGTACTGTACCCATCTTAACAGATTAAAACAAAACCTGCTGTTGGGCTTTGATGGGTTGAGTTCGGTTTGGGTTAACAAAGGTTTGCTTCTTTCCCAAGAACATGTGCAATGTGCATCACATGTAGGAGAGGCATGAAACATTGATATTAACATCGGTGACATATTAAAACCTGAAACAAAACGAATTTATACAATGAATCTGGTGGACAATGCAGACGCTTGCCGATCATTAAAATATGTATAAATCAATACGCTTCCTAGTTTGTAATCAAGTCCCGGGGTGCTTCCACTGCTTTGCGAATAAAATAGGTTCACAGGCATCGTTGGAATTCTTGTAAAATAAAACTGGAGAACAGTTTGGTTGAAAACAAGATTATCTTTTTTTTTAATTTAGGTTATATTCTTGTTCCGTTTCAAATTCATCACATTCTTTGTCTTCCCACTTTTATGGACAGCATTCTGGGGACGATCAACCTCGTCCCCGGGCCTTACTTTCTTTTTAATCTTGTTTTCAAATAGTGAATCCCTGGCAGGGAAACTTGCTTTCTGTATCCTTCAATCTTAGGTTTTGCCCTTTCGCCACCGTATAAACACTGTACATGTATACTCAGTGTGTTACCTCCCAAGTGAAAGTTGCAAAAAAATCACTCGGGTGGGACTCGAACCCACGACCTCCATTCTAGTGTATTCTAGATCCTTGCCTATTTCCTGATTTGATACATATCATCTACTTGATGATTTTATTTCCAATGTATTTAGATTATTATGTCAACTCCTCCAAAAACCAATCCTCTCTTTTCCATTTTGCTTATAAGATGTAATTTGATACTGCATAGTGGATGAGTAAGACTGCAACATTATAACTTTGAAAAAAAATCTCATTTTCGGATCTCACGCCACTAAAAATTGATGCCGTTTTTACCCACACACCCCATACAAAAACAAATACTGATTTACGACAAGGCAAGGCACCAGACTATTCGTTCCATACCTAATTTGCATACATGTGCAAGATTTTTGAACATACAAATGATCCAATACCAGGGTGAGAGAACAGGTAGTGGTGGGAGCGTACTGCCCCACACCATGGGAAAGAGGTTGGGATACGATCCATTCAGATAACTGAGTAAACCAGTGTATCAGTGTTGGAGCAAAGGCTTTGACCCTCAAGGCCAAGGCCAAGGCTTTAACCCTCAAGGCTAAGGCCAAGGCCAAGGCTTTGGCCCTCAAGCCTCGAGGCCAAGGCCAAGGCTTAACCCTCAAGGCCAAGGCCAAGGCCAAGGCCCTGTTTTATGAAATGACCACTGATATAGAACTAATTATAGTCACATGAGTGACACATCATCACGCAAGGGCGGACCCAGAACACAATTTGGGGGGGGGGTAAAGAAATTTTGGTCCCCCCCAAAAAGTGGGTCAAAAAATTACGGCTTGGGCTTCGGGGCCCGCTTAAGGGCCCCGAAAAATTTTTGGATTCGAGATGCTCTGTGGTGCGATTTGAGGAAATTTCTGACCCTTTTAACCAATGTTTTTTGAGGAAAAGATGTTGGTGTACTCATTGCCTGCCTTTATTACGACGTCACATAAAAAAAAATGGTTTCGGGTTTTGGGGGGGGGGGCATGGCCCCTTTTGTTCCCCCTGGATCCGCCCTTATCATCACGAATTGCTCGTTACGAAGAACAACATTTCTTTAATTGCAATCAACATGCTCGCATAGGCCTACACCGTTTTATGACTGCACTGTATCTATTAAAGTATAAGTTCAGGTCTTCAATATGGTTTAACTAAACAAAATAATGATTTACTTCTATATTGACACACAATTCTCCCAAGTGTAACAAAAGGGGGGTCCAAGAAACTGATTTGGGAAATTTTTATTTGCTGGCCCAACATGGTCAGAAATATCAGCATTATCTAAAACAGATACATGCAAATCTTTAGCACTTATCAGGGAGACATATACAACCAATCAGATCTATTCCATAGTTATATGCAATTAAAGTGATCTTCTCATTATCCCCACAAGTGTACGGAATATTTTTGCAGCAAGTCTACAATGGTAACAAAATGTGATGCTACAAAAGTGGAAGTGTGCCCAACACACAAATCTATAGGGTGCTTTCCTCCTCCATGGTAATACGATTAAAATGGTAACAGCAAAATTTCGAACAGATTTATCTGGAAAATGCAAAAATCTATGGGCCTTGAAGAGCCTTGACTCAAAATTGCAAGGCCCTGAACCCTCAAGGCCAAGGCCAAGGCCAAGGCCAAGGCTTTTGCCCTCAAGCCTCGAGGCCAAGGCCAAGGCCCTAAAATCCAGCCTTAAGGCAGCCTTAAGGCCAAGGCCCAGCATCAAGGCACTACATCACTGCAGTGTATGCACTTACATAGTCCACTCTGTCCTCCGCAAGCCAATGGAAGCATTTGAGAAACAGCAGAAATGTGAACATTGCCACAAATCTGGGACTGAAGTCGTCCCTGAAGACGGTGAATGCAAGGCAGGTCTCTGTCACTGCGTACCAGGAGCGCTCTATCAGATGCTGTGCAGTGATCAAGAGGTAGAATATTGTAAGAGATCTGAAAGGTGGCAATGGAAAGAGCTCCACGCAGCACAGAATAAGTTCATTATGGACATTCTCCACAAACAGTGGATGGTGCCCTGTGGCATCACAAGGGCTTCAGTATATTTCTTCTAGTGTCGTCAACTGTTTACAGATCTACAATGGTATCCTTTAAACCCTAACCCCCTTGTGTGATTTACTAGGAACCTTCCTAACTCATACAAAATCCAACACCATATGGTGAACTCAACACCCAAACAGTTGGACACTGATTATGATGGCATGCCTAACCCTATGTAAAGAAATCAGTTTCCTGGGGCAGTACTCGCTCCAACAGAGTCCCCAACATCTTTCAATGTCCAATGTTTGTAATGCCCATTGTTTTTTTAATTTCACACAAGGCAAAGCATCTCTAGCAGTGAAAATACAAGTGCCAATCCATGACATTTAGCATTTGTACTGTTCCACTAAAGAGTATGCTTAAGGCCGGTTCATAATTCATGCAAATTCTAAAGCCAAGCCAATTTGTTATGTCAATTTGGTGAATGTCACAATGAAACTGATATTGTTGACGTCACGATACTCGCTTCACTTCCGCTTTCGCATGAAGTATGAACAGACCCTTAATCAGTAAGCACAACATTGTATCTTATCCTTAACCCTCCTCAATCCTCCAAAATCCTCCTTGTGGTTTTGGAGGATTTTGGAGGATTGATGCTGAATGGTATTTTTTTAGATAAAGATTTTGGAGGACTGAGGCTGAATGGTATTTTTCAGAAAAGGATTTTGGAGGATTGAGGCTGTATGATATTTTTTCAGAAAAGGATTTCCGAGGATTGAGGCTGAATGGTATTTTGAGGCAGAACTGTCTGACGATTTTGAAGGATTGAGGGGCTGGGTACCCTTCATTTGAACAGAAGTGCAACATTTTTGGATGAGGAGGATTGAGGAGGATTGAGGATGAATGCATTTTGAGGCAGGACTGTCTGAAAATTTTGAAGAATTTAGGCGCTGTTGTACAATTTTGGAGGATTTGGAGGATTGAAGATGGTTCCTAGCAAAAAGGCTGAGGGGGTTAGGGTTATCAGAGCAACTGCAACTTTAAATCAAAATTTGCAGTTGGCTCATACAATTTCAAACTGTGGTGCATAGAAGTCAAGATCTGTGTGTAAATGTAGAAATTGTGGTTCAGGTCCAGCATAATGAGGTTACAGTGCATGTGTGTATCTCTAAGCAAGATACTCTTCAGTAAATCTTTCATCCCATCCAAGAATCAATGGGTACCTGTGACTGTTATGGTACTTGGACCAATTTATGGACCTGATGTGTATGGTAATATAATGATGTAGCTCCATGGGCTTTCATATAATCGGCATTCATAAATACCTCAGACAGTTTAGCTATTCCTATTGGTCGAGAGCCCGTCACGTGGCCGGTCTTAAACGGATGATAAAGACATGGCTAGCTGGTCTTAAACACTTTTCCAGTGTCACAATAAAATGTGGACTCCTAAAAATCCAGTGCCTCTTACTGTTTCATTGGTTGAACGTTCACAATCCTCACGTAGGCATGCGCAACACTACAAGCGAGACAGAATTTTATAGTTCTAAATTCAAAACGCAACGCCCCAGGTGCGTTCTGCGTGACATCGCGCAGAACATGCTACGCGCGCGTCAATCTCCATAAAAGGGTTGTTTACATCTTACTCGCCAGCTGAACACTCCATTATTTTGCTAGAGGGATGTTTCAAAAAGCATGAAGTGAACTTGTTGAACAAAATCGGGATTTTTTGAACGAATTATTTGATATTTTTTTACGGATGAGGTATTTATGAATGGGAATAAATATGTGCTCGGTCGGTATTTATCACTCTGTTTAATACCGCTTAGAGTCTGGGTGCTGATAATTACCCTCGCCTCCGGCTCGGGTAATTATCAGCACCCAGACTCTAAGCGGTATTAAACGAGTGATAAAAACCTCCGGAGCACACATTTATTCCCTTATTTAAGAACGCCCTTTTTAGTAAACTAAATCACGGCGCTTACAGTATTATTATTACCCCTTATCATTGGGCCAATTAAACATTCCAAATACCATCTCAGCTCCCTGGGGAGTATACAGCTCGATGCTGCCTGTTAGGCGCAATCAAGCTAAATCAATCACATAACCATCTCTGCCCTCACAGGTACCCATTTACTCCTGGGTGGAGAGAAGCAATGAGTGACAAAGTGCCTTGCCCAAGGGCGCACACACCATGACCCCGGCTGGACTCGAACCCACAACCTGCAGCTTTACCCGCAGACCATGAATCAGTGCCCTTAACCACGAGGCCACAACACTCCATATTCACAAATAATGATGTGCGCTTGTATTCTTTCCCCCAGTTTACTCACCTCCATTTCAGCTGCTCTGAGCTGACCAAAGAAAACCGTCTTGAAAAGTTTCCCCATCAAGACAACCATGACAAAGGCTTGCATGTAGATCACCTGTAAAAGTGCAAGGAGTAACAAGTACCAGGTATCATTACTGATTACAATTTTCAAAATTCAAGGGGTTTAATTTCAAATTCAAGTAGGTGGTACTACTTTCCAGTCCACAGAAGAAAACTGACACTGCAATCATGTTGCAAAATGGATGTGTCAAATGGTGGCATGATGCAGGGATAACATTATAAACCAAAGGCCACAGTAAATCAACCCCTTTTTTTGGGGGGGGGGGGAGTGGCAACAAACACTATTCATAAATACCCCTGTACCTAAGGCAGTTTACCTATTCCTATTGGTCAAGATCCCGTCACATGGGTGGTTTGAAACCACAGTTAACACACTGCTCGCTGTGTAAACATTCATGTTTTAAAACTGGTCGCAAGCACCCACGCTCTGCACCACACACTTCGCGCCACGTCGGCTTGAGAGCCACTGATATGATCTCCCATAAGAGGAGAGGGTTGAGCACACTGCCAAACTGCGCACACCATAGAAAAGTCCCGAACATGGAGTGAAGCAGTAAAACAAAGAATGACATTTGAGAAGTTGCAAAGACCTTTGGCAAAGAATCACCAATACATTATCGACATTGCACCCCAACTCTCGCAGAAGTTAAATAGCAAGCATTAATAAGGTAAAAGTCCCAGTATTTGAAGCCTGTCAACAAAGAAGTTTGGCAACACTACATGAGGATCTAAATTCCAACACGAAAAGTAGATGTCTGAAAAAGGGGGGATAAATTTTCAATCGCTATATTAAGAGCGTGAGTATGCTTCTCAAGCGTAAATAAACTACAGAGAAAATTTTGCAACCTGAAACCACTTCAGTGGTTGTGTACAAAGTCTATGGAGCATGTGTGGAGACAGGAGAGTCAAGAAAATTTTCCTATGCTAATGGAATTGGAAATGTTTCTCAGTCCCAGATTCATGCCTGGAAAAAATTACGCAGAGATTATGATCGATTGATGATTTTCGGTTTGCTCGGAACGCGCCACAGGGGGTACAGTACAAGCGAAATGATACCATGCGCATGCGTACAATTGTACGGAGTTTAGGGGCAAATTGTGCAGTGGTTCTGTGGGAAATGTCTCTGTTTTGATGGAGGTTTTTTGTATTTAATTGGTGTTTCATGCTGCAAACACTTTTGCGGGGTTCTGTCAGTATGAGGCTCCGCTCTGCGGAGCATCGTAGTTCTAGGACTAACCTGACGCTACTTCCGCAACTGCGTACAAGGTCTATGGAGAGTCAAGAAAAAATTTTCGAACCTAATTGAAAATATTTCTGTGCCAAATTCATGTCTTATCATCATTTTTGCAATGAATGACCTAAGTGAGATGATTTGTATGAAGAAAAAAGTGGCGTCAGGTTGCAACATTTTTCCCGGCCTTTATTTAAGGAGGTAGTCCAGGAGGATTAACATAGCATAGGGCCACCAGAAAATCAGCAGTCGTGTAGTGTAGGGCCCGGTTCCAATGAGGGAATAAAATCCACTTTAAAATTATTAGACTGACCAAACTAGTTGGCGACATTCTCAATAAACATAAACAAGTAGGGGCCTATATCTGGTCATAGATAGAGGGCAGCCTGGGCAGGGTTTAGATTTTTTTGAAATTTGGGGATAAAATGACAATGACAGCACGGCAACAATACGCAGCCCGAAAATAAAGATGGCAATCACCGCGCCATATACCGTGAGCACGCACGACGCGCTGAAATCGCAAGGGCCAGGCCCAAGGCACCGCGCAGGAAAATCTTGAATTCTAGTCTACCCAGCAAAGAAACTGCTCAAAATTCAAAATTGCAAAACAGGTGTCATTAGAATTGAGAAAAGTATGCTTTTGATTGTTAAGGTGAAAGTTGAGCAATAAAAAAAAAACATTTATGACTCTAATTTGTTCAAAGCAAAACAGGGGCCCTACACTACACGATAGTCGATAGCCTAAAATCAAGGGTGTGGGTATTTTGCGGAACTTGCAGAACGTGCGGAACTCTGCAGAATTGTTAATAAAACACTAAATTACAACATCGAAATAATGTGCATTGACTTGTCAATGCTTGTGCAAGTAAACTTACAGCCATACTCGGGTTTGACTTCGTGAGATACACGACGGACGGGTAAAACTGCTTTTTCTGAAAGAAGGCATGCCCGACGACAGACGCTGTTAGGCCAAAGCTGGCCACTGTAAGCAGAAAACCTCTCATTTTGGACACAATTTACTCATGTAAACTACAGAATTCCAGACCAACCAGCAAGCACTGCACTACCCGGCCCATTGACCTTTCCATTGGTACCCACGTCTAGAAAATGTGTTGTGTGAAAAATAGGCCGCCGATTACCAGTGGGTTTAACAACACATCATCAAATTGGATAGAGGGCGCTATAACACAATCTATGCAAAAGACGGATGCTGCGCTGATCGGAACCACCGGAGGCGCGACGTGTGTCGTGGCTCATCGTCATTTGTCAACAAGCTACCAACATAAACTGAGAAAGCTGCGGACGTCGGGCATACCTCCCGAATTGTATTTTCTGCACAAAAATCAAAGTTGCTTGCATTGTTTTCCTTTTCATTTAACATTGCGGGGTGGCCGGGGTGTGTGTGAGGGGGGGGGGGGGGGGGGGGGGGCTCGCTCACTTGCAGTGCCAGTAGCCTGCCGCCGGCCGATGAACGTGTTAATACAATTGCGGACAGAAATTTTATCACATTCAGTTATTAAACCAACTAGCCAGGCCGGCCGGGCGGGTACTTTGAATGTCGGTCACCTGATCGGTCGGCTTGGAAAAGTCAAAAGCTTCAATCTATTCATAATTATTATTAGAGATTATCTTTCGGCGACAAGACCTCCGTTGTGATGGCAAACTTGCGTTCTGAGCTAACGACAATCGAAGTTTGGGGCCGGTTATAATATAATCATGGATTCAAATATAAGAATTGTGGAAGCAGACTGTTTTTTTTCTCATCTCAACTATAAGGAATTATGTTTTACTCATCATTTTTGTGTAGCGCAATCGAAGAAAATTTTGCAGCTCTCTCTTCAATGATGGATTTTTAATCATGCGCGTCAACCTTTTTTTTCCTTCAAATTAACACGGAAGCTACAACAGCGCCCGCTATTGCTGCACCTCCTCAAATTGTTGTACCAAGGAGCACCAAGGAATGGAGAAATTGCACCAAGGCACATGATAAAGGACACCAAGGCAAATTATGGAGGACACCAATGTTTAATGAGGACACAAAAAAGCAAAATAGTACCCACCTTGTCTGTACAATTCAAGCTTGAAAAAAAAGCCCCCCCCCCCCAAACCCCCCCCCCCCCCCCCCAAAAAAAGCGTCGCCGCATCAATTCCGGAACTTCGGTCTGACCAGAGACCGATTATTTTTGTTGTTGGCCTTACAGTGGGATGAGTCTGTAGTAGTGGTAAATGCGTCAGATTTGAAAATGACGTTTTGATGACGTACGTGCGGAATGGAATTTTATTGTTTTGTCTGTATCTGCTCAAAATTGCGCACGTTAAAATGTCCACTTCTTTCTTATTTTTGAAATAATATATCTCAAATTTAGATATTTTACTATCATATGATAATCGGTTTACCCACCATATGGATGGTCAGAAGACAATAATAATATTCCATCTACTGTACATGTGAAGTATAAACACACAGTTCACTAGCAAAAACAGTTTCTGGTTTCGGCGTTTTTTCACGCCTGCGTGATAAGTTAATTCTTGGGCATCATGACGTCATAAACTTCTTTCTGCATGGTTAATGGTCGCAAAAAAATAATACGCCCCAGGTAAATCAAAAACTTGTTCAGAGATGTAGGGGTTATATAATCGAAGAGTAGGGCGGAATCCGCCGTCCCGTACGTTCTCCCCCCCCCCCCCCCCCGGCCCCCGATCGCCGCACGATTTTTTCTTTCGCGTCCTTTATGACTTTTTGTCAGACTGATGTTTTGCGAACTATTTTGCTAAAAAAAGTAAATTGAGGGGGCCAGGGGGTGGGGGTTGCGAGCGAAGGTGGGATGAACAAAAATAATAAAGAGCGCCCCCTATATATACTATGTGAAGTTTTTACGCTGGTTCCGCCTACTTCGTTCGAATATATTGGAAATTTATGCGGGTACCAGCCAGTTTGCCAGCAGACGATACTTTTTTTGGACGCGCGAAAGTTCAAAAAGTGATAAGTTAACTTTAAGTTTTGGTCCGCCGGCCGGCCACCAAGCATAGCCTACAACTAACACATAAAACTAGTTAGGCCTAGTCCTAAACAACAGTAAATTGGACTACTAGCCCACTAGTTCTTCTAGTTTCTAATCTTGTTCGTCCTGATGACTACTTATTGACGGGTCTACTACCGTAGTTTTAAGGTCAGTCAGGGAGCATAGTTTTCGACGAGACGTGAATTTTGGAACGAATGTGCCTAACGTTTTTCTAACCATTGCTAACCTCGCTAACGTAAAATGATTGTACTGCGTACGTGGCCCTGCCCAGTTTTGGCTGCCTTTGTTCATAGTTTGAGTTGACAAAATACGGCTCGCATTTATAGGCTAAGGATTAAGCCGGGCCTTGCCTGATATAAATGCAGACATAGAACGTTGGTGAATGGTGTTGCCTTGCATGTTTAGCCCAGGTTGGACTCCTCCGTTGTGTGTCAATTCATGAGTTGAAATGCAATGAAGGCATAGCCTAGGGCCTAGTCCGACTTACCTGGGATATGTGGGAGGCCTGGCTAAACAAATTAGGCTAGCTGGCTAGGGCTAGGCCTACAAAATTTAAGTGCATTGTTATTTATATTAATACACTCACAGGCAAAGGAACTGTCAAGGCCAGGCTCAGCAGACTCTGTCTTAAGGCCAAGCTAGCTTGAGTAGCCTACATGTAACTCCAGCAAGCTAAGGCCAAGGCAAGGTCCAAGACAAGTCAAGGTCAGCAGCATGCTCAGCTTCACTCAGCATGCTCAGCCTCAGTCTCAGCCTTTAGGCTTAAACTGGCTCACTGAGAGCATGCTGAGCCTCTCTATTCAGTCTTACTGGTTAGCTCAGCTCAGTTGGCCTTGGGCCCTTGCTTGAGTTGCGCCGCACGCCTTCACTTATTTTTGTAATTGAACTGAATGCATTGTTGTACAGTTTTAAGATGGCGAAGGATAACCTAACTGTTAATTATGCGTTACTCGTTAAGCCTACTTTTGATATATAATATGTAGGCCAGGCTTCTACTTCTAGTTCTACAGTTGTAACATTGTGAAACAATTTGTATTGTGTTGTTTGGAGTTGTTTGGAGTTTCTTTGCGTTTTTGTGGGATGGTGCTTTTTTTGGGGGGCGGGGGTTGTTTTGTATTTTTGTTTTCAATGAGGGCAGAGCGTCAAGCGTTATGACAAGTCTTTTGTAGGTTATTCTGTGGTATGTGCAGCCTATTATGGCTCTGCACAAATAATTTGACAAAGCCTTTAGTAGTAAAACTGAGAAGTATTAAAGTTGTAGGGCACTCATGTGCAATATTCATCAGGCACCCATCCTGCAAACAGTGTGTCCTTCTTGGCTCTTGTGAGTATCAACATCCACGCGTTCGTGATGCATAATGGGCTGACGTTCTTAATTGTTACTTTTCTCTTTACATCAGGTCTGGAACATGATGTGACATCTCAACGGAATCTCCAGCAGGGCTATGGGCAAGGGCTCCCTGCAAAAAGACTTTGAATTTCCCTCTGTGATCCTGAGCTGTTTTCAGTGCAGCACTAGTGCTGTTACTCCCATTCTGACTGACAAACTGCACGTCCGAGATCAAGACATGAGAGTGGATGTGGTGAACAATGTGCCAGCTGTGTCGGTGCTCCAGCCCGTAAAGCGCAGAATAGGTGCGGAGAAAGAAACACGGAGAGGACCTTGTCAGGACATCACTAACGTCACTGCAGCATTGTGCAGCCCACCTAAGAGAGCCAAGAATGCGCCTATGACAGTAACAAGCAAAGAGATGGCTGCATTCTTCAAAATTTTTGGTGAGGGGAATGAAACTTGTCTTGTACTACTAACACATTAAAAAAATGAATTTATAAACAAATGTGTTTATTGAACATGTATTAATTTTGCATAACAACAACAAAAAGGGATCAAACATAATTTTGTTCTAACAAGGGGTCTTTCAGTAGTTCAACTGGATTGAAAGTGAACTATGGAGGGTATGCGTAGTGAACATTCAAACTGAACAAGAACTTTGAGCAGTGCAAAATAACAATCAGAAAATTTCAGAAAAAGTCCATAGATCTATTTACATCGATTGTTTCCCGTAACAGATGACAGTCTGATCCAAGATTTCTTGTGGATGGACAACTGTGCAAAAGTAGCAGACAAGGTAACAAATATACTTTAATAGATGTTAATTGTACTACTATCAATTGAATTGAGCAGACTCAACTTAGACATTATTGCTGAGGCAAAAGTAACCTACTACAATCAAGTTTGAGCTGACAAGCCCAAAGTTAATTGTACTATTATCATTTGAATTATGACAGTCAGCAACGGTCGAATCGGGCATGTTTTCCGAAAAGTTGGGGTAGTATTCAAAATCATATCTAATGTATTTGCTGAGTAGAATAATTGGTCTTCCAAATGCTCTTTAGTTGGTTTCATTAGAATGTTTTGTTCAAGAGATACATCAATCACAATACAGGACTTGTAAAACCACTTGGGCCACTGTTTTTATTTATATCTCCTGGTCTTCCAAAAAAATCTTTTTCCAAATGATAAACTGATAAGCTGCACTAACACTATTGACCCATCCTTTGTGTGTTTCTCCAACTGCGCTTTCTCACATCGATTGGTTATCTGGCTTTTTCAGGTAATTTGAAAATATTCAAAATCTCACACGCAATATACTTTATTAATTGGTTTTCGACTGTTAGGTTCTTTGTGTGACAACCTGTGGTGCTGTCCCTCGATAGTTTTTCTTTTCTTAATCGTCCTTAAAAGTTCTCTTTTTGACTTGATATTTTTTTCTTGGCAGTATCTCATCGCAATGGTCTTTGCATACTTCAAGAGAGCCAACTACACAATCAGCCAGTATACAAGAATGAACTTCTTTGTTGCCTTGTAAGTTTTTCAATGCTTTTTTTATTTATTTTCCATTTCTTTTGTCTTTATTCTGTAATTTGGCGGAATGCCATCAATGATTTATGAATTGCTCTCTTGAAAAAAAAAAGTCTTATGAAGACAATGTGCCGTGTAGTCTGTGTTTTAACCATAACGAGATGTTAGCTCCTTTGAGGAAAAAAAAATTACTGAGGTTTAGAATATTGTTGCCTTTTTCCCCAAAATCATCACCCATAGATAGACAGTATCTGGTCCAGAAAATAATTGTTATTATTATACTCTTTGTAAAAAAAAAGTTATGCTCTGAAGAAGATCTTGTTAAGATCGCAATGTCATCAGGCTGTTTTAATTTTTTTTATTTGTGAATTTCAGGTCAATCCAGTCAGAGAGCAGTAATTTGCAGCAATTTTGTACTTTTTCATTTTATCAAATGTGTTACTGCACAACGGTTACAGTTTGATATTGGTAATTATTCATTAATTGAAGGTACCTTGCTAATGACATGGAAGAGGATGAAGAGGAGTTCAAATATGAGATCTTCCCCTGGGCGCTGGGACTGACCTGGAGAGACAAGTACCCAAGCTTCCTGAGGAAGCGAGACAAGCTGTTGAAGACCATCGAGTACAGGGCCGCAGTCAGTCGCAAATGCTGTGAAGAGGTTTGTGCTTTCACATGTATTCAACAAGTTCTGTACTTTCCCAGAGTAGTGTGAAGGAGGCAAGAGCAATGTTACAGTCCTCTTGACTTCAGCAATATTCTTTGTGCATTCTGTGGTTATAATTTTTGTTGTTTGAAAGAAGGCAGTCTTATAATGACAACTCGAACATTTAACAAGACACCTTAATTGACACAGTTTAGAAAGTCTGTCTGACGTTTGTCAACACCCCCTATAAAAAAAAAGATTTTAAAAATTGGTCACATACGACACAATTGAATTCCTATACCCCCACCCCCCAAAACAAAATAATTAATTTAACCCTTTGGTGCACATGACGATCGCTAGCCACCACCCAAGAAATGTTGTAATCTGTGCATTTATAATCCAAATAATCTGTGCAATAAAAGGGTTAAAACTGCCCAAATGTCTTCAGTTGAGATGTAGAAATGGTACATGGCAATACAAAACTTTTTTTCAACATCACGAATATGCAGAAACCATTTTACTGAAGGAATGGACCGATCCAGTAAACACCGCCCCAAGGTATTCTGACCAATCACAGCCGTGATTTATGTCCGACATGCGTGCACAAAAGTCCGACATGCGTGCACAAAAGTCCGACATGCGTGCATGCGCGTATGATGCGCGCGGCAGGAAAATGCAGTGTGGCATTGGTTGGCATTGGAGAGGAGCACGTGTTAATTTGCCCACGTGCGCAGTGGGAGGGGCTTACTGGATCGGTCCATTGCAGAGGTAATTTCAAACTACTTGAACTTAAATCCACCTGCAGCTAATGGCCATATCCCCCAAGCACTACATCTGGCTAAGAGACCGTCAGCCACACCATGCTGGTGCCATCAGACACTATGAGAACTACCTCGGTAGTGATGAGAGCAACGAGAGCTTCCCACGTGGGCCGGGCTTGTCCCCCATCCACTGTGAGCTGTGCGCTGAGAGCGGCAGCTTTGCCTACTGTTCTCCTGGCTCCCACATCACCAACAGCCCAAGCTGCCATCTGTACCTAGCGTCTTGCACCGATACCTCGACTGATAGCCCAGATGGGGATGAACTGCCATGCAAACCCTACTCACCCAGCATGTTTGATATGCATGGTAGGTTTAAGTAGCTCATCTGCATTCATTCATATTAAGGATGTCTTAACTTCACCTTTCCTTGAAAATTGTTAATAGACACTGGCTTCAAATCAAATGTACATTTTTGCGGTTTCCGATTACAATTTATAAGTTGAGTTTGCATGTGTGGTATCTAAATTTGGAGCCTGGCATCCATGTAGCAAGAGAAATTATTAACAATGAATTTTATTTGTTTTACTCCAGTTCAGTGTCATTTTCATAATATTTATTTTTTAAGTAACAGCATTGAATTTCAAGTTAGATGACAGTTGTACAGAGTTCACTGTTGAATCTGCCTCAACAACCTATGAAATCAGATAATTTTTTATGTAGAACAAAAACATCACTTCAGTGTATTTGAAAGCCAAAATTAGGCTGTATTTGAACAATGGTATATATGACAAATTCACATTTCTCTTGAAAAAAATGATGCAGTAATTTAAAATATCAACAGAAAATTGGTATGGTACCGATGTAAACAAAATTATTTCATTTGATTATGTTTTTCAGGACTAAAGAGTACCCTTCAGACCGAACCGAATGGAGAGGATTCCTACTTTTGGGCAAGCTGCCATGAGTAAGTGACTCAACCAGTATTCTGAAATTTGATGAAAAAAAATAATATGCCAATAATGTCACAAGACTGACGGCTAGTTAGACAGTTAAGTTAACCATTTTTGACAGCTTTAAACTGATCTTGTTTAACTTGCATCTTTAGGATTTTTTTCAAGTGCAGGGTGCATTGTTTTAATTTTAAATAGTGCAAGAATTGTGGCTTTTAAACTTTTATTTGAAGGTTTTATGAAAAGTACAATTATTTGAAGTTCAAAATGTGTGAAGTTTAAATAGCAGCTTACAATAAAACCGAAGTCAAAGCAACTCTGAAATAATCTATTTCAATATTGTACAAAAACATGTATATGATGAAGTTATTTATTTCAATTGTTATTTGCATTCAGATACCATATCAATTGTATTTAAATTTCAGTATTTATCATATTAAAGATATTTAATAGTTTGAAGATAACTTATTGTTTCCCTTTCCTCAAATAGAAATTCATTGTACTGTTCAATTTTGGTCGCGCAGAAATAAGATGACCTTTTTTGATGATGTTCAGAATGATAGGCTTAATTAGGTGTGTTTAATTTATTCTCAGACCGATACATTTTCAAATTAAATTGTAAATTTGTTAGTCATTCTTGTATTAAATAATTACCTAGTTGTCTGACCTGTCTGACCTTAAAAGTTTGATAGCTTATAATGGATATCAAAATGTATGAAAAGGGCATAAGTACTGATTCCTTGGAATTTAAGGAAAATAACTTAACTTTTAACTTTGAAGTGATTAACTCCTCCCTCATTCAAATGACTTGGGAAATCACAAAACAAACAAACAAAAGAAGAAACTTGTTTTAACTCTTTGCCTCTCTCACAAAACAAGACACTAAGAATGTTCCTTATAAAGAATGACAAAGTGATATGAACACTAAAACACTGTGATGACAACTGTTTGATATTTTGAAAGGGAAATGGTTCAGTAAAGTTTAATTTTGGCGACACATTTGGTTTGAATTCACTGTGAATTGGCTTGCGCCTTTATTGGCAATGAAGTTGACCAGATGGCAAAATATTTTGACAATAAAGGAAATGTAAAAGAGTTATGATTTGCACTTTTAAAACTACTTATACTTTTAAATCCAAGATGTACACTTATCGTAAATGGAATAAAGATGAATTCAGATGGGTCATAAAGTGCTTGAATTTTCATTTGCATTACTTTTATTACAAAATCGTTTAAGAAACAGTAAAGGTAACTCGTCAAAAATACAGCACCAATAATGATCAATACCACAGTGTTGCCTTTATTACATGTACGTCACATGCCACCCGTTTTTACACAATTTCCCGCTTAAGCGCAAAGCCTATTTATTGTAATTCTGTACTCAATGTATTCTGCTAGCTACTGTATTGTCTCTGTAATTCCACGGTAGTGAAGAACTTTTCCTGCAAAATTTGACACGTTTTCATTATTTCGTTTGCTAATTATTCTAAGGGATGATCCTGCAGACTGGGACAATCTAAAAACTATGGGATATATTGTCAATAATTGCAGGCCTAATGGGAAATACAAATTATTGACAGTATCGCGAGGCTTAAACCCCCCCCCCCCCCCCATCATCCCTCGACATAGCAACAATCCAGGTCAATACTATCGCGACCTATACTTGTAAATCGTTCCCCCCCCCCCCTACCATTTACAAAGGCTTTTGTTAACACACGATTAACAAGTTCGCATAAGGTCCCTTCCCATGGCCCATTATTCATTTTGACAATTAAGATTAAAGATGTACTCTCCGTGCTCTTTATCAAGTTTCACTTAAAATGCTTAAAGCTTTGGATATCATTTTTTTTGTGACTTAGATTGGAGCATCATTCATCCTTGATATCCAGACAGGATGCCTTGCCATAGGCAGTACATAGTCCCTTTTCAGTGCTTACAAAAATTATAGTCAGGATGCACTTTATTTTACATGAATACGATGTCTGTTCCGGGTCCTACAATAGGATAAAACTCATAAAAATGCTTTACACCAAGAGGCGAGGGGTGGGGTGGGGTTGATGTGTAAGGGGAGGGAGGGGTTGCAAGGCAGGGATCCTTTCTATGTTAGGCCACGTATATAGAGTCCATTAGTTAATAGGTTAATTGCATTTAGCAGCCATCTTGGAGGTGTTTTGTTATGCATGCTGAACAAAACCACACACCTCAACGACAGCTGCAGTGCAAATGATCTATTGAGTCCAAGCATGAAGCTATAAAAAAGGAGGCGTGCTTTAACTTGATTCTAAAATTTCTATTTCAATGGAAACAACTCAGAAAGTCAATCAGGACCTTTAGCATTTCCAAATGTTATCAACTTTATTTTTCAAATAAATACTTTATAAAGGATAAATATACATGCGCAATTCACCCCAAGTTTAGGACCTTTACATTCTTAAATTGAAGCCAATAAAATTACAGCAATTTTGAAACTAACCAATTGGAAAATTCCACATCTCAACATACAAGTGTAAGCATATCTCAATGATAAATGCCTTGATACTTGAGCATTTGTGTTTCGGGAATTTTGAAAAAAACAGTGGAACCCCAAGGCACAAAGTAAGAAATGAGGATGGGAATTCACATTTAATGATAAATATTCAGTAAAACTTTCTTGCACTGTTGAAATGTTTAAACCTACTTTCCAAAGGCTACTGTCGGCCAGTTGCACATCGGAGAGGCACTCGGTATACTTTTGTTTTGATCTTATGACGACAAGTTGATAATATCAAACAGTATGAATTGTAAGTAATGTTTATTATTGGTACAATAGATATTTGGCTTCTACTGTGAAATGAATAAATCAGGGTTCACAACCATTTATACATGTAGAATGTCTCATAAACAACAATGTGCATGTAAAACTAGTATCCTGAGGCAATCTTGTTGAGTCTTTTAATAAACAGATCTAATAATTTTACTCTGAACAATTAATACAATTAGACATAAATTGATATACATTTGTAGGTCTGCTTTCTGAATTTAATGATTTATTTCTTCCTGTACTTTCATCTTTCCCGTATCCCATAATTATTGTCATGCCAGCTGGACTACTTAAGGAATAGTGTGACTAGCCTGCTGCTGTTTTGACTAGCATTTGGCTGGCGGGCTACCGCTTAAGTCGAACCCTGGATAGATGAGTCTTCCCTGGATGTGATCTAGTCCTGATGAGGAGCCTCAAAGCCTTTTAAAAGCTAAACAGAATTACAGACATTATTGATGTCTGTCAAATGTTATTGATGTTTTGGAATTTGAGTTTCCTTTTGCTGTTCCAGAAAAAAATTAAACTTTTTTAAACCGTTTAGTTTGTATAAATAGAGTTCAGTGGACTGCCTCTTGATCAGGGAGTACATGTACGCTCACGTACTAACTAAATGGTTAAAAAAATTAGATAGCACATACACATTTTTTAACCGTTTAGTTACATAAGCTTACTCCCTGATCGAGAGGCTCTTCACTGATCTCTATTTATACCAGCTGGATAGCACATACACATTTTTCATTACACATTACACATTTTTTTTAGTTGATGAAGAATCTTCTTCCGAGTACACCCATTCATCAGAATCAGAAAGTACTGATGGTATGGAGGAACAAGCAAAGTTATGTACAGAAAAAAAGTACATTGTTTTTGACAGAATGTTGGACAATCTTTTATACGCCTTGAAGTGCTTATTTTGTGTTGGGGCCGTTGATTCTGTACAAAAGTCACTAGTTGGGTCAATGATCAGAGCTACCATCATTTGCACGAGTGGCCATGTAGTGATGAAATGGTCATCACAACCTACTATAGGTCAGGCACCAGTGGGCAATCTTCTGGGAGCAGCCTCGATACTGTTTAGTGGCAACACTTTTAGTCATGTATCACATTTTGCCAATTTATATGGTTTACAGTTTTTCGGCCAAACAACGTACTATGACATACAAAAAAAACTGCTTGTTCCAGCTGTAAATACCCATTATTTGCAGCACATGGGTGTAATATTCATTCAAACTTCAAAAGAAAGAAAGTTAAAAGGAATGTACATCATTGGCTTTTGCTGTAATTTTCAGAAATGAACTATTTGAGGGGTTAGTATAATAGATCAAATATTGTTACACTGACATTATTGAAGTTTTGTGTTCGAAAAGGTTGGAAAAACCAAGAAAAACAAAAATGTTCAAGTAGTCTGGTTCCCTGACTCCACAAAAGATAAAATGGATCAATTTATAGATGATGGAAAATTGTAAGGCAAGGGAACCAGTCTAGCTGGCCTGCACCCGTTCATGAACATGTAACCAATAGCAAACAAAATTTGGACTGAAAAAATGGTAAATTTGGAGCAGTAGTTGAAAAATAGTTAGGTTTTTTCAACGGCTGAACGGTGGCCAGCCGACCACCGTTGGAAATGTATACAAAAATACCATTTTCTTGAAAATGACTTCACGCCAGGTGCCATAATTTTACAGAATGCTTCAGACTGTCATTTACCAACATCCTAGTAAGGTATTTCGTAAAAACTTGGTAATTTAATTTTTTGATGTTTGCAAATGTTGTATATTCCCTTTAAGGTGTCAGGGGATGGCAGGTGTGACTCTCCTGGTTACAATGCCAAATACGGTAGTTATGTCTTGATGAATTCGTCAACCCATGAAATTATGGCCATGGCCTTGGTACAAGTCAGCGAGGTCAAAATTCTAATGCCATGGAACTGGCTGGCTGCAAACGCACACTTGACCTCCTAAAAAAAAAACCCATCAAAGTTGTCCAGCTTGCAACAGACCGGCACACTGGCATCACAAAACTCATGAGAGAAGACTACAAAAAAATTGAACACCAGTATGATGTTTGGCATGTGACAAAATCAATCAAAAAGAAGCTAACTGCAAAGGCTAAAAGAAAGGAGAATGATGCGCCCCTTGGCTGGATAAAATCCATTTCCAACCAAATATGGTATGCTTGCCAAAACTGCAGCGAAAAACCCAACATTTTGACTGAAAAAATACAGTCAATCCAGCACCACATCGTTAATGTTTACCGATGGGACGGGGACCATACCAAGCACTGTGACCACAAGCCTCTAACAGACAAAGAGTCGGCAGCCAAAATATGGCTAACTGCAGGCTCCCCACCCCACAAAGCACTCCAGGAGGTTCTATTTAATAAGAGACTTGTAAAGGACTTCCCCCGCTTGACAAAGGCTTGCCATACTGGACAGTTAGAAGTCTATCACAGCCTTCTTCTTAAAGAGGTTGTGGAATGCTCGAAGACATTTCCGTCATTTTGGGGGTATATGTAGCCTAAGGTGTGATGAAATAAAAACGACTATTGTTTCTGTCATGAAATGAGTACAAAGGGTACTTTTGAGAGCTATTTTTCAGGTCCCGTTTCGACCCGAACGTGCAATTTGTGTAAAAGTCGTCGTTGCGGGCAGCAAACAAAACACAGTAAATCGTGACGTAATAAACAGGACTCGTTTATGCTACTCTGCATCGGGAGTCCTGTTT